AACTTTCGTTATAATCTATTTTAGTAAAGGCTTAATGACAAAAAAAAAAAACCTAAACTTTGACCTTTTTATTAATTTTAGCCAGTTCTTTTAATTTTATCAATCAACATCATGTACTTAATTTTATATGTCAATTCTAGCCTTTGTTTGTCTTCCGTCAATTTTATGCTAATGTGGCATTTATCTTTCACAACTGAGCCTTACAACATTCAATATCAGTGTCAAGTCATATATCCACTTATACTCAAAAAAAAAAAAAAAAAAAAAAATATCAGTGTCACAGTCTATATCCACTTATACCCTCAGAAAAAAAAAAAAAAAAAAAAAAAAAAAAAAAAAAATCTGAACTTTAACGTTTTTATCAAATCTAACCAATTCTTTTAATTTTATCAATCAATATCGTATACTAATTAATTTCTATCAAATGATTTTGTTATATTGATATTTATTCAATTAAATATTTTATTAATTAACTATATATATTAAGTGTATAATGTAACTAATCAATTAGAATTCAATTTTACTGAAGAGTTTTTTAAAAATGTTATTTCTAAATATACTAATCAATATACTTTCTCTCTTAACAATCGAAAGCGAAAGACAACTTGAAAAAGATCATGATCTTTATGGGTATAACCATTAGATATATTCTTATAGTGATTTTTCAAAACTTCTCTAATTTTATCCTGAAAATGAACCGATCAATTTAGAGAAATAATGTATGAGAAGTTAAATTCTATATTGATTTGTATATTTAAAAATAATATTTTTAAAAGACTCTTCAATAAAATTAAATTTTAATTGATTAATCTCATTATATACTTAATATACATAGTTAATTAATAGATTATTTAATTCAATAAATATCAATGTAACAAAATTATTTGATAGAGATTAATTAGTGCGCAGTATTGATTGATAAAATTAAAAAAGCTGGCTATAATTGATAAAAATATCAAAGTTCAAGCTTTTTTTTGTCATTAGGCCTTTAATAAATAAATATACTTTAACAATATAATAAGAAATTAATATAATATATCAAATTAAATATTTATAAATAATATCATAGCATCAATGTTACAATTATTTATATTAATATCAATTGATAATTTTAAATTTTTAATTTTATATCCAAATAAAATCCATGAAAATTCATTTAAAAAATTTCATTAATAAAATTAAAACAGTTGTTATATAAAAGATCCTATGGATGTGAATAAATCTACTTATCGTGGTATATATATTTCAATACACAGTTGACACGAGATGATTTTATATAAATAAATATTTAGCTTTTTTTACTCTTTTAATATTTTTTTTTGCCAACCAATTAGAGTGCAATTTGGTAATTATAGGAATTTAACCCCTCCTTTTTTAAATTAAAATATTAATTTTTTAGATATATATTTCTTTTAAAATAAATTTTAAAAATGAACAAAAAATCTTTCATAATAAGCTGTCATAGATTTTGACGCAATATTCATTTAAAATATAATGACTACTGAAGATATAACATATTTATGATCTATTTGTTTAACATATAGAATAGTAAATTATGAAATTAAATTTAATAAGTAAATAATAATAAGAATGATTATTAAACAATTTTTTAATTAAAATAATTTATAATAAGATAATAATAATAGAGTATTACAAGATAAAAGATATTAACTGATCACAAATAAGAACTAATAATAGTAAAACTTTAAATTTCAAAATAGTTTAATTATCTATATGGTATTTATTATTAAAACACCGTTTAAAAATATTATTCCATAATCAAATTAAGTGAGGAGGTAAGATTCATTATATTATATTTTTTAATGTTCAAATTTTTTAGTAATTGTGGAATTATGATAAATATGTGGTAAATGTCTATTTTAGACGTAATTTCAAAAATTTTACAAGGACATATAATAGTGTTGGACACTCTCACTCAAATTCTCTTTCCTACCCCTTCATTTTCCTACTTATTTTTAATATAGTTTCATAGAATTAGATAGATACATACATATAGATAATCTAGAATAATAAAAATATATATATATCTTGTTGTGTTTAAAAAAAATTCAATTTTCAAAATTAAAATTTTCAATTGTTCGTCATTCAACACACATATGTTCAATTCATTTAAAATAAAATTTAAAATTTGAAAGGGTTAATTATATATATTCTATTTGTAATTTTTTTTTTTAAAATATAGCCAATCAACTTATACAAACATAAAGAAAAAAAATAATATTATAAAAGAATTTACTTTTCTTCTTTTTTAATTCTCTTCTAAACATAATGTTTTAAATTATAATAAAAACATAATCAATATTTAAAAATATATTCTAATTTATTTTATGACATGCGTTGCGTGTTTCTGTTGCTCATTTAATACTCGCAGTTTGTGCTTGTTTATTTTCATATATAATGTCAACTATTTATTATAATTTCTCTCTTATATTATGTGTATCTTTTTAATGTTAGAACTTCATCTTTTTATCGTGGATGCATAAATAGTTAAAAATAAATTAAATATTTTAATCAAGTTAAATCTAATTGAGTTAGGTAATTTGTATTTAAAATCATTGATTTTAATAATTTGGATACCTTTTAAGTTTAAAAATTATTTATAAAATTTATCAATTTTAAAAAATTAATTCAAATATAATCAATTTAATAAATAACTAGTGAATTTTCGCTTATACTAAATATAACTAAATATAAAAATATTTAAATTATATAGAATTCATTTAGACAAAATAAGATTAAAATAAAATCATTAATATTTCATAGAAATTATGAAGAATTACAAAAATTAATTTTTTTACATGTTTGGCCAAATAAGAAAATCATTATATATGATATAATAAAGAAATTTTGCTTCACAATCTTTAATCAATTGGTTTTACTTAATAAAATAAGGGATAACTTTTGAAATAATTTTAGGTAGGTAAGCATACATGATCATTTGAAATCACATCGAATTAAATCAAAGTTAAAGTGAATTTTCAAAATGAAAACTGTCTCAAATTAAATATAGTTCAGAATCTAATTAGTTCGATCAGTTTTACATACACTTTTAGGTTGATCAATTTAAGCCTCTTACTAAAAGAAAAACCGAATAAAAAAATTCATTTTATCCATACAAACTAAAAACCAACCTAAATCAGTTTTACCTGATGCTTTAATATCAATAAAATTAGAAAACATCCCTAAAATTGCAAAGTGACATAAGTTCTCTTTTTTTAGAGAATTTTAGACCATTAATTAATATAATATTTAATTCATTAATCTAGTAATAATGTTTTTGAACATATTGAATAATTCTAGCTAAGTGCAAATTTGACAAAGTATATTGTACAATTCCTTTCTACTTACTATTTATCATTTTCTTTCTCTCTCTGTTCTTAGTTATTCGATATGGGATAAATTGTTTAAACGCGTGTATATATATTCCACATGAATATATTTAAGAGAAAATTAAAGAAATATCAAATTTCACATAAACTATTAGATCAATTAAATATTTATTATTCTTATTATTGTGTAAGAATTTTTTACCTTTATTGCCATAATCCAATTATTAAGAATTTTTTACCTTTATTGCCATAATCCAATTATTTCTAAGAGTATTATAAAAGAAAAATATCACATATTATTTTCTATAATAAAAAAATATTAGGTAACTATTTTTTATTTTAGATAATCGTCTATAAGAAAAAAAAAAGTGAAAAAATCAATTAAATATTCTCGAATACACCACTTTATCATTTATTATTTTTTCATAGAAAGAACAAAAAGAAAGTTAAATAACAGAATATTTATATGTAATATAATTTCAAAAATTTATATTTAAAGATTTATTCTATTTGAAAATTTATTTTTAAAAAATATATCAAATCAAATCATAAAAATAAAAAAATATTAATAAAAAATATATTTTTTATAAAAAAATAATTTTTTTATTTTATTCTCCCTCCTAGAAAAAATCTTAAGAATGTTATTAGATAAAATAAAATTTAAATTAAAAGTTGAAAAATTTAAAATATAAAAATTTTCAATGTGTCATTTATGATATATATTTATTTTTAAAATGAAGATTATATCCCTAAAAGGTGATTTCTTAGAATTGGCCATCATTTAAGCTATTTTTATAATCATGCTTAAATTTCATTGAGATGTGACAAACTAGATCGAAATTTCATTTATGTTATAACTCCATTTTCGTACTTTTATATTATAGTATACATCATTATTGAGGGATGATTATATTATAATCCCATTTATTTCTTTCTCGTTCCCACTTTTTACATTACCAGTATAAAGAAGTATAGGTTAAATAGATAAGGGGAATATTCTAATTATTGTGTAGTGCTTAAGCGTTCACGCGATTGTACTTTCGAATATTTTTGACTGAACTTATCATAAATCTAAAAATTCATGTTCCTATTAGGAAAAATTTAAATTATAATTAAAATAAAATTAAATAAATGATAAATTTAAAATATAAAAATTTTCAAATGTGTCATTACTATATATATTTATTAAAAAATAAATTATATCCTAAAAGTGTAATTTTTAATTGGCCATCATTAAAGTTATTTTATAACATTTTAAATTTCATTAAGAGTGAACTAGATAATTTCATTATTTTAACTCATTTTCACTTTTATATATAGTATAAATTATTAAGGATGATATATATAATCCCATTATTTTCTCTCGTTCCCACTTTTACATACAGTATAGAAGTATAGGTAAATAGATAATAGGAATATTCTAATTTATTTTGTATTTAATATCACATTACTTTCGAATATTTTAACTTATATAAAAATCCTATTAAGGAAAGGATATGGACAAAAATGTCTTTTCAGTCCCAAGAGCCCCAATTTTACAGAAATACGGCATATACCTTTCACAAGCTGAAAATTAAAATCTACGGTGCCGATAAATAAGCAATATTTCTGGTCATTGATGCCTTACATATTCTGTTACATTTTTTCTTTTTTTCCAACAGCCAACCCATCGTTGAACACACAAACTCCCTAGTCCCTACAGTTTACAGAGACAGATATTAATTAAGGAAAAAAAAAAAAAAAAGAACAGAAAAGAAAAAGAAGGGAAGAGCACTTGTCACTCTGCATATCAGAACTGCACAAAACTTGGCGTCTCGAAACGGCACATATTAACACCTAAGAAAGAGAGCGGAACCGAGGGAGAACAGAGATCGAATGCGACCTTTCTCTTTGGGCTCTCTCTACTTCTTCAATCATCTCTTTCATTGTTCAGTCTTCAGTATTCTCTGATTCTTCATTTCTCGATTGACATTTTCTTTATTCGTTTTTTCTTTTTTTGACTTCTGGATTTGAAGTATCTGTGGAAGTGGTTGAGAGAGAAATGATGGGGTCAGCTTCGTTTGCATCTCCGTTGTGCACGTGGCTGGTGGCTGCGTGCATGTCGGTCACGTGCGCCAAGGAGAACAGGACCGCTCCACACGCGTTCCATTCATCGCAACCTAGTAACAGACTCAGTCGCTGGGCTCGCAGAAGAAAGACACTTCACGCTCAATATAATAGCGACAGTAGTAATAGTATTGCAGCTGGTGGTGGTGGTGGTGGTGGTGGTGGTTACAGTACGGAATTCCTTTCCAATAGTTTGGTCTCTACCTTGTGTGGATCCAGTTTTCAAGGATTGATGTCTTCTTGCTTAGCGTTTGAGCCTTGTAGTCAATACTATAGCTCTAATGGCCTCTTTCGATCCAGAAATCTTAATCGCAAGCAGCGAAGACTCAATCGGCTCGCTCTTTCTGGTAATTAGTTTTTTGATTCGTGTGCAGTTTGTTTGTTTTTAAGTCTAGTTCTATATTTTACTTATTTGGATTTTTGTTTATATTTGATGTTAATTACTACTCTGATTTAGTTATTAATTTTTTAATGCTTCTGTTGTTCTGTTTCATTTTGTTGCATTCTACAATTGAAATCTTGATTTCCTCGTTTTCGTCGATTACTGAAAGTTCACACGAAGCATAAAAAAATTAATCTACGAATTGAAGTGAGTGAAGCGGTTTAGCTCAGTCTTGTAATTGATTTATTCCTTACTTACTAGGAGTAATTGTTTGAACTTGCTAGGTACAGTTTTTTAATTTATTAAGATATGGACTAGAGTAAAGGCCAGAAGTGAACACTTGGTAGTTTTACATGCATGATTTGGTCCCATGCGGTGTGTTCTTTCACATGGAATGCATGTTTGTACCTCTGTGAGGTCCTCATTGATCAATTCTCAAAAATCGTGCCTCATTTTCTCTCTTTCATGTGATAATTGCTGCTTTCTTGCTATCTAACACGTGTATTTGGGCATTAACTACATGCATATGACACATACACACTATTTTTGGTTTATCAATACAAAAATTTTAGGAGAAGCCATGGCAATAGCTGTGCAACCTGAAAAGGAAGTTGCAACAAAGAAGAAACCAGCTACGAAGCAAAGGCGAGTGGTTGTCACTGGAATGGGTGTTGTGTCACCCCTTGGTCATGAACCAGATGTCTTCTACAACAATCTTCTTGAAGGAGTTAGTGGCATAAGTCAGATAGAGGCTTTTGAATGTGCCCAATTTCCAACGGTAGGTTTTATTTAAGATCTCTTTCTTCTTCTGCTGATTTCCAACAACTTCGCTCTTAGAGTTTTTTTCTCTTCTTTTTGGTTGCGTCCTCTAATTTTTGCCAGAGGATTGCTGGAGAGATCAAGTCTTTCTCAACTGATGGATGGATTGCACCAAAACTTTCCAAGAGAATGGATAAGTTCATGCTATACATGCTTACTGCTGGAAAGAAAGCCTTGGCTGATGGTGGTATCACTGAAGATATAATGGATGAATTGGATAAAGCTAAATGTGGAGTTTTGATTGGCTCTGCAATGGGTGGCATGAAGGTAGTAACTATGAGATTCCTGAGGGTCTATACACATTACTATATGATATTAAATACTGGGTAGCTAAGCATCTTAACAAAGCCACTCCAAAACCAATTTTGATTTTATATCCGATGACAAGCACCAGCGAGTCTGTATATTATACCCTCACCAGCTATTGCCTAGTCAACTTAGAGATGACACCAGATTTTTTATGCTTTAGAAAAATGAGAGCCGATGCTGCTTTCAACATTTACTTTTCCCCCTGGTAGAATACCTGGCCAAGTCTCTCTTTTGACAATAACAATCTTGTTCATTCCTATAAGAGCATCTTTGTTTAGTAAAACTGTGCATCCAAGCTACATTACCCTATATGAGAGCCGTAGAGCCTTTAGACATGCAAAAAAGCTATTCATTATAATCGATTGCTTGTTTGGGTGATCTTAAACAGGTCTTCAATGATGCAATTGAAGCACTAAGGGTATCATACAGGAAGATGAATCCTTTCTGTGTACCTTTTGCAACTACAAATATGGGTTCCGCCATGCTTGCAATGGACCTGGTAAGCTGCAATTTACAGGACATGCAATATGAAGACTAAGTGGTATGTATTTTAGTAATTGGAATGTGATTTTTAAAAATTTATTGCAGGGTTGGATGGGGCCAAACTATTCAATCTCCACTGCCTGTGCTACCAGCAATTTTTGTATATTAAATGCAGCAAACCACATTATTAGAGGCGAAGCCGTGAGTATCTTGCAGTCAATAGACATTGAAAGATGCATGAAATATTGATGTTACCAAGAAATGTATATCATTTTTTCCCCTGAAATCGTTTTGAACTAGCAGGATATCATGCTTTGTGGAGGCTCAGATGCGGCAATTATACCTATTGGTAGTTCCTTCATCCCTAAGTTTTGTGCTACCCATGCTTCATCTTGGGCGTCGCATGTGCTTGGCATTCAATGTTTCTCATCTTTGAAACAGGTTTGGGAGGTTTTGTGGCATGCAGAGCACTTTCGCAGAGGAATGATGATCCAGCAAAAGCTTCACGACCTTGGGATATGGTGATTTATTAATATTCCTTGTGATCCTTGTTTTTTTAACCCTCTTGCCACCTACCATTTTTTCACTGTCCATATCTCAAAACTTGTGAAAAGTTATTATTGAAATATGGAATTACTTAAGTCAGTGAAAGAAGGATCTGGTAAATGTAATTGCATCAAATTGCTGTAAATGATTGCTATTTTCATAATTGAATTGCTAGAATTTGTATTTTATCTGTGACTTTGTGGATCATATGGTTCCATTTCTCAATTCTCTTGTATTGATTGTACTGGTTCCAATGTCATCTTGAAGAAGTTCTAAATCCGAGTTTCTGTATTTATGGAGTATCTAAAGTTTCTGAAGAAGTCATTGATATTATTTGTGTGAATGCTGTAATTGGAGTTCATTACTGAAAGGCTTAAATATTTGTTTCTCGCTCGATATCTGATCCTGAGTTGAATTATCTACTTTGGTGGTAAACAGAATAGGGATGGATTCGTCATGGGAGAAGGAGCTGGCGTTCTGCTTTTAGAAGAACTAGAACATGCTAAGGTATTCCTGATTTTACTCAAGAAAGCCATGCCAAGAGCCCATTCTCAACTTGGTGTCAGTATTTAATTCCTATCTTTCTAGCCTATTTGGGCTACATTCTCTGGTCACTCCTTTATATGGCACAATTTTTACTTCCATCCTTCGCCTTTCTCATTCTCAAATTGACATGCACCTTCATGTTTCATGCACTTGAGTTTCTCTTGTCCTAATTATTATTATTATTATTATTATTATTATTATTATTTTGTAAATTAAAACATAGTGGAGTAAACCATAAAATTGTAATGAAAATTTTTTTCCATGATTAGTTAATGGAAAGTTTAATTTATGATATTGCAGAAAAGAGGTGCAAATATCTATGCAGAATTTCTTGGAGGAAGCTTTACTTGTGATGCATATCACATGACTGAACCACGTCCTGATGGTAATTTGTAGAGCTTCTAAATTACTTGCAATTTTACACTGTTGCATTCTTGTGGTACATGGAAACTATATTCCATGAATTAGTTAATGGAAAAGTCTTAATTTATATATTTTGGCAGAAAAGAGGTGCAAAATTATCTTATGGCAGAAATTTTCTTGGAGGAAGCTTTACTTGTGATGCATTATTCACATGACCTGAACCACGTCTCCTTTGATGGTAAAGTTGTAAGAGCTTCTAACAATTACTTGCAAATTTACCACTTGTTGCATTCTCTGTGGACATGGAAGAAAAACATGGGGGTGTATATAATATATATTATATATTATATATATATATATATTATATATATATACTATACATCTGCAAAGGAAATATATTCGTCATTCGCTTTTGCTACCTTCTTTGTTGTTTCCTATGTTTTTAGGATTCTTTTTGTGCCTAAATTCAAAATGTGGTAACCAATTTGTAAATGATAGTCCGCAATTCTAGTTGACTATTGGAATTAATGGGACAGGGGACCCATTTTGACTTTCCATTTTCGTAACATATATACACTGAAGAATATATTCGTCATTCCGCTTTGCTACCTTCTTTGTTTCCTATTTTTAGGATTCTTTTGTGGCTAATCAAATGTGGTAACAATTGTAATTGATGTCCGAATCTAGTTGATATTGGATTAATGGACAGACCATTACTTTCATTTTCTAACTGCTTCTGCCTTTATTATGGTAGAGTGTCAGCCTTTCACAGGTTTCCATACTGAGAACAGTAGTAGGGAATAGCATAACCCTTTTGCCAACTCTTGAGAAAGGCTGTTCAGAATAAATTATTTCAATGTTCTATCAAGGCTGTCCTAAATTAAGCAAAATGTAGGAAATAAAATGTATCCTCACAATTTGAGTTGCATCCTGCTCCATTATTCAATGGAACTACTTCAGAATCCAATCAGCTGTTATTTGTTAATGTAAATTTGTGTTAGTAGAATGTAATATTTAATATATGTAAGGTGCAAGTACATTAGGGGCATGTTGATTGTGAACTATCAGTTCAAGATTTTATGATATATCTTTGCTTGGGTCTTTATGACATGCTGATGCTCTACATGCCCTATTGTACATGCCATGCAGTTTATTCTGTGATCTAGCATGCACATTGCTTCTTTCTTGCTGAACCATCGCTAGGTTTCTGATTCTCTTTGCATTATGAGTTCCTTTAGGGGAAATTGTTTAGTATTGAATTTTGTTAAATTTATAGTTGCAACATACATTATTTATGGAAATATTCTTTTTTGAGCTCATCAATCAACTCTAATCAATCATCATTCTATAAATCATGGCAAGAAATGAGTAATTTCTACTGGATCTTGCTATGTGGCACATACCATTGCTGTGCACAGTATTCTGTGCTGCCTAGTATCTAACGTCCGTTTCCCCACCAAACAGGAATTGGTGTCATTCTCTGTGTAGAAAAGGCATTAGCACAATCTGGGGTATCCAGGGAGGATGTGAACTACATAAATGCGCATGCTACATCCACCCCAGCTGGTGATATTAAAGAGTTTGGGGCTCTCATGCATTGTTTCGGGCAAAATCCCGGGGTAAGCAAGATGTATTCTTTATTTATTATGTGCATTGAACCTTCTAACATTACTAGATTGTAATGCATCATAAGACTCTCTCCATTTACAGCTGAGGGTGAACTCCACAAAGTCTATGATTGGTCATTTATTGGGAGCAGCCGGTGCTGTGGAAGCTATTGCTGCAATACAGGTAACCAGTTTCTAATGGTAGTTGGTAGTTATAACTGCTATGATATTTTTTTTTTTTTTTTTTGAAAATCATTTGTCCTTTTTGTTTAATAGAAAATATTGTGATAATCAGGACTAGTATACTTGCAAAAAGCGAAGGAGAAAGTTACTTTCATGTGCTTTACGCGAGCCAAGTATATGGATAAACATTTCCCAGGAATTAAATTTTTTTTTTTTTTTTTTTTGAAAATCATTTCTTTTGTAATAAATATTGTGAAATCAAACTAGTATACTTGCAAAAAGGGAGAGGAGAAAGTTACTTCATGCTTTACGCAGCAAAGTATATGGATTAAACATTTCCCAGGGAATGTAAATTTTAAGGCCAAACCACCTTAAAAATCCACAACTTCGATGCTCATGTCAATTCTGGTGTCGGCTTTTTACGTTTTGGATTATGCCCCTAACTTTAATATGGTGTCAATTGTAGCTTTTCATTGTATTAGACTTGGATTGTTGTGTCTTTATGAACATGATGTGGTAGACTTACATGTTCAAGAACTCTGGAATAGACGTGACAAACATTACTCAAAAATAACAGATATCATGTTAGCATTTGTTAGGTTTATTTGAATTTCAAGTGTTTAGGAAAAAAAAAAGAAAAAGAAAAAAAGAAAGAAAGATAAAGAAATGGTTCTTAATATTTTATTGGTTACTTGTATAGGCGATACGGACAGGATGGGTTCATCCAAACATTAACCTGGAAAATCCAGACGAAGGCGTGGTATGTTTCCTTCTACTTTTTAGTTTACATATGCTTTGTGGTGCGGTTTACTTCTTGACCCCCCGGCAAAATCATGACTGGTTAGTTTTTCAATTATTTTACCAACTCCCTCAATTCAGGATACAAATGTCCTGGTTGGCCCAAAGAAAGAGAGGTTGGATGTTAAGGTTGCCTTGTCAAATTCATTTGGATTTGGGGGCCACAACTCATCAATCGTTTTTGCGCCGTACAAGTGAAGTAGAGCTACTTCAACCTCACTGTATTAATGTTGAAGGTGTGTAGATAGTATTCTTTTTCTTCGTTCAATTTTGGTAATTTGATATAAGAAAAGAGAACAAACCAATGGCAGGTTATAGAATACTAAAATCCTAAATGAATATGTTTATTAGTATATGAGTTTTATAGTCTCATCCTGCCATTGCTGTGCCATGGTGATAAAATAACCTTACTAATATAAGTAGTTGATACCTTTATGATTAGCTCTGTTTTGCCACTCATTCTAGTAAGTAGCTATAACTAAAATTAAAATGCAAATGAAATCCTGTGTCCAGTATCATGTTCAATCATTTGGGCGATTTTGACATTTTTAATATTACTGATTGGACAGATAATCTTGAGAGGATAAGTAAATTTCGTTCATTGGTTGGAAAGAAGAATATTCAGACTCAATCAAGAGGGAAATACTCACATATATTGTCTTCAGATTTGTCTCGTGGGTAGGGCTTGATCAACTTTTGAACCATTGAATCACCACCAGTAACAGTCACCTTGTTTTTGTTCCATATAAAAGTAGATGGGTAACCCCTTGTTTTAATAGTCAATTGTAATGAATTTTGAGTTAGCAGTTGACTAGGTTATACTAATGTAATGGTTATTTATGAGCATATTTCTGTTTTCTTTAGCATGTTCTTATCTGTACAATTCCTGTATCCTTATCAGGGTAAATTAGCATAAACTGTGTTCTTTTTTTCCTTGTTCGCATCTGAAAAGGTCTAGAAGGGACAAATTTTTAACGTTCTTTTCTCTTTGAGCGCTGCTGATGCTTAAACAAAATGGAAAAAAAAAATGTGATGAGCATACGACAGAATCAGTTATATTGACATTTTTAGCCTGACTCACCTTATTTAAGGCATCATATCATATGCATAAATTCAAAATGCTAGTGAAGCCTCACGCGCATTCGCTAGTTTATCTTATTTGCTTAACTTGCTTCAGAAGTCATCGGTCTACCCTATCTTGGAGACAATAAGATGGAGGCGGTTCATCCCCTTCCGGATTGCCACTTGTGGCCGCGAACTCATACAGGGATTGACGCATAAGCCAATAGCATGTTCGACCAAGATACTAAAAAGAGAACAGGCAAATCTTGAGCAAAATGGCAATCAAACAGCAAAATCTTAATCTATTGCGACATCAACACAACTTTCACATCTCTGTTATATACAAACGCAACACATTTTCCAATTTGGAGAAATTGCCTTCAGAAAAAATTGCCTTCAGAAAACCCAAACTGGCACCTTCGAATATATATAATTAAACAAATGAATGAATAATAAAAGAAAATATTACAACATGAAGTTCAGCATGTGTATGTGTATCCAAGTAGACAGGTCCTTCACCTGCTTTTTTTCTTGTTGCCTTTCTTTGCATTCTTAAACCTCATTAACTTCATGGAAAGTGCATTTGAAGAACTCTTGCCCTCAAGCTTTTTGGTCATTTTCATCACACTTGCCATGCCTTTCCTAGCAGCTGCACGATGCTCTGGTCTACGACTTATCATCTTGCGATCAAGGGGCCAATATGCATATGGCTCAAGCTTGTCTTTCCTCTTCAAATCACCACCAGCTTTCTTGCTGGCATATTCAGTCCCAGTGTATGCCCACCCGGTTTCTGACATTTTCCGACGCTTCTGGGATCTCCTTGACGACTGAGAAACATGACTTCTCACTTCAGTCCTTTCATCTGAATCGGCATCTGATGGCTTTTCCTTCTTTGGTTTCCCCCCATCACGAATTATCAATCTGCCTTCAGAGTCTATCTCCAGTTCATCATCCGATTCTTGCTGCCTTTTGAGATTCTTTGATGATCGAAGGGCGGACCTTGTTTTATGCTGATCAAGTAAATCAAGCGGCTCATCTTCTAATTGCTCAGACAAGTCTTCTGGCAAGCTCTTATCTGATTTACGCATCCTCTTGGACCTGGACAAATTGGGTATACGACTGTCTGTCAGATTACTTCAAACAAGAAATTAAAACAGACAAGATACTATGCAAGAGGATCCACCACCAAAAATACCAGGCTCCTATCTATCATATTAATCAAGGTTTCACTCAAAGATCATGAAGCTAGATATTGCTTCCACTCAAATAATTGATACAAAAGTGATTTTACCAATTCAGGAACTAACCGGGATGAAGACAATTTGCATTTGAGTTTTGATGAGGCCTTGCTTTGTCCACCCAAAACAGACTTAAAATCCATGTCTTCAGCATCATCATCATGCGTGTCTTCATCACCAGAATCAGAGAATATTTTGGTATGGTTCCATCTACTTATCCTGAAGAAAAATAGCAACACTTTCATTTTAAGTGAGAAAGGGATAAACAATGGTTGTAAATTCATTTAGGCAACAGAGTCCATCAAGTGTACAAAATGAACTTGTCAAAATTAACTCCTATATAGAAAATAACATGCAATATCTCAGGGTGATTATAGGAGACATTTTTAATGCACTTCTAGAAAAGACTTCACAGTATATTTTAGTTGAAAGAACAGTTGTGCTATTGAGAAAATTATCACTAATGATAAACGTGAAATGCAGCTCAAGTTACTAATTTTTTCTTGAATATTTCGCATTGTAATCTTCATTATTGCAACAAAACAAAACACATAAAATGCATGCATTTGTCCCATCCATCATTTTTTCAAAATCAGGAATAGCTCTTTATGCAATATTCAGAAAATACGATTATATGAAATGATCTTGCAGCTTGGAATGCATACTACTCTTGTTCACGAAGTTGATGGACTATTGCAGGGTCAGGTATTTGACAAGTGAGAATCAGCAGTACAGCAATTGAAAATATTTAGACAAGCAGTTGACTTTTTGGATATGAAATTTGTCTATTATTATGCTATGCACAGTTACCTGGATGTAGTCGCCCTCGATAGATGAGATCTATCTTCCTCAGAGTTAGCTCCATGCTTTCTCTCTTTCCGTTCCATTACCTACATTCAATGTGTATGGGTAAATCCACAAATGCATGCTTCACAAATGAAAATCACATGTTTCACAAATGAAAATCACATGTTAAAACTCAACAAGTATCTTTCAACCAACCTTCCGGATGTTAGTAAGAAGCCTCATATGTTCTTCAGGCATCACTGCCTTAACGGCATCCATACCACACTTCCTGACGAGCATTTCTAGCAGAAGCTTGACCTGAGGAGTTAGAAGTTACAGAGAGTCAATGAGGACTTCAAACACAGCTTGGTGAATGATTATAAATATATTATAAATAATCAAACACAAAGCTTTAACAGATTCAGAGTCAACAAATCCAGTCAATACTGTACTGTGATGCTCTTGTAGAACATCTAAGCCTTGTCCATAATACATCCAAAAAATGATCCTCAACATCAAAAAAATCAACATAAAAAAAACTCCCAGAAGGTAAAACAATTTAAATTGAATACAGATTGAGAAGGCTCATGAGCAACTACATACCGCCTGGTTGGTGTTCAGAGGTGTTGGAAAGGAGTTTGTGATCAGGTGTAACCCATGATACTCATGATCACAGTAAAAAAACAAAAGATGGGCAGAAAACATGCGTTCTACACCATCTCTAACAAAGTTCAATTTAAGTCAAAATTCACAGAAATTTGACAGAATGCAATGGTTCACAAGCAATGCAAATAAATAGTCATGCAAGTTTCACAGAAACTGAATACAAACCTTGGCTTTGAAGTGGTTTTTGGTGTCATCTGGCCACTTCAGCAAGCCTTCCACCATGCTCTTCAAGTGCATCTGAAGCCTGTCATATTGTGATTTGGCTACCAATACCTTTAACAAACCTAAATTAGCCTGCACCAGAAACAATCCACGTCAATCCTAGAGTAATGTAGTTAACGCCATGAACTAATAATAATGATTGGTTAAAATTTCACACATCAGATGAAACACACTTTAATGATTTCCCGGTTCTTTCTCTGGAGGAGGAGAAATGTGGATGGAAGCAACTTGAAAGCAGTAGAAACAAGATCTGAAAACTCATAAGCCAAACGTGCTAAGCCTTTCACAGCAGCACTGACCATATGAGGAGTTTCTCCAGCCATGCATCCCGCTACCTGTGACCAACCAAAAAAGAAAAAAGAGTGGTGATTCTAACTTATTCAGTTAAACACGGGAGTTACATATAAAGATATGTTTTAGATCTTCCGAGTTCCACTAAATAATGCAAAGACAACTTTACTAGACCCAATAAAAAAAAAAAATCATAAAAAAAAAAAGTAAGAACAGATATGCACCATGTTAAAAAATTGATATAAAAATTCCTTGTTTCCACCATTCTCTTCATCTCCACATGCATGACCGATTTGGACAAGGACATCATAAGCTCTATTTCTTGTCTTTTTGTTAGCCTGTAAGAGAACCATTTAAATAAAACTAATAAATTAGCACTATGATAAACAAAAATTTCCATCTTACACTAATGTCTTTCCCTCTTCAAAGAGGAGAAAAAAACTTAGCATGTTACAATTACAACCACTTATTATGAAGATTATGCACTGTATAGAAGGGGGAAAATAACAATGGTAAATACTCATTTAAACTAAAGACCTCCGCTTCTAGTCTTTATGAACTTAATTATGTTGAATTTTCAGCATTAAGTTATATGATAGCACCTAATCATGCAGTTTGGTAGCCACTCATTCTCCAATTAATTGAGGAAGTGCTGTGATCTAAACAAGTTCAATTGTTTTTCCTCACTGCAACTTCAAGCAAAATAACTACTACAGAAAATTCAAAATAACATATGAACAAATTCATAATTCTTTAAAAACATTTAATTCCATTGCCAAGGATAGAGTCTCAGTCTTGAAGCCACAACACTGCAAATTTTGGTCTTGAAGGCAAATGGTTCATGTAAACATGCTAAGTAGGATTTTGACCACAATTTTTTCTCTCCAATAACCTTACAACATTAGGACCACAGCTGGATAGAAAGCAAATGTGCAAGCGCATAGCATACCTCCTTCAGAGCAAGGATTATTTCAGTAAGGAAACCAAAAAGGATGTCCCATTGCCTATGTTCTGAATTTCCCTGCACCAAAAGCAAAGAAATGACACAAGTAAGAGAACTACAAATCAAAGGTGATTAAAACATTAAATTAAATAAATTGTAAGTGATTGGTTTTCAACTGTAAAGTGAACAAAAGAAAAATAACATATATGCCTCACAACCTTGGAAACATGGACAATCAAAAAGTACAAACAATCAAGTCTGTGTCGTTTGGCAGAGAAATGGCAGAAAGGTAGGACATCGATCATAAGTTGAATTAGTTCCTCAAGCACTGAGGAAAGAAATCCATCATACTTCTGGCCACTCAAACAAGAATACAAGAAAATTTGATCAGAAAAAATTTATTTTACAAGATGTAATAATAATAATACAACCTTAAATGTTGCCAAACAAGTTAAAGATGGCTCACAAGGAAATATTTATACATAATTACTTCCTCAACATATAGAAGAAAAACATACTGAGAGATATATCAGGTCTCTTAGACTTCATTTTGGAAGTTAAAAACCTCAAGTCAATCACAGAAGTACAATAAGCTGAGAAAACACTGTACCATTCTATTTATGATTTTTCAGCAATTGTAACATACCATGAATTATTGAAGCATATAAATATCCAAAACATTAAACAATTCAGGATTTTTAGAACCACAAAAGATGTACCTGAATAATAATTGAGAGGACCTTGTATGCTTTCTTTTGGATCAAACCATCAGCATCCTACAAGCCAATAACAATAACAATGGCAGTAAACCACAGCTTCTACCACAAGTAACAAAGCAAAATCATGATATAGTACAGAGCAATTGAAAAACCTGTAATGCAGGCTTTACTGCACTAAACAGAACCCCAATCTCTTTAACATCCAAGCCAGGCAAAAGGGAAACAGCCAAATCAAATAGCCGTGCCCTGCATTTAGATCAAGTATAAGAAAAGTTACGTGCTGATCAATTCTGCTACAATATGAAGCGAATAAAATGATAAACTAAACCATATAATCAATTATATAACTATATTATGGTCTTATCTCATATCTTCTAATTTTTTATCTAATAATACTTCACAAGTGCTAATGAAATATTTAACAAAATTTGCTTTTTGGGTGATAGACTGATAATTCATAGTTGCAAATAAGCAAATGATATATAACAGGGATTCACTCCCTCAAAAAATAAAATCACAAATGACTTGGATATATAGTGAATAAAATCAACCTTTCAAGTGACGGTGACTTTTCAACTGATGAATCATCAATCTGCATAGAATTAAAATTTCCAGAATCTTGAGCTTTTGTAGCCTTTTGAGTAACCTCCAGAAGCTTTCTCATTGTCCGCAAGAATATCCTTGTGACAACTTCTTTATCAGATATGGAAGCAAACTCATTAATTATCAGCTGCAAAGTGTGTAAAAAGGATTTAAAACTTTCAACCAAAATATCTCTTTTAAAAAGTGAATTTATCAATGGTCACATAAGTATGGAAAGCTTAAGCAAAAATTACGAGCAGCAAAAGCCCGTTTTGTGCTCATGCAAAACATTATTAACTCTTTTTCAAATTAAAGCAATTGAACACAGGTAGGGTGTGCACCATTTGATTCAGCTCAGTTAAATTGAAATTTTATACACAACAAAATGGAAAGTATAAATAAAACCAAGAAAAATAAGGATAAAAACCAAAACCAAACAGAACCGCAATGGGCTTGGGCTTTTAGTGCAAATAAACAAAAATAAGTAATATATATATATATATAAAATCCAAAAACCACAACAGAACCGGCACATGAGCTTGGGCTTTTTAGTTGCAATATAAAACAAAAGTAAGTAACTATACTATAATATATATATATGTTATATATTGCTATAAAATTATTCATTAAATTATATTAGATCATTAATAAACGCAGGTTTTGTCCATCTATTCAGTTTCAATAGATATAACAAATACCTAACAGCAAAAACCCAGAAACCAAATTTTTTAGAATTCTATAACCAAATTACTGTAGCCTATAGATATTGTATAAAATAATTATTAAATATATTAGATCATTAATAACTCAGTTTTTCCATCTATTCAGTTTAAAAATAACAAATACCTAACAAAAACCAGAAACCAAATTTTTTAGAATTCTATAACCAAATTACTGTATGCCTATAGCAAATTAATTAAATTCCATACCATATGGTTTGGTTTCAGTTTAAACCCAAACAGTGATCACCCCTAAATATGGGTGCCTAAACTATAAAATATAAGGACGACTTCACAAAATTTTAATCTGAACTTTCAAATGCCTTAGTTTTACATAGACAATACTGCTGAGCATTTAGCACATCAAGGAAAAAAGTGCAAGGCATTTGACCAATTTGCTGTTAATTATGACGGAGAACTACAAAAGTTGGATCAAAACATGAAAAGTCAATACTTTAACAAGTTGGCAGGGATACTATCAAAATTTGTTTGAGGAACTCATAATGTCATTGAGAGACCCAATGACATTACATACTCTTGTCGACATTAATATTGCCACCGGAAAATGTATAGCAATCTTGATCATCCAGATACACCAAAAGATGCAAGGGAAGAGAAGTTTGAGTGAAATTTTTGGTTGAACAAATATCTGGAAAAAATCATATTGCCAATACAAATGACCATAAGAGAAATTCTGCCTCAGAAATCAATAAATCAATCATTGCTCAGAAGAGAGATGAAATGGCAAATTTTATTGCTGACTTGTGAAAAAAGAGGTACCTGCAAACAGCCACCATCATCCTTTGAAGATTCCAAGAGGATCCCTGATAAAACAGTCAAGAACTCACGAGCAGATGACCTTAGCACACTCAAATTATCTGCTGCAACCTGTGGGCTATAGAGGGCCATAGCTCGTTGCCTGGCAACACCAACTTCAGTAACACTCAGATCACTGTTATCTTCAACTATTCTCTTATTTTGCTGAATAAGAATCTGCAGAGCAGAGCATATTATTCCACGAACATCACATTCTTCACGAAGAGAAATCTGCAAAGCTTTCTCCAGATCCTTAAAACCTTCTGTCATATTCAAAGGATAGTTACAAAAAGAAGGTAATAAGGACCATAAAGAGTATACAAGTGCGTCCGCACTTCTTGCTGAGACAATCCGTCCTTCTACCTCCAACTGAAACAAGTAACAAATAATTACTGAATGCTACAAAGCCAAAGAAAAATAAAGAGTAAGTTATTGTTGAAGAATTTCATACTCTTCGGGATTTCTGTTTCATCACTCCAATCATACCCAAAATGGTTTCTGTAAAGAAGCTTAAATGGGCACCAACAGTATACTGCTTCAGAATAGGAAAGAGCCAAACATTAACCTCAGACAAGTCATCAGCCTCGAATTTAAGAGGTAGGAGGCTTAAAAATGCTTCAGGCCCCATCGCACCAAGAGCAGATCCAAGGCATTCATGCAACTGCAAGTTAAAAGACCACATATCAGTGGAAAATGAAAGTCAGGCAAGCATTGAAAAATGCTTTCAGGTAATTTCCATCAATCTAGAGTACAGATATAACAATACCATTTACCCAACAACGGTGCAAATGAACCAATATCTAATCAAAGTGGTTCAATCATTCTTGATGGCTTAACAAACCCTTTTTCCTAATATTATAAATAAAAATTAATGACAAGGCATTAGCAGCAAAAACTCCAGAATTAAAGATAAGCACTTGATTCTTCACGCTACAATTAATTCTTCGATTAGCATACTGCATCATGAGATGCTTAGATTCCCAAAGCAATAGGATACAAGACAAATAGCACTTTGAGGATGACAAAATTCAATACAACACAAAGATTATCATATCAAAGAGGCATCAAATACTGGAACTGTGATAAGTACATGTACATGGCACATCTACAGGCACACTGCAATAATTAAACAAACTATAAAACTTATAAGAGGCTAAGAAATTTACTAAAAAGAAGATTAACTGAGGGACAGACTTTGAAAATGATGACATCACAACACCGTTGACTGACAAGTATATTAAGAGATCTTTCAACATAGAAACAAATAATTACCTGTTTTCTGTAAGGAAAATCTTCATCTGACAACCCCTGCATATCTGCAAGATTCTTAAGGGTTCCTTTCATAAAATACGAAGAATTGTCACCTGAAAAAAATGGAAATGTACCGACTATTATATACACTGAGGAAAGAACGAACAAATACATCCAATGAGAAAAAGAAAATAAGGAATTAAACACCGAAGGGAACATAAAGGTTCAAAAGCAAACCGTAGAAGTTAAAGAAGAAAACAAGAAGTATTAGCATATGCTTAATTTCACCGAAATTATGTTTGACTGCCATCCAACAGAAAGAATTTAAAAAAGAAAGTGAAGCAGAACATGGGAACAAGAGATAACAGCGTCAACGAAAATACCTAATTTATCAAACATGGTTGAAACAACTTGAAATACCATGTCCCAGACTGCACTGTAACGATAATCAAGTAAGCTCTCAATAGTAGCACACACTTTCTCGATGACTGTTGGCCCAGACTTTCTATTGTCTGAATTTTTATTAGTCACAAGCTGATCTACTCCTTGCTTGACCAAACTTTCATCAATACAATTATTAATCAAACTCTTCAATGCCTCCATTGCTCCAAAAATTGCCTCCTCATGTTCAGACGCTAAAATATCTGCGAAACCAAAGGCAAGAAAGAACCAGAGCATTACTGATATTGCTTTAATAACCATGAAGCAAAAAGCAAAAAGCAAATGTCACTCAGAGACAAGACTATTGTTCCTAGCTATTAGCAGCTTACCTTTCAGGGTGCTAAAAACAAGTGGCAGCTTAACCACACAAATTTGTCTATTTAGGGAATAAACTTTTCTCATCCCAACATCCAGCAAGCGAGCAGTAAAAGTCGTGTTGTCCACAGATGTCTCATTTGTGGAGACTGAAAGAGCTAATGAGCATAACAGGTCTTGCAATGCTTCAGCTGAAATTTCCGAAGTTTGGTTTAGACAAAATACATTCAAACTATCAGTTATGCGCCTTGTTACAACTGGTTGCCGTAGTTCAAGAAGAGTTTTATAATACTTAAGAATGCCAGTCTTGCATTTCATAGACATAAGCGGAAGACATTCTTTAAGAGTATCAAGAACGTATAGGACCTCTTGAGCTCCTCTTGGCCCTTCAGTTTCATTAGTTTTTGATCCACCAGCAAGAAGCAGAAACCTTTCAAAGGTATTTGTAATCCCTTCACTTGCCGGAGCTAGTAACGGTGTTCCTTGAAAACTTTGTAGGATATCACGCATACAGGTATTTGCCTGCTTTCTCACCTGCTCAAAATTCCAAATCCACAGCTTGTATATAAGTTCAAAGAACTGAACTTCTAAGCAATTAGAATGCTTCCATGATTAAATGAAAATAGTTACCTAGTTCGCAATCAATTCATTGGATAAATGACAATTCAAGGAAAATAATTTACCAAAAGAGCTTAACAAGAATTCACCTTTGGACGCGAATCGATAATGAACCCCAATAATATGCCATATGACGGAGAAACATCAGTCCAATTTAAAGAGTCTTTAACAACCAATATATGGGCTATACATTTCAATCCTGAAGCTACTGCACCAACCGTCAGCAAGTTCAACCTTAAAACTCTAATCAAGATCTCCGATAAGAATTCTCTCTTCTTCTTCAATATCCCCGCCGAAATTCTGGGAATAGCGAGAGAGAGAATGGTAATTAGAGCATCAATTACATGAGGAGGAGGATCGGGGTTGGAAGAAGAGAGGCGGTCCAGGGAGGAGCATGCGGCGCCGAAGTAAGCCATTGGGGTGGACGGGAGGTTCTGTTCTCTGAGTTCCAGTGACATTGCGCCTATGACTGCGCAGAGGTGTTGGTGGTCCTCTTGTGCGGAGGTGGAGAATCGTGAGAGAACTGAATCACAAAAATCATCATGTGAAAGGATGATAGGGCTCTCCTCCATTTCGAGGCCTTCCATTCTTGTGGCACTGGAGATAGAATTAGGAGTTACGGAGAATCGAAAACCCTACCGGAGAAGGTGTGTGAAGCTTACTAGGGTTTATGGGGAGAATGGAAATTTCGGGCTTGGATATCGAAGTGAGGAACCAAAGCTGCTTTAGCCTAGATACACAGTCCGAAATAAATTGGATCTCCGGCCCATTAGGTTTTATATTTACTCTGAAGCTTTTTGTAGTTTTGTAATACATACGAGGAATTTTAATTGAAATTAAATATTAATCTTGGATAATATTTATCTTCCTTTATTAAATGTTAGTATTAAAATATAATTTTTAATTTTTAATATTGGATACAAGCATTAGTCATAATAATAATAATAATAAAATTAAAATATTATCATATTTGTTCTTTTAATATCAATTATAAAATATTAAGTAATATTTCAAATTGAGTTCATACTATTAATTTTAGTTCTTTAATAACGCCATTAGTTATGATATAATATTTTATTCAAGTGAATCTTTGAATGAAAAAAAAAAGTGATTCTAAAATTTATGTCCAAACCATATCTTGCGTCTGTCTCATATAATTTAAAAAAAAAAAATCAAAATCCATACAAAATTTTAATACATGACCATTGAATTTCATAAACACTAGTGTTTTAATATGTAGTTTTCTATTTGTGTCCAATCTTAATACTAAAAATGGGACATTTCACATGTAGAACAGCATATCCTGAGTGTCAACGCAAAAATTATGTACGTAATATGTTCAAATTTAAATTTCATCATCACCTCCTTTAATTTGTAATATCATTGAAGCTAAATTTTCTATAGAAGTAATGGAAAAACGTTCTAACCAAACATAAAAAATTGTCATTGAAGCTAAATATTTTTTTTTTCAGTGGAAACTTAAGGAATTTAACTCATTTATATTCAACATTTCCAAATTTCACTATATATATATATATATATATATTTGTCTTACTCGATGCTGATCGCTCAATTATATGTAGTATATTTAAAGAAGAAATAAAAATTCATACATTAATCTCAGTACAAATTTAGTGTATTAAATACAATGTACATCATATATCTGATATATGTTGTTCTCAACATAAACTAAACTTAGTTGGTCCATAATTTTAATTATTGTTAGTTTTCTCTATTGTTGTGTGCCAACTCCATATATAATAAGCATAAAATAATGGGACCATTTTTCTATCATTGTAAAGAGCATATCTACGCCAAATAAATCTGCTACATGATGTGCGCTCAACTTACAGCAAAAATGTATGGAATGTTACAAGCCAGTTAATTATCGTATATCAAATAATTTTAGAATGTTCCATACATCTAACCATTCCTTTAAGCTTTTTGTTAATATCTAATATGAAAAGCCTTAAACATTTCGTTCCCTATAGAAGTAATGGAAGACGTTTCATAAATAGTCCGAAGAGCCCAGATAATCAAACACAAATATTGTCATATATAAACAATTAGCAAGTAAGCTAAATTATTGATTTCTCTTAATTTCACAGTGTGAAACTTTAAGGAAATTTAAACTCATTTTTATCTTATTGTATTTTGCAAAAAGTCTACTTAATATAATTTCTCAATAAATTTCACTCTAATAATTTATATCTATAATTTAGCTCGAATTATATACCATATTATATTATTTTAACAGAACATAGAACATATGTGGAATCGAATTTGTCATTGATTTCTCACTTGCAGACACGCACAATACTTTATTGAGAAAGGATGAGGTAACTATTAATGACAGATCACCTAATTATATAACACAAGACACTAAAAAAATTTTTACACCATAGTTCTTAATCCATGATTCATATTTAAATGAAGAAAAGTAAAAAAATATAAATATATAGGACTATTATTTCATAGATATGGTCCCTCAAGAAAGAAAAGGCTGATATTACTACAATACAACTACAGTTACAATAAACGGGGAAGAGACATATTAGATAACTTTTATTGGCATGATGCGGTAAATGCTACTACGAAAAATATAATGTACTATATTACTGACCAGCCACACAGATCGACCAAAAAAGGGCACGTTAAAGCTTTGTGCTCCATCTTCGAAAATTAACTAAATAAGACTATAATTTCCGAAGAAATTTGAAGTGTACGAAAGTTATAATTTATTCTATATTCACACAAAATTTCATTCAAAATGTGGAATACCATTAATCACAACTGTATCCTTACTAAAGCATTCACCGCCATACCCTATAACTTACGAAGTAACTTTGTATGAGCATATCCAGATAATAGCAAATAATAGCCAAAACTCAAATAGTTGGTTGTCAGTGATTTTTGAAATCTCCCTAATATATATATAACCAAGAACTCTCACTAATCTTATACTAATAAATTAGTGGCCAATAAGATTACATATTACAAAAATGAGATCACCTTTGGACGCAAATACTTACAACATATTAAGTTATATAACAATTTAACGACCCAGTCCAGTCAAGTATACTACACAAAGAAAACCGAAATTATATATAACGAACTAGACAAGTGAACGAATTTTCATTTTTCTCACTTCAGAAGCAAACTTTGAAGGAGAGGTACTACTAGATCCAATTAAACAAGACACTAAAATTAAAAGTTCTTAATCCATATTTATGAGAAAAAAAAAAAAAAACATTTATTAATTGGTCTAAGAGAAGGCAATTACTATACACTACAGAACATGATCACTATAAGCAACACAAACACACCTAAAGCTTCCATGAAAATAACTAATAAGCATGAGAAATTAATTAGTTATTTATCATCACAAATTCACAAATGGGAACCATCCATCCTCAAGCATTCACCGCAACCCTTACCATTACGAAGACTGTAAAGCATATCCGTAGCATTACTAGTACAGCAGTGATACACCAAAAAAAGCCACTTTTATATAATAGTGCAAGTTATTACATAATATTGACAAATTCACATATTAAGTTATAACTAAGCGCAGCAAGTAAAAACAAAAACCGAATAATTGATTAACTCCCTTCAACACATGATTTTTATCCTAGTTTAAATTGCATATATATTAAAAAAAATTAATTAAAATAGTGAAATTATAATTTGTATTTTATTTTTTCCTAATATATTCTTGTATTAATTTCGTCCGTACATGGGTCTAAACAAGTTAATTTCATAATGGATAATACCGCCAGTGTACACGTGTCTTACCTTTGTGAGTTGTCAATCCTCAAACTTTTTTGTCTTGTAGTAAAATGGGTACACCAGTTTCTCTTCCTCCGCTTCCAAGGTCCGGCTGTCTTTAAATTAACAGAAAATGAGTTTACACTTCTAACCTTCCTATATTCAGTATGATTGTTTATGTATTAAAACTGTAGACGGTTTCCTTTCAATCATAAATGGGCCCCGCTTTGTACTATTTAACTTTATAATATTATCGTTCCATGGAACGATTCGTTCCACCAATAATTTCCGTTACTAGTAACCCTGTAAAGATGTGTGACCTTTCGCGTCACCTTGTTTTCAAATTCTTCAAATTCATCAACACACGTGGACTGGTCTGTCAAAGCCATAGCTACCCGTATATTGACGCTGAAATCTGAGACTTCAACGTTTTGCATTTCAAATGTTTAAAATCTTTCAGGGTAGCGCTTAATTGGCCCACTACATGTGATATCAGTTCCACACAGTCGCTCAATAGAACTCGTTCTCTCTTTCTCTTAGTTTTATGTCTTTTAGAGAGCCCTTTTAAGTACTTCGAAACTGTATGCGCGCTTGAGCTATGTCTAGCTGTGTGTTGGGGCCGAAGGAGGTGCAGGAGTAAAGTGTGCGGATGCAGATGATGGGTGATAGGACCAGATCTTGCCGTGCATTGTGGTAACATGCAGTGGCGAAGTAGGGAGTTAAGGAGAGAGAAAGGAGGAGGAGGAGAATAGTTTAGGCTATAGAGAAGAGAGAAACGGATAGGCATTGCTCGCACTTTCAGTTTGATGCAGCTGTGTGGAGAAAGCGAGTGATACTTAATTTTCATGGCTGACAATACATTTTATAGGAGACTAAAATTCAGAGATGAGCTTACAATTTTTTTTTTTAAACCACCGTTATCTGGATCCTATTACTAAGGACCGGCTAATTTTTTTCGAGACTTAATTATAGATAAAACTCTTTGTCTCTTACTGTAAGTGCGTTTAGTGAGAATCGAACGAGAGAGTTCTTTTCACATACTAGTGAGAATCGAACGAGAGAGTTCTTTTCACATACTGAATCTGCGTTGTCAATTGAGCCAGAAAACCTGTGGCAGAGGTGAGCTTCCACTTGCAGCTCTGTCATAATACGATTTTTAGGACAAATATTTGGTTGAAAAATAGTTTTTGGAATGAAAAGCACAAGGAATTGATTTGTGAGCATTATTACCATGTGGGAAAATTATTATTTAGTTCTTGAGATTTTACATAATTATTTAAGTAGTCCTCGACATTTATACATATATATATAACGTCTCTGAGGTTTGCCACCGTCATATTAAATGGTCCTTCTGTAAAAAAAATACACTTTTCCGTTAATTTTGAGAAAAAAAGACGAAATTATCTTTTGAAAAATAATTATTTTGTCCCTGAGGTTTGCCATAATTATTAAGTAGTCCCCGACATTTATACAAATATCTATAACGTCCCTGAGGTTTACTTCCGTTATATTAATTGGTCCTTTCATAAAAAAAATACACTTTTTCCGTTAATTTTGAGTGGAAAAGACGAAATTATCTTTTATAAGTTTTCATCGACATTATTATTAATCCATTTCCAAACACCTCTATATCTTTGGTCATCTCCAGCATTATAAAATTTGTTTGAGAAAAAAAGCAAACGTAAAGCATTTATTAGTCATTCTTCCTGTAAAAATTTGATTCCTTGGTCCCTGAGGTTTGCCATAATTATTAAAAATAGTATCCCCGCGAGTCACAGCTGGACACTTATTTATCTTGTCCCCAAAACAAAATAATCCCTATAACGTCCCTAGATGGGAGGTTTTGTACTTCCCTCGATTAGAGATATGTTGATTAAATTCTTGGTCCTTTGTCCATAAGATTACCTTAAATTTATATTACAACCACTTTTTCCGTTAATTTCATTAGAGTAGGACGAACAAGACTGCGCAAAAATTTAAGTCTTCTTTCAGAGTTATAAAGAATTTCTCATATATAATCATGCAGACATGATGATTTTACGACTTAAAATTAATCTCCAATTTCCGCCTTAGATAAATTACCCGTCAAACGTACACGCATTTAGTGGACCTTAGATATATATATATGACATCCGCTACTTCCAATCTACGCGGTCGTAATTCGAGTGTGACCACGACAGAATGCATGTGTTCTATAATAATGTAGTAGAAAACGTATTTCAATCGGATACTATATTAATTGGTCCTTTCATAAAAAAAATACACTTTTTCCGTTAATTTTGAGTGGAAAAGACGAAATTATCTTTTATAAGTTTTCATCGACATTATTATTAATCCATTTCCCCTAAAATACCTCAAACTCACATTTTCACCATCTCCCTCAATCTAACGCGGTCTTCATTGCCACCATCATGTTAATGAAAACTATCATCTCCTTAATCAGATCACCGCCAAAACCAAAACCCAACATCCAAACTCAATCAAGACATCATCACCCTTCATCCATTTATCTCTCTCTCCGTGATTAGAGGATTTTGGTTAGTTTGATCATTTTATTAAAAATTAACAGCAAAAAGTGTGTTTTTTGGATTACTTAAATAATTATGGCAAATCTCAGCGACGAAATAATTATTTTCCCTTTTAGTTTTGTTGGTGATCTAGTTATGAAGATGATACTTGACAGAGATACGGTGGTGGCAATGAAGAACGCGTTGGGTTGAGGAAGTTAGTGAAAATGTAAGTTTGAGGTATTTTAGAGGAAATGGATTAATAATAATGTCAATAAAAACTTATAATGGATAATTTCGTCTTTTCAGCTCAAAATTAACCGAAAAAGTGTATTTTTTTTATGGAAGGACCAATTAATATGACGGAAGTAAATCTCATGGACGTTATAAATATTTGTATAAATGTCGAGGACTACTTAATAATTATCGGGACTACTTAATAATTATGCGCAAATCCTCAGGGGACGAAATAAATTAATTTTTTTAAAAGGATAATTTTAATTTTCTTCTCAAAAATTAATGGAAAAAAGTGTATTTTTTTTGATGGGTATTTTTTTTATGGAAGGACCAATTAATATGACGGAAGTAAATCTCATGGACGTTATAAATATTTGTATAAATGTCGAGGACTACTTAATAATTATGCCAAATCTCAGGGACGAAATAATTATTTTTTTAAAGGATAATTTCTTATTTTCTTCTCAAAATTAATGGAAAAAGTGTATTTTTTTGATGGAAGGACCAATTAATATGACGGTGGCAAACCTCAGGACGTTATATTTATATGTATAAATGTCAAAAACTACCTAAATAATTATGTAAAAACTCAGGGATTAAATAATAATTTTCCCTTACCATGCTCGTGTCTGTTAGATCTTCAACTCCTGCTTTTCTCCTTTGAGACTCCCGATAGTGATTCAACACGTCCACAATAGTTCATGAGAGGGCCGTTAAACACATGACATGCTTGGTCCTTTTCTTGCATGCTCTTTTTTTTAACCGTGCTCCAATTAGATTCAAAAAAATAATTTATCAGCTCTAAACAAAAATTCTATCACTTAATAATATATGAATTATTTCTAAACTGTCGAGATTGTAAATTCAAATATTAATTGAAAATGTAGAGGCATCGTTTGTATTCAAGTTACACCAGCCCATAGGAAGACATGTTCATGCAATCCCAGCAGTAACCTTTGAAGCATGTTTTCTGAGTTTCCGCAGAATCCATAGAAGAAAAAACAAATGATTGAAGCAAGTAACTAATGATTGTCACTTTTCTCACTTCAAAAGCAAATTTTGAATGAAGATTTGGCTAATACATGATCCTATTAAACAGAACACAATTATAAAGTTAAATTTTTTATAAAAAAAATCCATATTATTTTTTTGTTTGACTCCAATTGGTCTAAGAAAAGGCAAATACTACACACCACACTACAGAGCATGAATTTTATTTTATTTTTGGTTTAACTTCACAGAGCATGACTATTAAGCAGTAAGATAGTACATACATACAGCTTCAGATGAAAATAGCGAACAAAAAATCAAAACAAGAAAAAAGAAATAGACATAACAAGTACGAGTAATTAATTACTTATCTATCATCAATCGGAACCATCCATCAAGGAGTAACCAATCTGGACCTACCGCGGCTCTCATCAAGACGATTAATCATATACAGAGCATTACTAGTAACCCTAGCCACATTTGTGATCTGTCGCTTCACATCACCTTTCACCTTGCTTTCAACTTCTTCAAAACCATCAAGACAAGTGTTCTCGTTTGTTAAAGCGGCACTCACCCATGTCTCTGCGTTGCTCATCTGCCACTGAAACGTTTCGCCTCTCAAATGCTTCAACTCGCTCAATGTGCTGCTCAACTCGTCCACTGTATCAGATATTTGTTCTACGCAGTCGCTCAGTGCGACTCGTTCTCTCTTTGTTTTAAGTCCTGCTGAGAGCGCGTTTAAGTTCTTTGAAACTCCACGCGCGCGTTCGACACTGACATTCACGGCGGCTTGGGCTATGTCTCGCGGTGTATTGGCTGAGCCGGAGCAGGAGGAGAGTGTGCGGATGCAGAGGTCGGGGTAGCTTGCATGGAGGCAGGATGATCGGACCAGATCTTGCGGTGCATTGTGGTGGTTTGCGGTGGCAGAGTAGCGAGTTAAGGAGAGAGAAAGAAAGAGGAAGAGAATGTTCATGAGGAGAGAGAAAGGGATAGGCATAGTCATTGTTCACACTTTCAGTTGCCGTAGCTGTGTAGAGAATGGGAGTGATATTTGCCATCGCCGACAATTCAATTTATAAGAGACTAAAGTTCGAAAATAGGCTTCCACTTGCAGCTTATTTACAATTTTATCAAACAGCTTTATCAGCTTTTATTTTGTTCATTCAACTGCAAATTAAAAAGTAGTAAAATAAAAGAAGAGATAAGGTTAATTTGGGTAAGAGTGGGTAGGAAAACTGGGGAGTAAATGCAGAGCAGCCAATAACGTCGGTACTTAAATTTGTGCAACAACTAATCGGTATTTAATGAGCATGATCCTACAACCTTAGAAAATCATGCGGTTCCTTGTTTTAAACTCCCAATAGTAATTGAACACGTCTAGGTTTAGTTCAAAAGTTTTTTCTTTTTTTTTTTTCATTTTTTGTAATTAAGTTCTTATTTTTTATGTTGATTTATAAAATTAAACTTGTAAAATCACATTTATTGCACACAATTCTACACGGTTTTTTTGGTACAGTGAGTGAAGTGTTTGATTTAAGCAATTTGGCTATCAATTATTGTGAAAAGAAATGGTACAATGGGCCCTTATGATATTATATATAGAATCAAGAAAAATAATGGGCAGAGTTTAATCTTCCACTATAGAGGCTAAAGATGGAGCTAAAACACAAGTTGGTTGTCTGGTTTTTATAAACATAGCAGATGATCCAAAACTCAACAATAATGGAGAAATTAATGCTTTTCCTGATTTGATGGGTTTTGCTTATCACTTCTTCAGCTTCAGACAGTGAAAGCAATGCATAGTAAGAGTGAAAACCTCAAATCATTTTTGTCATTATATTACAAAAACATGGTTTTTTTTTTTTTTTTTTTGAAAGCCCCGAAACAGGGCATGTGCTAAAGACAGAGGGACTACACTGAAATGAGGACCCACGATGGCTAAAAAATGGAGTTATAATATGAGATTTTTAGTTCACCTAATTCAAAGACTTTTCTTGCAGCTATCTTTATACTTTGACAAGAGATGAAAGAGGTCCCATTGATCAATTAGTTGCTGTGATGTTTGGTTCTTAAAATTTTTACTAATCAAATCAGTCATATCCTTCAGATATGGTTTCAATTTTCAATAGGCTTCTGTAGATATTAATTTTTGTACCAATAATTTCAATAAATAAAGATGCAAATGGAACAAAATCAAACCCGCGACCATATTGAAAAATAAATATCTTCTTGTGCATTTTTATGAGCCGTCAATAGATTAATTTTTATGTAACATATAAATTATTTAGCATTATTATTCTAAAAGCTCATATAGTATATTGATATTCGTCGGGAGCACTTTACCATTTAGTAAATTTATTCGGTGTAAGTATAATTTAATTTTAATTTAGTAGATTCGAGATACATATAATTAGTATAAAAGAAAAAAGAAAAATATTACATTAATAATGTTAATTAAAGATCACGTCGGCCTTTTTGAAATAAATTTATTCTAATAAATTTTATGATATTTTAAAATTTCATATCCCCATCTTAATGAAATTATTTTTATAGAATTAACAAACATAATTTTATCATTTTAATTTGTACCAAACAATATTTGAAAACTAATTTTAAAGTAAATTAAACATATTAATAAAAACTGGAAATAGTTAAACAACAATTTGTTACATCTTTTTTTTTTTTTTTTTAAAAAAAAGGGTTGAAAAAGGGTTCTAACATGAAATGAATACTAATTTTTTTTTTTTTTTTTTAGAAAAAAGGGTTCTAACATGAAATGATACTAATTTAAGCATAAAATTTTAGCATATTCAAGAATATAGTCTAGTGGTAAATATATATACTGAGATTCTGATTCAAATTTACTCCCAAGTATTAAAAAATATATAAAATTTTGGGATACTTGAAAATTTCCTCTTAAAAAAGTTTAGACTACGTAATTATGGAATTTTTTTTTTAAGATCAATGGCCCATTGATTAGACGGTACGTAGAATAACGTACCCAACCCTTTAAAATAAGGGATAATCACAAAACACAGTACCGTACATAATATAAATAAATTAGTGTTGGCTAAGAGGTTTAGGTTGGAAGGTTGACGGCGAAGCCAGGGGCCCGTTTACAAAACCTTGGATTTGTGTCAAGGTTTAAGGTGATGAGAACACGAAGGTGCTTATAAGGGGACAAGATCCCGTGCGGCTTAAAATATTTTTTTTTAACCCATAATTTTGGAATATATTATAATTACACCCTATTTGTTTCAATTTATTGCATTTGATTTCCATAATTTAAGTATAATTATATTATATAATTAAATTAAAATTGAGAAAAAAAATAATAAAGTAATAGTAAACAAGAAGCATTTGGCCACGTGAAGCTGAGTTGCATATGTGGGGTTTCATAATATATATAGCAGCTACCAGCAGGAGATTAATGAAGGGAAGGGGTCCTATGGTCCTATTACATGTACAACTATTCATGGATAAATGTCTCAATTTTTATTGGCAAATAGAGAGGCCAACATTAAATGTTGTTGGGCCCACCATTGCCCTAAAATTCGAACAAATTATTATTTTTTCTGGGGTTTATAATAAGCTTGATTGCACAGAAAATGCCAAGGATGGTTTGTTTGGCTTGATTGGAAAATCAGGGATTGCAAGCTAGGATATTTTTTGTCCCTTTGCAAGATTAGAAAATACTGTAGTTTCTTTTCAATAAAAAAAAAAAAAGCTGTAGTTTCAAACCAGGAGAAGGGGTAAAACATACAAAAGTTAATGAGATTAAATATTAGATTCGAATTTTTCGGTCAAAAGTATTTTCGTTAGAGAAAATTATTCGATTCGTCCAATGGGCTGGATATATACTCATGTACTGACCATATAATATTGGGCTGGATATACAGTCGTTTTAGCATTTGCTTTTATTTGAAAATTATAATTTGATGCATGTGATTTGAGAAATATAATTAATTTGTTTTCATTTTTTTAAAATATAATAATTTTTTTCTAATTATGTTCTGCACACTTTTAGGTCTTTTTGTCAAATTTTTATAATTTTTTTCTTTAAGTCAATAAGAAAATACATAGATTACAGGAGAGATACTAAAATATTATACCATAAAAATTATAGTATAATTCTTATGGTTTAAAAAATACAACTAGTTCGTTCCTGTGCTTTTAAAAAATAAAAGAGACATTTTCGTCATTTCATAATATACTAAACGGAAAAAATGAAAAAATTGAACAGAATTACCTTATAGTTTGATGAAAATAAACTATAAGGACATTCTAGTTTATTTCTCGAAAGACAGAAACAAACTAATTATATTTTGCAAATTGCATACATTAATTTTTTTAGAATAAAAAAAGAAAAGATGGCCAGCGAATCAAAATCCATAGGTAGTTTGAATATTTCATACATGATGCGGTAGTAGGTATGTAATTATGCACTCTTAATTTATTGAATGAAAAAAATTATTGAAAAAGCAAAGGGATAGTAAAATTTAATTTTAATAATTTATGATTTCTTGAAAAGAAAATACTTAACACATGAGAGAGAGAGAAAATCATAACAATTTTGACAAGGCTAAATGCAAAAAATATACCCCTATATTTTATAAAAAATCTTATATCACCCGCAATTTTTATTTTAATGCGTTATATATTTTAAGTTATAATATTGCACTTATTGGAGACTTTAACTTTAACTTACAAAATTATTTTTTATTGAATATAAAAACTTGTAAAACTTTATTAATTAAATTTTTATTGAATAGTAAAAAAATGAGTAAGTTATTATTTCAAATGTTGTAATCATTTATTAAATTAATATTTTTCATAAAAAATTTAAAAATATTAAAAAATTATTATTGCTAATATAGAAAAATATACAATATTATAAAAATTTATAATTTTAAAAATATAATAAATCTTTCATAAAATTTGAGATGCCAAAACTAAGTGTATATATATATTTAACCATTTTGACAAAGTATATTAAATCATACATTACAAATAAATATGCACATAACCACCCATCAAAACAATAATTCATGACTTATTATATTATAAGATAATCACGAAATCTGATTGTGGTAGGTAGATGTGTACTTACGTGTGGAATTTCTACAATATATTAAAAACTCTACCGTCAAATTGTAGAGCTGGCAGCCTACCAGGTATATTTGTTACATGCTTATGCTACTCATAATTTTAGTAAATGTTAGTTTTAATATTTAACTTCTTATTAAGTTTATTTTTCATATTTATATAAATTACAAGTTGTAAGCAGATGAATGAGAAAGCTCCCTCTATTGCTAGACCTTCTCTTAGTTTTAGTCGCTGTCATATTTGGTTTTTGGTTCTTGTTACACAGTTATCATAATGGGTAATACGAATTTGTTTTTCCCTTTCAAAAAAAAAAAAAAAAATACGAATTTTTTTCCCTTTCAAAAAAAAAAAAAAAATTATTATGATAAAAATGAATATTATATATATATTTACTTTTTTTTTTTCAAAGTATATATTTAAAGAGAATCGATTTTTTCAAATAATATTTATATATATTAAAAAATCTATTTATCTAATTACAAAATTGCGTGAGCGAGTTCACTTTTACTAACTTCAAGCAATAAATGCCCGTGGATCCCTTCTTCTTTATTGGTGTAAACAGAAAAAATGAAAAAACTGGCTCGCAGAGAATCAGTCATTTTGCTATATTAGAGATATAATTGTGGCCTTAGAGTCTGTGAGTGACAGTGGTAATTCTTCAATCGTGATAGGTATTTTTTATGTTGTGTTTTTAAGTTGCAAAATCATAAATTAATGGGGCTTAACCATATATGGGCCATAAGTAATTGCCCTTCACAAACGCAATAAGATTTGTTAAGAGTAGCGTCTGGAAATATAAACAGAAATTAGCGTTTACCGAGTATAAACATTCACCCTAATTTTCATAAAGGATTAATGGACAGATCCCTGGGCGCCAAACTAATACATGAATTAAATCTCCGAAAATATATGTGATACAATTTCATATTGCCTCAAGACAGCCGGGTATTCAAAATACAAAAAATTATTAAAGCGAGAAATAAGGCAAATTGTAAAAAATTTTTCATGCATTTCATGATAAAAAAACCATAATTTCTGTTAATGAATTATAGAATATATTAAAAAACGCCCATGGAATGTTCATTTGTTGGCATTATCTTTACAATTCTACTATGCTTCCGAAGAGTTCAAGTATGGATTATTATTTTTTTTTTTTTTTTTTTAATGCAAAATCAAATTGGGACCAATATATATCACACGATAGATTTTTAATCGTTTGATATCAAATTGGGACCAGTCATACTAATTTTCAAAATAACAATGCACTATTAAATAATAATGTCAATTAATGTTCCTATCAATCAATTATTAACATGGCATTAAAATTTTCATGCATTCATATAAAAAACAATAATTTCTTTAATAATATAAATAATTAAAAAACGCATGAATTTCATTGTTGGCATATCTTTACAATTTATATGCTTCAAGTTCAAGTATATTATTTATTAAAAAAAAAAGTTCAAGTATACGTGAAGTATTATTATTTGAATTTTTAATATTTTGTGTGCATGTATAATATTTTGTGTCGATAAAATTAAAATTTTTAATTTGATTTCATATATTTTTTGGGTTTATTATGATATACATAGAGCTATAGTATGTGGTCAGATAAAAAATAAAAAAGGCAATATCTTTGGAAAGTTTTCTTTAACAACAACAATATATTTACATTTTTAGGAACTTAATTTAATCCACAAACTAATTAAGAAAAAGCTTCAATCATGTTCATCGCCCTAATCCACCTACCAATTACCAAAACAACACAGCCTGAGCTGTACTTTTTCTTCTAAAGCCATCCCATAACCTAACTACATTGCCGTTTATCGCCGTCAAATCCTGGTACCTGTACCAGTCCATGTCTCCCATTCTTATTCTCAACACTTTCTCCCAACTCTCCCTCCACTCTCCATAACCACTTCCGTTTTCCCACTCTCCAACCACCGTTGAGTACTCCTCACAGTCACCGTTACCTTCACCTTCTCTATCATCTTCGTAATATACGACAAACTTCGCTTTGATAACTCCGTCATTTTCAAAAACTGACGGCCTTGCTGAAGCCGGTTTTAATCGTTTTGATGTTGCTGCTGCTGGCACCGGTTGTTTTGATGGCTCTATAACTGACTTGATTGCCGATTTTTCAATAACCGTCCGAGACTTATTGCCATGGCAATCAATGCAATTGACCGAAGACAGTGGTTCCGATTTGAGCGACGAGGAGGAGACAACGCCGCCGGCACCGGAAGTTCTAATCCTCCAGAAGCTAATAGCGGCGGTGATAAGAGCGACCCACGTCCATAGATTATTAACAACCGTAAAGATTCCAAAGCTCGCATAATCAAAAGCTAAAGCTTCAAGAGGAGAATCCAAGACGTTCATGATAAATTTCTCTGTGTTTTTCTCTTTTTAGGTTTGTGTCTCTGTTACAAATGAAAGAGAAGAGAAATGAACGGATATATATGAGAGACGAGAGAGTATGTGAGCCGTTGGATGAGGCAAGTGGGAGGTAGGATCTGACAAGAGATGCCAAGAATCAAGAGCTAAGATGCTTATTGTTAAGGTAGATCCAAATTATATACCAAATTCTGCAATTATGATTTTTTTCATTATTTAGATTACATTACACGTGTAAGGTCAGGAGTGCGTCTCATCTTCGTCCCGTATCCTCCTTTTGACGCTGACCACTAGACAGTGTGCGGAGAGAGGAGACGAGTGAAGTGGAGAAGAAACTTGACCGTGAGGCGACGGTTTTTACACGTGGGAACATACAGGAGGTCTGTGACTTAGAGGAATCTCACAGCGCGACGTTTACATTTCTGTGCCTAATTTTTTTTCACTTTTTAACTTTAGGTTAATACAGACATGTTGTAAATGCGTAGCTGTAGCTGAGGCGTGGAAGAGTCAAACATGGCGTTTATGCAGTGTGAAATTGTGTATTCTCATATTAAATTAGTATTAATTTTTTATATAATCAATAGTTAATTATTAATTACTATTATTCAAAAAAAATTGTAACTTATAATTGTAATTATTATTTTATATTCTCTTTCTGCCAGTGGAAAAATAGCCATGTCGGGCTATATGACCAAAAAAATTCCTTTCGTCAATTTAGCAATGAGAATTAAAAGTTACAATTCTTAATGGCATATAGAATAAATGGAGAGAATATACCGCGTCTAGATAATTAAGTATTAGTCGATGACGACTGACTTAAGCACATATAAAATTGTACATTGAACTCCAATAATGTCTTAACTTTTAAGTGATTTTACTTATTATTTTATTAGTGAATCTTTAATTTTTAAGATTAAATCATTATTAATATTTTTAACCAATGCGAATACTTATCTTTATCGAAGCAGAAAAAATAAATTTAACACTTCATCCATCTCATAATTTATTTCATGATTTGACTTGCACAAGGATTAAAAAATTTAATTAATATAATTAAATTATAATTTTTTTACTTCATTTTTTTCTAGTATACCCTCGTTTTAGTATCCATCAAAATTTAAATATTAATTCATATTAAATTATTCTTGGAAATTAATCAAACATTTGATTAAATATAATTTTATTGCAAGATTAAATGTTATATGTTAATTTTATTTATATCAAAATTTAATTAACCACAATATAATAATTTGACCATTATATTTATTAAATAAAGATAAATAAGACAAAAATCATGAGAAAAAAAAAAGTATATTGGTATAATTTTATATAGCATTAGATTTTATTTCCCCATACAATTAAGTATAGACTAAAGTAAACTATATATATATTCATATTGCGATTAAAAAATTCATAAAAGAAAAAACGTGTCTCTCGTGCTACATTAATGATAAACAAAAATCACGATGTTGAACCCTCGACTTGAGATTTAATATGGCATTGCCTTCTTGTACGGTCCAATTGACTGCTAATGAAGAGGCGGCTAATAAAACTGAAAATGTGAAAAAAAGAGGTCTCAGCTTCGAAATCCACCAAAGAAACTTGAGCTTTCTCTTATTTTACCAATGTAATGATTTTTTTTTCTTGTTCTATTTCTTTTTTTCCTGTTCCAACATATCATTAAATGGAAGTTTAAATTTTTATTGTTGAGGGATGACCAATTAATTGGAAGTCCTTGCTTACAAAATTTCCAGGAAGGATAGTGAAAAAAGGTAAGATGTCATTGAAAGTAAATTCTGGTTGTTACAGTCTGTAGAAACTGTTAATTAATTAAAGTTTTAATTTGGTAGGTTGGAACACGAGTTCAATAAAATTTCCCACAAAAAAAAAAAAAAAAAAAAGTTTTTAATTTTGTAAGTTGGAACCAGATTCAATAACAATTTCCCACAAAAAAAAAAAAAAAAAAAAAAAAAAAAAAAAAAAATCTAAAAGATGGCTGTCTTGTATGCAACTTTCTTTTTCACTGTCGGTTGTTTTGAACAGACTGTTGGGTTGGTTCAAATATATATAGGACTTAAATTTCTGAAACAGCATTAGTAATTTCATGGGGTTGAAAGAAAGATGGGTCTATTTTATTTTAGACTCGGAAAATATTATTCTATTCAACTTTCCATGCAATATATAAAGTTATGGAAAATTATAAATTGAATTCAAAAGTTTCACAGTCAAAACCATATGAAAACCCTGGACCATAATATATATATAGTTCAAAAGTTATAAATTATAAATTGAATTCAAAAGTTATGGTGACATATGAAATATATATATAGTTCATGAGAGGTTTGAATCAACAGTTGGGTAACATGGACCAGACTCCAGAGACTAGGTTGAAAACCATAAACCGAGAAATGGTCAGTTATACTGCCGAATCGTGGTTTTGGTATAGACGCTTGGACTTTGATTTCAAGAAAATTAATTAACGTACACACTTTGATTTCAAACTCTGTATATTATTAAACAATTAGAAAATTAAAATTAATGCATATATCTAACAACTGTTTATTTTCCTTAAAACTTCTCCTAAGTTTCTTGGGTATTTCCAAGTCCAATAATCTTCAAATTCATAAATTCTTTTTCTTCTTCCTCTTCTTATGAAATAATATTCACATAATGTAGTAATTAAGTTCACCTTTTTTTTTTTTTTTAATTTCATTAAACGATTATTTATATTAGTTAAAGAATTAACAAATAATAAATTTTTTTGCTAATCAGGTTTGGTATGCTCTTTTCGCTAATATGAGGAAATTTTATTTTTTCACCATCTAAATTTAAAAAATAAATATTAGTCAATAAATTGGGAGAAAAACCCATTTATGAACTGAAATAACATCATATAAATCTTTTTGAGAAAATGATAAATTATTATTACAATATTATTTTTTTAAATTAATTGAATGGTTATTTGAAAATTGCTATAATCTTTTTTAATTTTATGTCTAAGATTTAAATTGAAATTCAATAACAATTATCTATATATATATATAAATCTATTTCTAAAATTTTGATGGGATTATATTTTCTCTGTGCAAAGTTAATTTGATGTTGATTTTTTTTTAAAAAAAAAGAAAGAAAATCAATAATGATTGAGGTTCTTGTGATGCAGACGATATGTGATATGGTGAATAGAAAGATGCATTGCATGGTGATGGAATAGTTAAACTTAGAGTTGCACGAGTTCGACCTCTCGCTGCAGCCAGCAGCCAGCAGCCAGCAGCCGGCACAGGAAAGACAAATGGTCTTCACTATCAATATCATTGGTGCCCACTCAGGCACCCACGACTAATATTACACCGTACTGCAATATTATTGCCATCTTTTAAAAGTTATGATAGAGCCAAATAATTGGAAAGAGGGCAACTGAGTTTGTTTATTAAAACGGGAGCTAGTACAATTAATCAAATTTATTATAATTTAATTGTTTAATAACCGGAAACAAGTTGATTTTATCTTTAAAATAAAATAGCCTAAACCTTCTTAATTAGCTCACCTTATTTATTTTATATATTTTCAATATGCGATTAACTTATATCTACATACTTTTATATTCAAACATCTTGTTTTTGCTATTAAAACATTTTCTACATATCATTTTTTTAAACTAAATTCAATATGGGATTAATTTTCTAGATTCATTTTTTATATATATATTTTCATCATTCTTTTTAAATGAGGGAAAATATAACCTCCTTTCATACAAAAGTGTAGGAGTTAGGAATTATAATTTATTGAAAAACAATAATCGATGTGCAATAATTTCGTATTTGCCCTTGTTTAGTTATTATTTAAGGGAAACCCACAAATTTATAGGAAACAAGTCATGCAATGGTTAGGCTTTTTCCCGGAAGTCATATATGTGCCTCCTAGGATGCATTATGCATATGCAACAATCCTTTACCGCACATCCATTGGCAACTGTATAACAGTTAGGGTTTTGAAACTACAAAGAAACTCACGAAATCTTCTCACCTTCATCAGAAAAGAAAAAGAAGTAAAAATGAAAACCATGTACTTCGAGAAATTTCCCCTCCATATCTAACCAATTTCATACAATTACTATATTATTATTATTTATTAAAAAAATGGTCACCTTTATTTTTTTTTTTTTTCAAAAAGTCCATCCATGTGCTATAAATAGCCATCACCCATGCAAAACTTTGCATTCCACTGTCACCATAAACTCGTAGTCTCTATAGCTAATTCTTACCCAAAACCTTGCACTAAAATCCCATTTCAATTATACTTAACAAAGAAAAAATTCCCATTTTAACAATGGCTAGGGAAAGTCATATCGTGGAGTCAAAAATTGGTATTATAGGGGCTGGGGTTAGCGGGTTAGCAGCGCTTAAGCAGCTAGCTCACCATAATCCAATCGTTTTTGAAGCGAATGATTGTATTGGAGGTGTTTGGAAAACTTGCGTTTACCATTCCACAAAACTTCAGTCTTCTCGTGCTGATTATGAATTCTCTGATCATTTTTGGCCTAACAGAGATGATCCAGCTTTTCCTTCTCATTCTGAGGTTGTGGATTATTTAAAATCTTATGTTGATCGTTTTGACCTATTGAAGCATATTAGGTTCAATTCTAAGGTGGTGGAGCTCCGGTTTGTCGGTGACCTGGAACCAGCTGATGGTAATAAGTATGGGGAGTATGGCAGCCTCCTCCCTGGTCAGCCTGTATGGGAGGTAGCGGTGCAAACCAATCAATCCGACACTATTCAGGTCCTTTTTTCCTTTGACTACTCTGTATAATGAATATTTGTATAGTTAAAACATGAATTCTAGGTTTCTTTTTTTTTTTTTTTTTCTTTGAAAAATACCATTAATTTGATCATATGTTGATATATATAAAAAATTCTTAAACTCCTATATATCATAACCAGACACTTGACGATAAGATTATTTTTCGAATTAGTAGGATATTATCTTATATAATATAAATTAATTATGTTGTTTAGCAATATATAACATACTCGTAATTAGCTTCACCTTAATTATTATTTTTTAAATAATTAGCTGATATTATTCATTTGTTGCTTCTTATAATATGTATATACAGTGGTATGCGTTCGAGTTTCTTGTTATTTGCATAGGAAAATATGGAGATATAGCCAAGGTTCCAGAATTTCCTTATAATAGAGGACCAGAAATATTCAAGGGAGAGGTATTGCATACGCTTGATTACTGCAAACTGGACAAGGAATCTGCCTCTCAACTTCTTAAGGGAAAGAAAGTCGTCGTCGTTGGCTTCAAAAAATCTGCTATTGATTTAGCCTTGGAATGTGTTGAGGCAAATCAAGGTATATTACATATATTTATTTAATTGGATGGATATTAACTAATTAATCGCAGCTTATAAACTACATATATAACCATAAAAATATATCTAAGTAGGTGCAAGCATGTCAAAGTTCTTCGTTTGACAATATTTTTTCGATAATAAATGTTAGTTTACATTGGAATTTCTAAATTGTTTTTTTTTCTCTTATTTATTTTATAATTTCTGTGATTTTGCAAATGTTACAGAATAATTTTAATAGCTAAACGATATTTTATGCACTCATTTTGTGTAATACAAGAAAATTTAAATAATTCTTGTCGTGCATTTAAAGAACCACAAACTCTATTGATTATGATAATTAATTGTAGATTTTGATAATTACTAATGAATTTATATTGAAAAAATAATTTTATTCGTTAAATAGTTTTTCAATATTTAGATCATTAATTTCTTTCCTTTATCATACAATACATGATAAAAAATATGTATTTTTCAGTTCCCACTATATTTATGAAAAATAAATAAAAGATTGAATTTTGAACTCTCTTTATTTCTTGTATTTTCTTGAAAAATACAAAAAGAAGAAAAGATAACTTATTTGGTAAAAAAAAAAATGATTTTACGTAATAATTAAATCATTGTGTAATTAATATCTTGTACAGTTACATAATTAAATATTATATAGTGTCAAGTTGGTCTGTATTAAAGTGGTGGACAAATAATAATAATAATATATTATGAATTTATGTATTATCAACCATGACTAGGCACAATATTCCACGTTAAATTGATCTGACATTTTGCATGCATTTTGCTCCCTTTCTCCAAGCCATGTCTCAAAGAGGAAAGGGCATCTATTGTCGTCAAAGTCTCATAATAGTGAAGGCAAAAACAACCAAGTGTCGTTTTGCCAACGCCAATTTTCTCTTTACTTTTTTTAAAAAAAAAAAAAAAAAAAATTTTAAAGACCAGCAAACTCTATGACTTTATGTATAATTAAATGTAGATTTTTTGATCAATTACTAATAGAATTTAAATATTGAACAAAATACATTTATTCCGTATCACATATAGTGTAATATTTCAATATTTAAGATCCATTAATTTTCTTTCTTCTTAATTTCATTAAACAATAGCATGTGAATAAAAAACCATAGTCTGTATTCTTACCAGTATCCACCACTAATATTTTATGAAAAAATTAAATGAAAAGAGTTGTATTATTGAACTCTCTTTATTTCTTCGTTACATTATTCATGATCGCAAAATACAAAAAAGAAGAAAAGATATACTTATTTGGTAAATAAATAAACATGAATTTTACGTAAATAGAATTAGAATCAATTGTGTAAATTCAATCATTGTCTATAGTCAGTTACATATTAAATATTTATATAGTGTCGAGAGTTGGTCTGTATTAAAAGTGGTAGGACAAAATAATAAATAATAATATATTTTTAATGAATTTTTATGTATTATCAAACTCATCGAGACTAGGCACAATATTTACCACGTTAAATTGATCTTTTGACATTCATTTGCATGACATTATTGCTCACCTTTCTCCAAGCCAATGATCTCAAAGAGGCAAGGGCATTCATACTTGTCGTCAAGTCTCATAATAGGTGGAAAGGCCAAAACACCAGCACCAAAAGTGGCGTATATTGCCAACGCTCAATTTAATTTACATCTTTAACTTTACATTCTTAAACCAAAAAAAAAAAAAAAAAAGTTCAAATTAGACTCTTAGCGATTAGGTATCGTATCTTTTTTTAAAAAAAAAAAAAAAAAAATTCAAATTGACTCTTAGGTTAGGTATCGTATCATGAACTAGGAAATGTCCAACCCCATGTTTCCAATCTTGGAAAATTGGAAAAATTCTGTTTTTTCCTCAATTTGCGCATTTTCTATAATTCAATTCAACTCTTTGTGACAGTGATAGGAAAATTCTAAAGAATTTTGCACGAATTTTTATCTTTTTTTTTAAAAAAAATATATATAAAATAACTTTTTTTTGAGGAAATAAAATTCAGTTATTGCAGGTCTTTTTAGTTTAATTAACTAATCTGTACATCACGTTTCATATTTTAATTTAAGTACTGTTACGATTTATGCTCTAATGGAGGTTTTTTTTTTTATTTTTTATTTTTAAATTATGCTCTAATGGAGTTATAGCATATAAAATTCACTCATTAGTCAATTATATTTAATTGGATTAGACTTTATTTCATTTTCCGTTTTCCTAATTAATTTGATTCTGACTAAGTTTTATTCGAGATTTTTTAGTATTAGAAACTACTCCGGTGGTACTAAATTAAATTTAATTAATCTAATTAATAATAATTAATCCGGCGTACCTCATACCTAACTTAATTAGATAAGATCAGAGTTTGTTCCCTTTTTCTTTTAAATAATATTAATTAATTATGTGAAACTCATTTATATTTGAAAGCCGAAAGACTAATTACATCTGTAGCTCACTTGCAAAATTTTGCGGCGATTTTTGAATGTGATGCAGGTCCAGATGGACAGCCCTGCACAATGGTGGTAAGAAACTTACATTGGACTGTTCCACATTACTGGGTTTGGGGTTTGCCATTTTTCTTATTCTTTTCCACAAGATCTTCGCAATTTATCCATGAAAGGCCTAATCAAGGCGTCCTCAAGGCCTTTCTCTGCCTACTTTTTTCTCCAGTGGTAAGTCATTTTCTGTAAATATATGGAAAAGGTCCTTAATAATTAAGCATGTTGCCTATATTATTGATTATTTGTATTGAATTTTTGCAGAGGCATGCAGTTTCCAAGTTCATAGAGTCCTATCTGCTCTACAAACTGCCTCTGCAGAAATATGGATTAAAACCAGATCATCCTTTCGTCGAAGATTATGCTTCGTGCCAGATGGCTATCATGCCGGAAAATTTCTTCCCAGAAGCTGACAAGGGCAACATTCTGTTCAAAAGAACATCAAAATGGTGGTTCACTAGAGAAGGACTTGAATTTGATGATAGCACTGAGTTGAAAGCTGATGTTGTGATTCTTGCTACTGGTTATGATGGAAAGAGAAAGCTCAAAAATATCTTACCAGAGCCTTTTTGTAGTTTGTTAGAGTATCCTTCTGGTCTCATACCCTTATACAGGTTACAACAATTAGCTCCTTTTTTTATCACAGGAGTTTCAAGAATCAATTGTCAATGATTCGAGAGTAACAACCATTTTTATTCTTTTTCTTGCAGAGGTACAATCCATCCATTGATTCCAAACATGGCTTTTGTGGGTTACATACAAAGTGTTTCAAATCTTCACACATCAGAGCTGCGCAGTATGTGGCTAGCAAGACTGGTTGACAATAAATTTAAGCTCCCAACTGTAGAGAAAATGCTTGAGCAAGTGTCAAAGGAGATTGAAGTAATGAAAAGAACGACTAGGTTTTACAAGAGGCACTGCATCTCCACTTTCAGCATCAACCATAGTGATGATATCTGCGAAGAAATGGGATGGAGTTCTTGGAGGAAGAAAAGCTCGCTGGCTGAAGCATTTAGTCCATATGGCAGTCAAGACTATGAGCAGAAATAACGGTTTATAACCAAAAAAAAAAAAAAAAAAACAGGAAAAAAAAAGGAAAAAAAAAAAAATCATCAATATCTAATGCCATTCTTTCTTTCTACACATAAATAAGGAAAGAGTTGAAGTTTAAGAAAAATAATGCGGTTATCATGCATAGGAGTATTTGAAATCTGTCTCCATAAATTATGTTGTTCAGTGTTTATCCAAGAGAAAGGATAAAACCTTTTAATAATGTGATTTGCCAAGAATATTGTAATATGAAAAACTCATGTTATATATGATAAATATTTTGATTTTTCTCCTCATAATATATAAACAAAACACCTTAATAACAAATCGAACTCAATTCCTTGTAAATGTATAATACAGGGCCATTGTTGAGCTACAAGAGAATATACTAACGGGGGAAAATGGTAAGACAAAAGCAATACAACATAGAAGAAAAGTTCAAAGGCTTTGAAGTAGTTTCAGGGTTTCATCAATATGCTTTTCGGGTTGGAACTGGTTGTTGTAGATGAGTTGAACCACGCCTTTCTTGTCAAGAACATACGTCTGTCTTCCAGGTAATGCTCCAAATAAATCTCCTGGAATGCCCCACTCTTTTCTTACTTTATTTCCTTCGTCACTCAGCAATGTAAATGGAAGTCTATATTTTTTCGCAAAAGCCTGCAAGTTAAAGACATTTTTAAGTTTTTTCTGTCAATTTCTATTAGGATTGATATCATTTATGCGCTACAACGAGTCAAATGAGCTCAAGCATGCAATCAAGCTAAACTAAATCCAGAGCTTCATACTTCACAAAGGTTAATTGTACTATAGAACAAAAGCAAATTAACTAAAATTATTCGTGGAGTAATTAATTTTGGTAAGTCAAAATCCATTCTTGGAATGAAAAAGCTTGGTTGAAGCCCTAAGCTCAAATCAAAGGAAATGTTTAGCTCAATAGCACTCTCTCTCTCTCTCTTGCAGCTTATATTCTGCATGCAAAAAACAACAGAGCCAGCATGAAAGTAAAGGGGACATGTGGTTGGAAAAATCGATGGATAACACGCACAAGTAATTTGGGTTTTTGCCAAATCAACCATAGGCAAAGAGAGGCATTTGAATGGAACTAAATTAATGAGTGAAATTTAAATAAGGAATCTAATTAATATTAAACAAGAAATGAAATTATAATTTATAATATTAATCATGCTCCATGAAAGAAAGAAGTTATGTTGTTACATTGTGCGACGATGTATCATCACCACTGATTCCAATAACCTCTGCTCCTGCTTTCTTAAACTTCTCATAAGAATCCCTGAAAGCACAGGCCTGCAAAGATACAGCCATTTTAGTATCTGCACTACTTGGAAAGATGCCTGAACCTATGTTCTTCTCATAAGAATAACTAGTTTTAACAACTCGAAATTCAAATAAAACATGAATTTTGTTTATTCACGTCACAGTGGCTTCTGAATTATGAACAGTGAACACAGCAAGCACATACACCACACGTCTACTATACATTCAAAACTTATAGAAATGGTGATTTCTCCAAAAGTTCAAAACTTTCTGGTTGCAACATTGGTAATTCAAACAAAATAACAATGAAACCTTACGATGATAATAAAAAAGTAACCTTTCTCTAACCTACATTATTACATTATTCTTACTTGGAAAAGAAATATTTAGATTTCTATAAAGTTAAAGCAAGAACTTCAAAGCAAGAAATTAAGAAAATTACCTGTTTGGTGCAGCCAGGGGTCTCATCAGCTGGGTAGAAATAAACAACTACAGGCTTCCCTTTGAATTTAGAAAGGCTCACATTTTTCCCATCTTGATCTTTCAATGTGAAAGACGGAGGCACCTGTCCTTTATTCACCTGAAAAAAAAGAAGACAAACCCAAAATCAATAAATCGAAAAATGAATAAATAGAACCCGAAATTTCCTACATTGACCAAATGCACCTTAGCAAAAATGGTAGTCTTCAAAGAAGAAGAAGATGGAATTGTGAGAGAAGATAAATTAGAGAGCTTGAGGCCATAAAATTGGGATTGTGAAGCTTTGGAGAAAATTGGGAGATTTTGAGAAGGAGAGTGTCTGGGTTTCTGAGTAGGAAGGAGAGAAGGTAGAGAATGCTTAGGTAGAGAAATGGAAGCCATTTGATATAGAGAGAAGCAAAAGAAGGATAAATGTTATTTGGTCCTTTTGTTGGTCGCATTTTATGGGTTTAGCAAAGGAAAGATAAGGGTCAAAGGAAGCAAAGTCACTTATTGGGACGACGATTGCAAGAAGATGGGGATGAATTTGGCCTTTGGCGTGGACAATTGCTGACCCCAATCCTCTCCTTTTTCTTTTAAAAAAAAAAAAAAAAAAAATTTTTTACATTTTTAAATATTTTTCAATTTTTTTTGTAAAGAATCTATTTAAATGGGGGTTTTTAGAATTAAATATTTTAAAAAAAAAAAAAAAAACCTCAACTATTTTTTTACATTATCATTTTTTTTGTAAGAATCTATTAAATGGAGGGTTTTTAGAATTAAATAATTAATAATGGATATTTGTATGGACCAAATCAACTTGAAATTTTGTAATAACTGAAAAATTTTTAACATTTGTTGATAGAAATAACAGATATGTACTAATACCTAAAGATTATTTAAATTACATATTATTAATAGAAATTTATAAAATAATATTTATTGCTAAAAAGAATTATATTTTATATATTACTTAAAAATTTTTTGATTATTTTGATTACTTTGATTACCATTTTTAAAATAACAGAATAAATAATCTTAAATTGAATTTTTTTAACATATTAAAAATTAAAAATAAACAGAAAAACTATTTTTTAAACCAAAATAACGGATATTTTTTTTTATTTTATTTGAAGAAGCTAAAACTTAGAATTATCTCATTTCGTGCTAAGAAAAATAATATATATAAAACAAGAACTCATGGTAAAATAATGTGAAATTTTAAATGTTAACAAAATTTTAGCAACTAATGAACCCATTTAGCAATTACGAGAATCCATTTTCGGCCCAGCAGAGTGGTCATTCATGTATGGACCTGAGTCTATTGGGCACAAGTCGTCCTACCATTTTCCATACATCTAGGGACTAATCTGCAATTTAATTTTGTCAATTTTGTACCGGTGAAAATAGTAGGCCAATGGCAACAAGTGCGCTCTAAGCAGATTCTTAAAACCCTATAACCCCTAAAAACCATTCCAATCAATCTCCTCTCAGTTCTTTCGATATACGATTTTGGGGTTCTAATATCTGATCTTTCTTGTCGTGTTATCGTGTTCTAATACAAGAAAATGGAGGGAGTGCAGAAATTTTTCCGTCATGTTGCAAAAGAGTCGAAATCAGGGACTTCTTTTCCTTCCCCGAATGACAGTTCGTACAATTTCGGAGGAGTTACCGATGCTTTATCTTCTTCTGATCAATCTCGTGTTATTCTCTACAGGCCTCCCAGGTATTTCCACTTGTTGTTGAAGTTTTCATTTTTACTATTAAATTCAAAACCCTTGTTGTAAATTATTGATTTTTTTTTTATTTGGTCGTGGCCATTGAGTTTCAGATAATTATTGAATTGTTATGTACTTCAGTTTTGTAACTTGAGCTCCATGAGATAGTCTAATTCAGAGTACTGAAATAATTTATTTATGGGGTACTAATGTTTAACTGCAATTGAATTGTTAGTTGAAACATCATTCATGAGTTCTTTATAGCTAATTTTTCCAATGGCAGAAATATGGTCTCACTGTGGACTTGCTCAAAAGTGTCTATAATTTTCTTTGTTGCTGGAGTCTTTGTTGGTTACACGTTGAAAAGTCGTGTTAAGAGATGGGCTTCCAAGCTTCTCAAGAGATTGAAGGATGATTGATTTCAGGCATACTCTGTTTCTCATGTGACTAGAAGAGGTGATGCTGTTTTGAAGAAATCCCTATCTAACGGTATTCCAAAATTGTTAGATTTATATTGTTTGTATTTCATGATAATGATGATTCTTGGAATAGAAACTTTATAGTTCTATCACTGGCAGGTGATTCCTGTTAATTTTTGCTAACATTTATAAATAGATGAATTCCAATTCAATTCTAAATATATATGCGTCTCTATGCGAAACTCTTTTCTGTATCTTGTGATTGTATTTCTGTATTTCTGTTTCCTATGTTCTGCACTTTATGCATTTCAAATCAGGAAAAAATCAACTAGTGCTGTGCGTTGTCAAGGTAATTAGAACATAGAAAATTTTTTGTCAACGACTGAAATTCTTTTTTTGTTTACTCAAATCCCATAATTTTTGGTTTGGGTTGCTGCATGAATGGTGTATAAACAGCATTTACATCTAACTGTGCTACAAACATAAGGTGTGTATATTTGTATACTTTTCCCTCAATTATTTAATAATTACAAAATAATAACAGTTGATTTGATATTTCTTAATATCATTTCCCTCTTGATTCAGAAATATTCCTTGTGGAACTCGAACCGCGTGGATGTCTTGTGACTTAGTTCTTGAGATAGTTTCTTCAGCTCCTTTGCCAACACTGGCATTCCACAGTAAAACACCCCTGCAATTTTCAAAAGCCTTTATTTTGTCAAAACATGTCTTTTTCACCCAGAGATTGTTACATCATGTTTATTTTCATTTGATTTATTTACCTACTGTGGCAAATGGATGCTTTGCTGCTATTTTAGTGAACACCTCTTTCCAATTAGGCCTTGCAAAGTGTGTTCTTAACTGCAAGAAAGAAAATTTAAATAGAAGATCATTAGGAAAAGTTAAATCTCTCTTTCGTTAATTCCGAAATGTTCTCAATATTCTTCACTAGAGATCATACTCGAGTGCCAGAAAGGATGTCGACCCCATGTTTGGCATGGTTGAGAGCTTGAACCATGGTAATCAAAGTTGATCTTGCATCACCTTCTTCATAAACGCTTGTAAGGTAGTTATGTAACTCTATTTGACCCTGATACGTAGTTTACAAAGCAAAAAAGAAGAAAAAAAGTCACTCCCCACTTGTGGCTGTATATGTTGTACGACAATAATTAAGAGCAGAGATTGAAAGATTTTGATGTTTTACCTTATGATCCATTTCTGCAACTTCATTCATTACTCCTTTAAACCATTCAAATGACCCAGGTTCTCTTGTAACCCAGTAGAAATAAGCACTTGTAGTCCTCTGCGTTCTCATTTTGCTACTCGAATTCATACTTGAAGATGTATAACTGTTTGAGCTTTCATCTGATCTACTAGTTTCAGTGTTTGAATCCTACACCATTAACATATGCCAAAGAAGGGGGAAAAAAGAAAGAGAGAGAGCGAGAGAAGAAGAAAAGGAAGAAAGAAAAATCAGTCAGCTCTGGCGAAAGTTAAACTTGGAACTTTCATTTTAAAGCATGAATTTTTACCGTTTGATAATCTGCTGCTCTGGTATTATTTAAAAGATCTCTAAGTATGCTTATGAAGGGTGTAGCTCCAATTCCTAGTCCCACAAGTAGCAAGACGTCATAATTTTGGTAGTCTTGGGCTGGAGCTCCATATGGACCATCAACATATAGTTTCGGTTGGCTGCATCAGTGTTCATTCTGACTTAATACATATAGTTGTGATTTTTAATCTTAAAGAGTAGAGTTTGTTGGTATGTAATTACCCTCTCTGAACGGCTCCAGGTTGACCATATATGGCTCGATCAATAACAGCTGATGAATCATTTACCTCAGTGAAAACTCTCTTCAATTCTTGCGTCCAGTCTCCTACTATCCGAATGTGAACACTGAGGCAATCATCTCCCGGAGCTGATGTTATAGAAAATGGGTGCCTGTATGGTTTAAAGGTTATTTGTGTGCTTAATAGCTTCAAGTATTTATGTCCAGAGTTCGTTAAATATTGAGGTCAAAATTGCCTTTCCAAAAAAGCATATTTTATATGTCAAAAATAATAATAATAATAATTTGGAATTGCTGTTTGGTTTTTGGAAGCTTTCACAGCTAGATTCTGTAAAAGTCATTCTAAAAACAAATTTTAATGATTTTTAATCGGTATTTTTTAGTATATATTTTTCTCTTCTCAAAAGCTGCAACGATGTCTATAGACTCCGAAGCTAAGAGAGAGGAGAGCCCTTGCGCAGAGAAGCTGAATTTTGTTCAGAATAAGCTCACCATTCAAAAGGAGAAATTGCTGGACATTGCAGAAATATATACTGCCCACTCTTGTACTTAAACCCCTGTGGCTTGGACATCGTTAAGCTGAAGACGTTTCCTGGAAGAACAGATACCTGTGGAGATCAAGTGACGCATTAGATTTTCATTCTTGCGAGATAAATACACCATCAAACATGGAACAATATGAACCAAGGAACGTAAATACCATCAATATTTTTACTGAATAATGTCCCGATCTACATGTTCGGACACTCCGTTCAGCTACATAGAGTAACAAGGGAGCACTGATGTATAGCCATGTCTGAAACATTAAAAATGCACTCAATTTTAATTCTTCTAATTAAATTCTTGTGCCAAACCCATAATACATTATGCAATCCAAGTTCTTACTGTTTTCTGATTCCACTTGTGGACTAAGAATAAGAAGGTTCCATGGACAAGCAGCAAAACATAGACGACGCCAAAAAGATGATGAGAGTACCAGAATGCATTGAAACCTGTCAATCTGTTGAAGAGTGCAGGTAATTTTACCACATTCCTCCTGAATTGGCTTGTTGCTAGTGTGAATGCTATGGTCATTAGAACCACCATAGAAATCCCAGTAACACCTTCAACACCAATCAGCAAGTCTCCATACGTAGGCTGCTTATTATTGAAATCAGAGGCTAGCAATGCAAATTTATTGGGAGAAGAGTTTATCAAACGTGGAAAGTCACACAACAAATGGTTTCCTGCATGAAGTATGACTCCAACGGCTATTGCACATGCAATTATCTGCAAAAATCAGACAAAAACATGTTAATTACTTAATTTGGACCTTTCCATTTAGAAATATTATGCATTTCTCATCAAAATAAGAATTGAAGCCATAAACTATGGAATTGAGTTGGGATTCTTCATATACCTTGTGGAAATTAATATTGTCATCAAAGGGAATAAAGGACCTTGCTTTAGTGGACCGAAGCCAAGTAAGGGTATTTCGACAAACGGGTAAAAGAATAAGGGCCATATTGAGCTTAAGAGTTTCTGCAGCACCCTTGGCAGTACATAAGCAAAAGCCCATCACCTGAAATGCATCTCTATTCCTATATTGGAGAAATTTCCAGACGAATAGGCAAGCCATTGTTATCATCCACAGCATTAAAATCGAACTTCTCTGCCAGTTCTCAAGAATTAGGCACCTCAATGAAAAGCTCAGCCTACGCACCACTGTCTGGGGTCTGAATGAACTTAAATTCTGACTCCACCCTACACTTGTTGTGCTTAGTGGTCTGCTGTAGTTCATGTATGTGTCTCTTTGTAGAAGTAGTGTTTCTAACTGCCACAACTGGAAAAAAAAAAACGACAGGATAAAATTGGCAAGCAATCAATCTGTTTTTGGTATAAAATAGGCTAACCAAAACCTTTAGAAAAAAAAAAAAGGAATGGAAGTTACATTCATAACCTCCAACTGAAATTAGAGGGGTTTTATTTTTTATTTACCTCAATATATCCAAAATTTTCCGGATCTAATTCCTCCATTATTAATGACGCATATTCTTCAGCTTGTTCCTTGAGCTTTGACAGGTTATTTGCAGAAGCACTGAGCATTATAAGCTGCAATTATTATAAATAAAAGATAATGATAAATAAATTAATAATAATGAAATTAGTATACTTATACAGTTATACTAGGTAGCAACTTGTAAATAATTTAATTAATTATTACTATAATCTTATGCTAAAAGGAAAGGCCAGTGCTACGATATCCCTATTCCTTTTTACTCCTCATACTTGCAGGGACCATGATATTATTAGAGTTTTACAGAATATAATTATTAAATACATCCCATCTAAAAAAACAATGTTCTTTGATAAAAGAAAGCTGTTTCCAAATTACTAAATTAGAATTACCTCCTGCACTTCTTCCCTTGTTATTCTTCCATCTTCATTGCTATCAACCCTGAAAAAAGCACGAGAAAGGTTCTTTAAAAGCTTGAAATTGCTAGAAAAATTGTATTGCTTCAATAATCTGCTAAATGGTGGTGGAAAATAAGTTTCTGGTTTTCCAGTGGAACTAATAACCAAATCATCACCCGGGCTAATTCAAGTGGGCCAAAAGCCCAAAATTCTTTAGTTGTCTCGTCAGCAGCACCTGATAATTATTAACGACACAACTAAAAACAACAGAATTTGTTCGCGGTTTTGTAAAACGTTAATGGTTTGACCAATTTCGAACTATCAGATTCGAACATTAAGAAAAAAAAAAAAAAGACTGGAAGACCCACATGTCAAAGAAAATCTGAAGGCGCGCGTCAAAGCTCTGGTCTGTAATCTGTAACCAGAAATCCTGAAGCTCATCTTTAGTTATCTTCGATATTCTTCGTCTTCTCCTCCTCGCTAAAGCATCAAATATACAAACAGCAAACTCCTTTGAATCGACCATTCCTGCAGTATCCACATCAAAACAAAGAAAAAAAAAAAGAAGAAGTCAAATATAAAATAATAAGGAACTTGATACTTTTATTTTGAAAATAAATCACCAAAAATGAAAAATAAAAATCTTGTTTCCGGTTTACCTATGCATTCACCGAAATCTTCTCTAGCAAGCAATCCGTCTTTGGCAAGCGAGTTAAACCGCGACTCAACTCGTTTCCACAGCTCGCTTGTGTCAGATGATCCTGCAGTCTTACTAATAAACCTCAGTCCTTTAAGTGCTCTCTGAGCTCCCGATCTCGTCCGTTGGAGTTTCGCGTTGATTTTCCTTGCATCTCTCGCCGAAATCGTTCTGTCATCAATCTCTGATGAAGTCGTCTTCGATGATCTCGACCTCAACCACCCAAACTTCCGGCGAATTCTCGACGACGCAGATAAACTCCTTTCTAAAATACCCGCCGCGTTGGCATGAACTCCGCCACCAGGATCCGACGTGGTTGAGGTAGGATTCGGTTTAACACTACAAACAAAAATGGAGTCATTGTCAAGCTCAAGCGTGACCTCAACTAACTCTTGCTCGTTGTTTCTTCTCAGGTCGTTGAGGAAAATCGGCAACATTACTCCGCCAAGTTCACAGTCGCTGGCAGCTCCAGAGTCAAGCTCATCCGGGAAGTCCAATGTACGGCTGTAATTCGAAAGCCTGGAGCTGCTTCCACCAAAAGATGACGACGACTTCATTATCTTTTCCGGTCAGTTCTTAATTATCTTCCTTCCTCTTAATTCCTGCTTGGCTAGCTGTAGAAGTTATTCACAGTTTGACACAATAGATGGAGCCTTTGGCTTGGCACTCTTGAACAATGGAATTGCTTAGTAAACTAGTATAGAAAACAAGACAAACACCTCCCAACGGACTTCTTCACACGAATTCAACGCTTTTGCCTAGTCGTGCAGAGAGAGAGAGAGAGGAGGTGCTAGAGGGAGGTGAAGTGGTAGTTGAGATTTTGCTAGATTAAGTACCTGCATTATTTTCAGTTTTTGAACAATACCATGAATTAGTCCATTGAAATTAGAAAATATTTATATTAATGGTATTTCCAAACTTTACAAAACTAATCATTTGTATTTAGTCTCATCTAAATAAAAAAGAAAAAAAAAAACAAAAAAAATTTGTATTTGAGGATTAGTTTTTCACTTACGCCTTTTAACGTGATTAGCTTAATTACAAGAAGGAGAGATGGCAACTGGTTTCGTCAACAGAAGCTACGGCATGGATTGTGCCACGTAATGCGAAAATCTAGGAGAAATTTGTTTTTTGAAATAATTAGAAGGAAACGAATGATTGACAACTATAAGCATATAAGAAAGTAGAAAAATCACATATATAACATGAGGTCAAAAAGTGTAAGGTATGTGATGGGACTTGTAAATGATACGGTGGCTATATCTAATTTTAACTTATTATGGTTCGAGTCCAGCTTGTGGTTCGATTTTGGACTCCTATAACCTGTAAAATTTTTTGGGTCTTGGAAAGCAATTTAGCATTGTTCTGATAATAGGGCTGGAAGGAAAGGCCACGTAACAAAAATTGACTGTAGGAGTGAGAGAAGAAGGAAAGTTGAACTTTGTTTCTGTAATGCAAGCAATTATATATATATATATATATATATATAAATTCTTTTGGGTCTTGGAAAGCATTTAGCATGTGTCTGAATAATAGGGCTGGAAAGGAAAGGGCCACGTAACAAAATTGACTGTAGGAGTGAGAGAAGAAGCGAAAGTTGAAACTTTGTTTCTGTAATGCAAGCAATTATATATATATATATATATATATTATATATATATATATATATATATATATAGATGAGTTGAGCAAGACTGAGATTGGAATTTAATAAGTTTTTATCAACGTCCTATAAGTTGTAACTTTATGTGTACGTAGTTTAAACTTTTAGATTACTGATGAAATATGAGATTAACCAAATCTTAAGGTATGGTAGCTCCGATGTACAACAAAGAAAAGAAACCTAGATATGAATTAACTTAGGCTAATAAAAAGCTGGTTTCCATATGAAGCATGTTCCGAAATTCAGTTACATCTGTTTAAATATTTGCCAACTCCCACTTTGAAGATTCCTAACTCCAGAATGGCTTCAGCTGGTAGGAATAGGATAGGGTTAGTGCCGAGTCCAGGGGCTGAAAGTATTTAGAGCCATATTTCTTCTTGTCAAAAACTACACAGCTGTACATTTAACTGGAAGACCACTAAACAATATTATTTATATATATATATACTTACAGTCATGTCTCCCATTCTTGCCGCCCTTACCTAAAATTTTCATTCTGCAATCGCTTGACTATTTTTAAAGACTTAATTAATTGTGTTCTTGGTCCAGAAGCATAGAAGCTCTGTAGCAGGTACAAGGAAAAATAAAATAAAATAATAAAAATAAATAAAAACACAGAAGCAACAGTTGTACTTAAGCACGCCTCTATAATCTAATCATCCGGTATATGAAGATGAATTATTCTCCCAATAATCTAGATATTCTTGTTTTTTCAAAACAATAAAAAAGAGGTAGATGTTCTTATAAATGGATATTGAAATAAGATTATTCGCAAATCTCAAATATATTTAAATCTTGATCATAGCATCTCTGTCTAAATACCTATAATATTTATTTTTGCTAAACTCTCTTGACTTCTTTTATAGAGAATAATTTTGGATTAATTAGATGTGCTTAAGTATTAATTAGAATTAGTTAGAGGATTGAATTGATCAAACTAGCTAGAAATATGATATTCCATCATCTATTAAAAAAAATGCATACAAGATGTTCTGTAAATTTATTGAAATTAATTTTCTATTATTTCTTAATAACAGTTTTTCTAATTTTTTTTATGTTATTATTATTGCACTTGCACACGAATCAGAGTATATATAAGATTGAAAATAAAATTTACAATAATATACCTAATATCATTTGTAATTTAATACGACATACAAACATACCTCCTTCGATTTTATGATTTAAATGATTTGCCCAATAGCCAATTCATTTGCTAGCATCATTTTTATCTCACTCTCTTGCCTCCATGCACGTGTGAATTTTCATATCGTTAAGAGTCGAAAATAAAATGAAAAGACACAGCAAAAATTTGGTCAGCAGTCACCACCGGATTTAATTAGGGGTGAAGTAAAATTAAGTAATTATTAATTCACCATGAACATGTATGCAGTACATTTTGCATGGAAGTACACATACTTTTTTTTTTTTTTTTTTTTTCCGCGTGTGAATTTCATATCGTTAGACTGTGTGGAATTTTCATATTCGTTAGAGATTGAAAATAAAATGAAAAGACACAGCAAAAATTTGGTCAAGCAGTCACCACCGGATAATAGGGCAGGTGGAAGTAAAAATATTAAGTAATTATTTAATCACCGATGAACATGTATTGCAGCTACATTTTGATGAAATACACAATTTAACACCTTTTTTTTTTTTTTTTTTTCCTTGGTTAAGTTCTTCTAGAAGGTTATAAATTGCAGTCTTTCACGCCTCGCAACGTTGCCGAAGCAGGTACTTAATTCTCTTCCTTAGCTCATCCCTTCTTTTTCCCACTGACTATCACTCCCATTCCTCAGTTATTCTGCTTCAGTCATTCAATTAGAATATTTCGAAGTACACCAGCAAACTTGATGGCCGTCATTTTATTTACGATTTGCCTTGAAAATTTACTAGTGGTATGAGATTTCAGCTCTCTTTAATTTTGAAGATGCTTTCTTGCGTTCTCATTGTAATAAAGAATCCTTATTAGTATATTTATCCGAACCCATTCGTCCTTTTCCCTCTTTTTCATTACTTCAATCTCCTTTGGACACTTGCTCAAGATTTTTCTCTTACAGTGGGAGCTTACTTTTTTTTTTTTTTTTTTTTCCTTGGTTAATTTCTTCTAGAAGGTCTAATAGCTTGCACTTGCAGTACACCTCAGCCATCCCTCTTTCTCTACCTGTACTGCCATTTCATTACTTGAAAGCTATGCGTCATATTACTGTAATTTACTTATTTCAATCTTTAATTTTGAAATTTCTTGTTAGAATTTAATAATATTTATCGAACCATTCTTCCCTTAACAAGAATCTAATTTATTTAATATAAATGATAATTAATAGATCGTTCAAATTAAATTCAAGAACATTCAACATAAAATATGGACGACAGTCGTTACAGTCCCATCAGACGTAGAAACAATTGCCTAAATAAGAGTGAATTAAGAAATATGAATTTATAGTCAAATTAAAACTTAAAAATAATTACTAATTTATTTTTACGTCGATAATTATTGGGATTTACTAATTCAAATGCCAAATGTCATGGATGGATTGATACTTGAATTGAAGGTTGAACATGTTTCTTTTGTTAAGTTCATTAGTTTTGAAATATTTGGTGTATACAAAATAAACTTGCATGATCTTTCTCACGTTATAAAACAATATATACTAATTTAATCTAAAACTAAAATCTTATTACTTGCCTTTTCCTCACCGTCGTTGCCTTCCTGTTCCTTCTTTCCTTAATCCTTTTTTTTTTTTTTTCCCTTCAATGCGATAGAAAAGTGCACTTTCTGGGTGGTAAAGTGTAATTGATTGGTTTTAGTTAATTAATCTAAAATAAATCATGCAATAGTAAGATAGAAAGTGCAATTATTTAAGTTTAAATGCAGTTAAAAGTCATTTTCAATTCAAATAATTGGAATTAAAATTATAATAAGAGGGGTTTTACCCTTTAACACGGCAGCAAACTTCTGAAATTAAAGAAATTGAAAAGTAATCACTTTTACTATAGCATTAGATAGCTCAGTTTGATTATTTGCTTTGCAATAACTTCTTTTCTCATCAACAATGACCTTTTTAGCTTACTGATTCCCTTTTTCTTTTTTTAAGAAAAAATTTAATTTCACTGCTAAGAATTTTTTAAATCAGTCAACACACTTACACAGAAAAAAAAAAATTTCAGAATTTTGAATTATCATTATAGGGAGAATTTTACCTAAATATATCACTCGATCTAAATGTGAAATCATGTGAAAAAAATAAAAATTTTTATGTACATGTAAATTTAAACTATTCATAATATTAATCTTAAAATGTTGTACTAATTATAATTTAATCCATAGAAATATGAACATCTCTTAGAAATTTTATATTTTCAGGCATATATATAAATGAAAACCATTAATTTTCTTTTTGAAATTATTAAATTTGAAACTGTATTTTCAGGTAATTAAACCAAAGAAAAGTTTAATTTTTTAATCCGGACAGCAGTCAAATTAAGGACTCAACAATAAATAAATAACGCTGAACAATTTTATCTTAATTAGGTTTAGATGATAATAGAAGACTGGCCTTTTTGACTGTAGCTTTCTATTATTAAATCCCAAGTGGCTAATGAAGTCAATGATTTTTTTTTTTTCTGTCTAATTATTGCTATTTGCTACTGTAGAAATATATAATTAGTACATAAGTAATTCCTCTAATTAAGAAAAAAAAAAGAAAGAAAAAGAAAAAATGGGAGTGACTGTGATAGATTAACGTTTGTGGAAGTAAGATAATGCGGAATCTCCATGAGACCATGAATCATGCAGATCATTGATTATAATTTTTTTTCTCTTAAAAAATTAAAATAAGGTAAAATAAAATAGACACTCTTTATTTGGACCAAGGCACTTATATTTTATACTTGTGTATTATTCAGTAGTTGAGATGTTAGTGTCGCTATCTTCTACTAAGATTAATTACTTTATATTTATACATACATTGAATTTCACATATTTTTAATATATATATATATATATATATATATATATCATATATAATATTATATGGTTTAAAATGCTCGGTCTAAATAAACCCTCCTTATCTACTCACATATATATTATATCTTCTTGGACATCTTTAAGGTGGTTTTATAGATTTTATCCACTATTTCTTAAGCTGTTGTGTTATTTTAATTCTTAAATTCTCATTCTTGTTTAATATATATATATATATATATATGTTTAAAATGCTCGAGTCTAAATAACCTCCTTATCTACTCAACATATATATTATATCTTTTGGACATCAATTTAAGGTGGTTTTATAGATTTTATCATATATTTCTTAAGCTGTTGTGTTTTAATTCTTAAATTTCATCTTGTTTCGTAAGATATATTTTTGTAGTTCTATAAGGAGTGGAATTTCACTATTCCTGGTGTTATTTGTAACACTTTGTTGATGGATTTGATTCAATATTGTGTTATTTTCGATTAAAAAAATTATTTTGAAATTTGTAATGTATATATTTGAGAAGATGAAACACACATTTGAAATTCATCATTTATAAGCTTTTAAATTTTTTATAAATTTCATTGAAATTTAAATTTATAGATATTTGACTGTTCTAAACAATAAATTATTCAAATTCAAACTCAAGTTTCAAGTCCATGAATTCAAACACAACATATATATTGATTTTGTATTTATGGATATATGGTTAAAAAAAACTACTCGATTTATGCATCTACCTAAATCTATTTATCTAATATATAATTTTGTGATATTAATTTACACTTTTTGTTTTAAAATATAAGTCGTTTAAGGTTTTTATATGTGAAATAAGGAAGCGATTAATTTTCCTAAATTATCAAAAAACCAATGATAATTTGGTCTTTTTATCTTAAAATTTATAGTAACTTTTGAAGGTAATTAGTGTATCTGATATAAATAATAGTAACATTAAAAAAAAATATCATTGAATTATTTCTTAAAATACTCAAAATGATTTATATCTTAGGACAAAATAATCACTAAAAAATGACTTATATTTTGAGACAGATGGAATATTATGTTTTCATTTATGATTTTTTTAACAGTAATCGAATTCATTATTTTCTTCTCGTATTCATGTGAATTTTAATCATAATTTCATTATTTTTTTAATTTTTTGGGTGTGTGTATGTCTAATTAATAATTATTTTTTGCATTTGTGTTGAGAGATGGAGAAGCTAAACCTTTATTCTTAGCAGCCTCTATAGACTTTTTGCTACTTACCACTATTATTAATATGACCTAAAATCAAAGGGAATGACATGCAGCAAGTACAATTAGTGTTGAACAATTAATGTTTATTTCTGTATATAGAGCAATAATTAGAATAAAAATTAATTTCTTATTACAATTGTCTTCTTTATTTATTGTGTAGAAATTTTTATAATTCCAATTTATTTTCTTATAATTTATAAAACCATACTTTATCTATAAAATATTTAGATTATTTTTTATTATTTGGTCAAGGGTGTTGAGTATCACAATTCTTGGTTTGTTTTCTTTTTATTCGTTTGGTATTTTGGTAGGTAGCTCCCTCCAAACGCAGCCGAGTCATGATGTGATGTAAGATAGATTAGACCACTTGAGTCATTATATTAATTTTGACCACAGCTTGCTCTAGCGTAAGTGTGGTTGTCATTATTAATTAATGCAATCTTGGTTTTACAAAAATAGATAATAGTTTCAACAAGGATATTGTGATACCTTCATTCGATTATTCTTTCAGTATCTTCCTTGTAATTTAGTGATTAATCATCTTTATTTTCAGAAATTTCAATATATATTCTAAACAAACATCTAATTTAAAAAAAAAAAAAAGAAAGAAATTGGGATGGTACAAGTTAAAATTAGTGATTATATTGAAATATAAAGAAATAGTGAGGTAATTATTGCTGATCCAATGGTTTGCCATTGAAGCTACCAACTTTGGCTTTCACCGTCATCCGACTGGAAGCCACAGCCGACTGATTGTTGTCGTTTTTTCAAAAATGAGACATAGTTACCAAGTTCTAGACTTCTTCTATTCTTCTAGATTGAGAGGCAAACCCCAACTAACTCACTTTAATTAATTATGGCTTTGGTTATTTAGAGTTAACACTTCAAACCAAAACCCTACCTTCTTCTTTACCAACTTCCAATATGGTTCAAGTCCATAATAATTTACGACTATTGGATGTGACAAAATCACAAATATTTTATTATAATGATTAAAAAAAAGATTTATTAATTTTTCATTATTTTATTACGATATTATCAAATCTATTCTTCATTGGATTAATTTCATATTATCCAATATAGTACAAAAACATATAATGTATCTTGAAATTGGAAGATTCATCAACATCTGTTCTTCTTTTTTAATTATAAATTTTGAATTTTAATTAGATAAAATCAAGTGTCTAATAATAATAATAATAATAATAAATTTCTTCAGCATTACTGATTTTGAATTGAATTCAAGTTAAAAATTAAATTATATAAAAAAAAAAGAAGTTCATTGTACAATCGTACTTCTCATTCAAAAAGAAGAAGAAAATGCCAAAGTTTTGTACTTCCCCATTGCACCGAAGTTGTACCTAGTATTAAACAGGGCATGGTTACTTAAGAAACAATTTGAGCACATTCGGGTAGAACCACAAAAACAAAGCATCAGAATGGCGTTTCAAGTGATTTGAAAATGAAAATGACACAATTGTGCACAAAAGTCCATGAACAAAAGCTTCAAAATCAAGTAAATTACACTGGCAGAGTCCTGTCCTCCATTAGTTTCTATGCTTAAAAGTTCAATTTTGCCAGAAAAACAATCAATCAACTTTATACTAGTCATGCCCATTTTGAATGATTATAATAAAAAAAAATATAGTAACATATTTCTAATAAATTATTAAATTTCTAATTAATGTATTAACCAAATCCCTTGTTTCATAGGATGAATCTCATCTCAAAAGGTTAACTCTTTGGACATTGGCAGCACAGAACCCAAAACTTTCAATAGATGATGAGCGAAAAAATATAGAATTAGGTGTAGCATGCAAAAAGGATTGACAATTAGGTTTTGAATGGTCAACCTTTAATTTAAACGCAGGCAAAGGCAAAGCACTGTAAATCCTGCATAATGCTTTATGCATGAAAGGAAATAATAGGTAAAACCCAAGTAATGTAATGCATAAAGCATTCTCTTTTGACATTATAGAGGACTCAACAGTCTCAATCCCTTCATCCTCATTTATATGATGCAAGTATAGAATTAGTTCCATGAAAGAAAACTGTGGTGACTGTATCCTTACCCTCAGCATAAACTTCCTAGCGCTCCACCATGTCTAGTGTGGTTTTGGAACATAACCGTCAACTGCAAAATTTCTTGTGGCAGCAGGAATAGCTAATCGGATTCCATCTAGTTCAGGCTTTGCAATGACCTGACAACCCAAGCGAGAACTGCAAAATCCAAAATACAAAATAAATCTAAATTCAACACAAAAGCAAATTCTTGTTCTGTATTTATGCTCAAGGAACTCACGTTTCTGTGAGCCCAAAGGCCAAATCCAACATGTCATTCTCCTCGTCTTTTGGTTCTTCTAATTTGTTGTAGTGTTCTACATCCTACGATAAGATTCAATAGTTAGTCCAACCACTTAGGCACAATATCATGGAATTAAGTTATGACATAAAACTGGACTTTCAATTACATACCATGACAATCACATGACATGTTGAACAGGCAAGTGAACCTTCACAGGCTCCTGAATAACATTAACATTATAAAATTGAACTACATATAAATTGAAGATATAGCAATTTACAAATCTATTTACTGCTTCAGTAATTGAAGAGAGAAAAAGAATGAGCAGGAAAATATCACTTTTGAAAGATGGAGAAACTGGTCTGCTCTAAGACTATAATAGCCATCATCCACCCTTTACAGGGAAAAGCAAATAAATGAATAGCCAAACTGTCATTACTAGAATTCGGTAAAAGCATTGCTAGTTTGCCACCCAGTAACACTCACTTAACGTTAACAAATTATAATCAACTCCGAGGTGGACAATACTAGCCTAAAAATGCAACATAATCCTTGCCTTCTAGTTCTATATCATTTTCATGAGCAGCTTCCAACATTGACATTCCAACTGGAACCTTGATGTGCTTTTCCTCTCCATCCTTGTTCACGAATGTTACAGATATCCTGCAAACATCATCTAAATGAGAAAAAATAACAGCAATACCTACTTTCAGATCTACAATAGATACGTAAGTGCCATGGTACATTTTACCAAGAATAAAGGCATACTCTATTCTTCAATTGCAAACCAATGCAGCTCATTAAGTATATGTTTACATCCTAATTGTTAATTAAGAGGTGCAGAACATGGATATGAACACTGAATGACGGAACAGGCTATGAAAAAACAATCAATTAATTGCCAAATATTCTAAAGAACAAACAGCAACAATATAGACATATTAGCTGCAGCTACTTCTGCACACAACGACTATTTTGAAAGTCTCAATGCCAGAAACTGTAATAGAATATGCAAAACCTTAATTCTCTACTTAATTAGCTTATCCAGGATTTTAAAACTAAATTAAGGCATAATTACAAACTTAATCACTTTGATATATATATATATGATCTACGTAGGATAACCATAAATCACAATGAATTATAATTATGTACATCTTTTGTAAGTGAAAATGAATTGTATACAATATAAATGTTAACAAAAAGTACTAATATCCATTCACTGCATAATACCATGAAATTCAATAGAAACTTCAGTTTAGATTACAAGTAAAATGTAGTTTAAGACAGATAGAAGTTAGTTGTTCACAAGCAAGCTAGGTATTCAAAATGGAAGATGATGCAAAATTGTTATTGATATATATATATTTTTTTTTGGCAAGCCTGAATGACCTCGAGGAATGACTGATCTTATTGAATATCCTATCTCATTGAGAGACAGAAAGAGCAAATTTTCAATTCTTTGGTGAAACCAGGAGAATTTTTAAAAATTACTGAGCATGGGCTTCTAGATTCCCCAAATTTACTTAAGACGGTGTCTAGAAAAGAAAAAGTCAGAGGTTATTCTGTTCCAACAGTATGTCATTTCCATCCGAAAAAAAAAAATAGAAACTATAAACTAATGCATTCACCATTGCCACAATCTTGGGAATAACCTATTTCAATGACTATTAACCAAAGAAAATACTAATCATGGTATTCTAGGTCTGATCAAATATATAATTTTATACATTATGCTTTTCTAAGATGGTGTCAATATTTACTTTTCTTCAGACAAATAGAAAGGAAATAATATTCATCATAACTTCGGCACTTTTTTTTTGAAATAAAAATTCAAAAGAGCTTACATTTCCTTTTGTTCACTTCCACCGATCCTTTCACTACCAGAATCTGTAGTAGAAAACAGACGATGCTTCTGAAATATGGTACCTAGGAACGCCTTAGTTGCTGAATGTAATTCAAACTGTTCCAAAACTAAGAACCAATGAATATCTCGAGACAAGAATAATGGGGTAAATAGAATTTCATTTCAAATAAAATACATATTGCTCAAACAAATAATAATAGAAATGATAAATCTCATACCAATAAAACCTTTAATTATTAATCACCAGGTCTACCATGACATGTGAAATTCCAATAAGTTGATCAGTATTCCCAACACTAATATGATTCCCAGTTTATTTACATGCCGTTTCTTGCCTCAGGTTATGAAATGGTGGGGCAAGATGTAAATAGTTACGGTTCAAATTTGATCAAGGAAGTACATACAGGCCTGAAGTTACAGTATGTCTATGCTCTATAGCATCTACAGTAACAAAAATTTATACATTAAACACCCCCCCCCCTCATATGCTCTATAGCACTTACCAGTAACCAAAAAATTTATACATTAAACACCCCCCCCCCCAACAAAAAAAAAAAAAACAAAAAAAGACCAACCTTTTTCACATATCTTCAGTTACCTGAGGCCGCCAGTATGAGTTGAAAAAAAAAAAAAAAAAAAAAAAAGACAACCTTTTTCACATATCTTCAGTACCTGAGGCCGCCAGTATTGAGTGTAAGGTGTTTGTACAAATGCGGTTCTGCTGAAGGATTTATACATGCCTGTTTAAAAAAGAAGCAATTTGTGCAATGGAGTAAACAAAATTCAAATCAATATATGCAATTATCAAATTTTCATATTCAGTTTCTTTTATTTAATTTGGTTCTGAATGTGAGGAAAAAGAAGGAAAAAAAAAAGAATCCTATCCTACTTAGCACATACAGCTTCCAGATCATAAACCCAGATAAGGAATTAAAACTTACCTTTTGCGAGCTGTTTAACCATTCCAACTCCAAGTCTAGAGACCAACATAATTCTTCGTCCTCAATAACAGAAAAGAAGAACACAAAAGGACTTTTAGTAAATGCATATTATTATTAAATTTTGAAAAAAGAAGCATAAGAAATTCCCCCATAAAAAAAAAAATCCCAACTTCGAAAAAATTGTGGGTAAAAAAAAAAAATGAGAAGGAGAAATTACAATTCAATTGCGACAAAATAGCTCAGTAAGAAACTTTTTTATTACTATAAAAGCGAAAGGTGAGAAACAAAATATTAGATCAACCATTCAATTAAATTTTGGCCTGCGAGGTTCTGGGGAGGTTTCTGCATATGAAGCGCGTAGAAGCTTCCACTTTGAAGAAGAACCAGAAAACTTGAAGGAAAAAACAAAACGAAACCTTCTAAACAACTGGATAGATTATGGAGATGCGGGGTATCGAACCCCGTACCTCTCGCATGCAAAGCGAGCGCTCTACCGTTTGAGCTACATCCCCAAGTGATCATCATCTTCAAAACTATAAATATAGATGATTAACATTCGACTATGATGGATAGCGGAATCAAAAGATATATAGATAAAATGATCCTGCTCTTTGTTGTTTAATTGGATAGAAAAAGATACTTTCTTTAATCTTTTTCACCATTATTGACCTTATTGTTTTTTTTTTTATCTCTAACACATCGGGGAGTTAAATGGGTTTAGATGTTCTCTCTTCTCTTTCACAAATTACACACCTATCGAGTTTCCTAATTACATTACTCAATCTCAATTAAATTAAACTATTCGTATTAAAATTAAAATATTTATAATTTTTTTGTAATTTATTTTGATGATTTTAAATTTCAGTCTTTTAAATTCATATTTTTAATTAATGTTAAATTAAAGTTTTTAAAAATTAAAAAAAAAATAATAATTACAATAACAAACAAAGAAAGCAACTACCGAATAGTTGAGTTGAGCTACTAGTCAATCTCTTTATTGAGACCGCCACCACCCAAGTTTGCTTCATCCGTTGGCACCTTCCTTTTCTTAAGATGGACTCCATGCTTATTTTTCAGTACGCTCAAATCTCCCTTTCTCTTTTCTTTCGGCGTCACCTTTTGCCAAGGAGGGACCGACGGACAACTTCCAATCATCAAACTTTTATTCCAGAAATATTTCATTGACAGCCAAAAAAACCCCAATCAATCTAATATTAAATTTCGGAACCAATTTGGTTCAATTTCTATGCACAATTCAATTTGATTTTGATTTAGTTTATTTTTAAATCAAACCCATAACTAAATCAAACGAATCCTAAAATCGTTAGTTGGCGACAGTTTTATGTAACAGGGTTTGTTTACAAAAAAGGAATAAAACAGGAAACACGAGAAATATTTCACAGCTGAAAAATGAAAAGAAAAGGAAAGGAAAAATCTTAAAAATGCAACAACACAATTAAAGAAACCTACGAGCAGAGATGGGCTGGGCCTACAAAAAATCATAAAATGATCACGTGGACCCCAACCAAAAAAAGTACATCCATCTACCCCATATATCATGAAGCAAACAAAAGCTAACTGTCGCCACCACCATCTATTATGGTCATAACTGACGCGTATTACGTTTTGAGCTAATCCATCGCATCGCTTCAATCACAATTACAAATAGCCTTTCATTTTTTTTCAGATCTCTCTGTTATTTAATTATCCATCTAATTAAATATACTTGTTACCGCTAAATCTCTATTTTTGTTAAGAACAATTTCCATTATTCCTTTGCATTGTAAAACCGTTACCTTGTAGATTGTTTTTATGACTGATAACTGATTCGCCGAAACCGGCGGTGCAGCCGCGAACCCTTGCCTGCAAATTTTCATTCAGGTTATTTAACAAACAGCTTTTGGTCATTGGATTTTGATAGAAACAAAAAGAATTTTTTGTTCTTTTTTATGATCCTTTTTTCTCTTTCTCGCAAAATAGAGCTCGCGCGCTCTGTTCTCTCCCTTGCCTCTCCCCATTCTTCTTAAGCTCCCATGGCGTTTCTCCTTAGGCTTCTCACTAGCTGATTCCGCGTTTCCTTCTCACGCCGTTCAGGTACTCATCCAATACACATGACATAAATTACTTGTTCTAATATTTGTGATTTGGTTGATTTATTATTGTTCTTTTTTTATTTAAATCAGCTTGGTGGATTTAAAGTGATTGTGTTATGGTATTTTGCTTCTGTTAATGAAGGATCTGTTACGATAATTGAAATTTGACGTCTCCAATTTTTTTTCTTTCTTAAGCTGAAAGCTTTGCAGCTGATTAGCCGAAGCTTCAAATTGATGGTATTTCGATAAATTTTCTTTTATCGTCTTCTAAAATTATTTAGTTTGAACAATTTTGGAAAAATAAATGTGAAACTCGATAAATAAAAGATCTATTTGTAACAAAGGTTGGATTTTTAATTGTAAAGTTTTAGTCTTCGCAGAAAATTTCATGCTGAAGCGAAAAGGGAAAATGAAAATTTTGATCTGGAACGTAAACAAGCCCAGGAACAATTTTGTTTTTTATGGGTTATAAGTATGATAATAGTTCGTTCTCTAACATGCATTTCCTAGTAGATCTACTACAATATTGTTGGAGTTCTCAATTTTTATTATATGATAATTTTGTGTTGTTTCTATAACGATATGTGTCATAAATAAAATTTCTAACCAACATAATTCTCGCTGTTTATGATATCAAGAATCAACTCATCTTGGGATGAGCAAATCACCAACAAACTGTGGTTTTTCTAACTGCTTTGATATTGGAGGTAACAAAGTTGCCTCTGAGTTTCTTTAAGATTGTTATTTACTCTCTTTTGATTCACAAACGAAAATCTGATGCAAAAGTTACATTGTATGTCTTTCGATGGCCTAGCTAATTTGTAAATTTTATATCTTCAATTAAGAAATTAAGTGGTTTGGTGTTTTTTAACTTTGCCTTCTGGACTATATCATAAAACATTAGTAATTGTTGAAACTTCAGTTCTATAGCATTTGGATCATAGTGTGTGAGAGAGTTGAAAGAATACCGTAACTAGCTCATGACTGCTTATCTTCGTTGTTTCCATTTTTTTTCTCTTTTATGCATGGGGATGTAGTGGAAGAGGAACTGATGAGACTTGCATGTCTGGAATCAGAAACCCTGAATTCGATTCTGGGATATTTTTCGCTGTTGCGGTAAATATTTAGCAAATGGATGACCATGGTGGCAGCAAGGCGACAGGAATTCGACAGATTGCTAAGCTGAAGGAAATTATCCAAAAGTGGCAATCTGTAACAATTGGCTCAAAGCCAACTGGCCCTGAGGGTAGCAATACACATGGGGGCATTTCAGCAGAAATTAATAGGAGGCTAACGAGCGTTAAGAGTTGTGATTCGGATGAGGAAGGCTGCCAAAGCCCTGGACCGCCACCTGATGTCCCCAGAGGGTATTTGGCGGTTTATGTTGGGCCAGAGCAACGGAGGTTTATCATCCCCACTAGCTACCTTAGCCATTCTCTGTTCAAGGTTTTGCTAGCAAAGGTTGAAGAGGAGTTTGGGTTTGATCATAGCGGCGGGCTCACAATCCCATGCGAGATTGAGACCTTTAAGTTTCTCCTGAAATGCATGGAGCACCATCCAAAGGATCACCAGGACAACAACTCAAGTAACTTCTCTTTCTTTTTTCTCATTATTTGTTATTCCTGCAATGCTGAATCTGGAGGAGAATGACTACTAATAACATTTTTATGATTCTCCAATTTAATTATTTCAAGAATTGGGTTTTTTTAAGCCAGAACCTTTTTTTTTTTTTTTTTTTTTTTTTATGATTCTCCAATTTAATTTATTTTCAAGAAATGGGTTTTTTTAAGCCAAGAACCTTTTTTTTTTTTTTTTTTTTTTTTGTTATTTCTGCGAATATTGTTCAAGCTTGTTTGGTGATTTTGCAGCTGAAGAATTCATTAAAAATTGAAGAATAATTGTGCTGGTTTCTGTAGTGATCGACATTTTAGGGCTCATTACAGATGTTAAGCATGGTCTCCTTGTATGCAGATATATTTTTCTTTTCCTTTTTATTTTTCATTGACCAACAATAGGAAACTTTAGTTAGGTTTGCACATAAGTGCATTGGATCTGTGGCTAGGAGGTTAAATTTTAACCTCTATTCTTTTTTTTTTATTATTATTATTTTGTTGGGATGTGGCCTACATCTGATGTTTTTTATTGAGTATAAAACAGATGTACTGTTCAGCAAAACTGTTCAAAAAACTTACATCAACTGATGTCTTGTTATGTTTTCAAAAGTTGTGAGCTTTCAGTGGAATCTGTCAAACGCTTATATTTAGACTCTCTCTCTCTCTCTCTCTCTCTCCTCTCTCTCTCTTCTCTCTCTATATATTATATTATAAGTATATATATAATGTATGTATATTTACAAACTAATGGCCGGTGTATTCATGTGATGGTGAGGTGTGTTTTGCTACTAGTAAAAAAAAATGTTTGACTTTATGCCTTTGAACGGTGACATAATTATATATATATATATATATATATGTTATGTATATTTACAACTCAATGGGGTGTATCATGTGATGGTGAGGTGTGTTTTGCTACTAGTAAAAAAAAATGTTTGGACTTTATGCCTTGAACGTGACATAATTAATTGATAATCTTTTGACTGCCTTAATGATTTTGATGTCTGATTATACATGATACTATTACTAGGGCATGTGAGGTGAAGCAAGATTTCTTTTATTTTATCTTTGTCCAACAATCTCATGGTTGAGTTGTCTGGAATATGTTAGGAACAATACACCCTCTTCCTAATTAACCCTAATTTTTATTTATGTTTCATAAGAGCTCTCTCTCTCTCTCTCTATATATATATATATATATAATGCACAAGATATATTTCATGGTATGGCATTGCAATCCTATAAAGGTAAACAACACCTTCATTTGCAAATTATTATTTTTGTAAACAAATTACAAAATTTCGGCCTATGGATCTAGCCATTGATCAAACTAATAAAGACAAAGATTTTTTAATAATTATTTTCACTTTTATCTTTTTTTAGTAAATAGTTAGAAATATCTTCATTTTAATAAAAAAAATTTTATTTTTCATTGCTAAGGTATAGACCAAGCTCAGGTAAATTAATCTCATGGGAGAGAAGCCCCTCTTATTAAAAACTAGATAAAAAAATCGTTTGTCTTTTTCCCAAGAAACGAAAAGAAAGGCACAGTCATCTAAAAAAAAAAAAAGGAAGCCACAATGAACAGGATACTTGTTTTATTGGAGATTCGGCCCAGCTAAAGGATTTTCGACGATGCTTCTGAGATAGGCCCAATTAGATAAGATACCTTGTTTACTTTACTAGGTACACAACGACATCGTTGCAATACAAAAACAAGAATGCTTTATTAAAAGGCAGTCGAAAGTCTTTACCGTCATACGAGAAAAAATTTTTGTCCAACAGACATGAGACAACAGTAACACTTTCTCCTGTCGTTTTCAGGTCTAAAAATTCAAAATCCGACACTTCAGAGTTCTAATTGGAAGCATTATTGTGTAGACAATCTACAGCCATTTTCATCAATTCTTACTGCAATTTTATAAAGTACATAAGGACTACAAAACTTAATCAGGGAATACACTGATTGGTGATTATTGGCAAGAAGAGACTATATATTGCAGATGAAGCGTGATGACGTTCTTGATTGTAAATATTGAAGATGGATCGAACAGAATTTATCAAAGATTAGGCGGTGGAATAAGCCACTTATTTCCATTAATATAAGTCATGCTCAAGAATGGTTTTGCTTCTTCTTCAGATAATAGTTTTGCATATTTCACTCTCCCATCTGAGCTTGCTCCTGGTCCCTTGCACATGTACTCTCCATAGTACGCAGTCCTACCAAATCAACAAAACCCCTTTTATAAGCCAACCCAGCAGCAAGCTCAAGCTAGCTACTTGCAATATCGTAGCAGAAAGGAAAAATAGAAAATATAACAGTATATAATATATATGTAGAAGCATATATACTCGTTGGATTCAGGGTGTTTGCCAGTGGACCATCCTGCACCGTTGATGATGGAACCCATGTAAGTGTACGCAAAAACCACTCTAGGCCTCACCTTCCATGCACGCCCAAGATATGTATTGTTGCCTATTCCTGTTAAGTTGCAATGTATAAATGTGAATCCACTTTCTTCCTCTGTGTTCTCTCTACCTTGAGCTGTGATTACCCCTGTTTCATTTGCAACTGATTCTATGGTTGTGTTCTGGATATACACATTAAACCATGCATATGTAATTAATTCTTGAAGAATTAGTTATTATATAGAGTGAGTTATATAAAATTATAGTAATTGATTAACTACCAAGTAGAGTGATTTCCCATTTCCGAAGATGAAATCTACAGTTCCAACAACGTAACAATCCTTGAAGAAATGCCTGCCTCTATCATCACATAACGTGTCTTGAAACCCTACAAATTTGCAATTGTAAAATGCTGCTTTGTCTCCTGATATTCTCATTGCCACCGCCTGTGCTCCTGTTATATTCACATCTGGCATCGGAGCTGCATTCTATTCACATCACATAATAATACCCACTAATTAAAATTAATTTAGCAATTAATTATTACCAAAAACAAATTAGATAGGAAACATAAGAAACCAACCAAAAACACCACATTGACGGCCATGAAGTAGTCACTTTCTACGGCTACAGTGGCGCTATAAATAGTACCATACACCGACGCCGTTCCATTAAATACAATCATAGGCATGTCAGCTGCTTCTCCATACAACGTGATGAACGGTTTAGAGACGTTAACGGTGATTTTCTCCCAATACTCGCCGCCTCGAATCCAAATAATCCTTCTTGCTGTGTTATTCACCGGAACGCTGTTAATGGCGTCGGTAATGGTTTCAAAATCGGCAACAGTACTGTTTTTCGCAACCGTAATTACACGAACACCATCTTCTGCGGCGACTAAACGCTCGTCCAAAACAATTGGAGTTCCTTCAGAATCTTCGGATTTATGCCGGTTAAAGTCTTTGATGTTATCGGAAACCCATGATCGTAGCTTCGAGTATTCTATAGGGACCAATTTTGCGTGGGAATTTGCTGTTGGGAGAAGTTGCAGAGCAAGTATTGCAATTGATAACGAAGAAATTAGAGAAGATATCCGTTTCATTTTTTTTTTTTAATTTGAATTTGAATTTTTAGAAAGATTAATTTAACGGAAGAATGATGGTGTGTTATTTATAATTCGGAATTGGAAGAAGTGCGTTTACGTGAAGATGGTCGTGTTTTTCGTGAGGGAGGGATGATTTATTCTACGATTGGACGAGAATGTCCTCAGACATATAACATAAGTCATGTTTTATGTTTAAAACTTTCGTTGAGAAAAAAGTAAAAAAGTAAAAATTAAATATTTATCTTGTAATATGTATTTTCTAGTTCTATCATACCGATAATTTTCAGAAAAATATTTATTGGAAGTTTGTTATACCATTCATAATTAAATAGCAAATAATTCTCTAACCTAGTCGCAAAAGTGATGCCTGAAATTTTTTTTTTTTATCTTAGGCTATGTTTCTTGATTACTTTTTTTCTATGAAAAAATTAATATTTTTTATAATTTGTATTTTTCTCTTTTACAAATTTAAATTAATTTTGACTTAAATGTTGTGAGTTTAAGAGTTTTTGTGAGCAACAATTATCAATTATGATTCTATAAAATCTGATTAAAAAAATTAAATTGGAAAAACTTTATAAATTGACTCATGTGAGTATAGTTGAGTTCTTTTTTCTCAGCAGTTCCAAATTAAATTCAAAGATTATTTACGTGAATAATATGAATGTAAAAATAAAATTTATAAAATAGAAAAATAAATAGAACAGGGCCGAGCAGCCGTGTTTGAATTTTAAGGCCTGAAATGTAATACTGATACCTTTTATGGCCCACTTCAGCCTGGACTCAAAGGTTGGGCCAACATTATGTTGTAATCTCTCCCTATTTAATTTAATTTCACGTCCGGTTTGGCATTAACTTTTCTTGCCAATAATGGGAGCTTCAACCCACTATAAATTCTTCCTTTTCTGTGATAATACAGTTTTAACGGATCATTTTTTTTCACATATTTACGAACATTTTTAACTCAAATTTTACAATTTTAACATATCAAAATTCTTAATTCATATATCAAAATCGAGCTAAACTATCATAGAAAAGAGTAAAGCGTAATACAACGTATATATTATATTACATGGACAAATTCATGTATGTGTCATCCTTGTCATTAATTTTTTGTTTCTATTATTATTCATGAACCTTTCCAATGAATGATCTAGCATAGCATTCTTGGCAACTTTTTCATAGATGAAAAGGAGAAACTAATATCTTGCTGACCCATTATGCCACAATATGCTTATTTCGTTGAATTATTTTTTAATTAATTAATATTCAGCATATATATATCAATCAGGAATAAAATCAGTATGGGCTTCAAATCCTATTTGTTCCTAAACATTTCCTTGTTAGAGAAATATTCTGTTGTCGTTGCATAGTTAACTATACAAGGTGTAGGGTGGTTGAAATAATAAATCTCTATATATATGTTCATGCTCTCACATAGCATCGAGGATAAAGTTCACACACGTGCTATATGTAACACCCTATCTATAGGCATATGTAGGATAAGCATGCATGCATAATCTATATGCATTTTATTTTTTTCCTGTTTTGAGCTGTACAAAATATGGATGGAGACTAGAGAGAGATAAGAGTCAATGACGCAAGTGGAAAGGGAGAGAAGAGAAAGCGTGGATCGGTCCCTCTCAAAGTAAAGCAGTAAACAAACATACCCACTGTTTTGAGAAGTTTAGACTTTAGACATCACACGTTCTTATCTTTTGTTTTCTTCTTGGGTTGGATCCTACTGCAACTGCTGCCTTAAATCCAAGCATATCATCCACATGCAACCTCCGTATCTTCATTTTTCTCGTATTGTAAAATCACAGTTAATGATAACATATATTAAGGTCTTATCTGAGAAGGAGAGAAAAAAAATGCAGAAAGGAAATAATAATGTAATTTATTTTATCCTATGAGTTCAAATGAACTGCTTTGACTACAGGGATGACTATTATGTGTCCTTTTCCCGGCTGTTTCAAAACGCAGCCGCAAGCTCTCCGAAATAATGCATTGGCTGTGGGCTGTAGGCGACTGATCTAAGTGCTAACAGTATCTTAGGAACGTGTGTTCATTAATTTTGGTTCTACTCATCTACATGCATTCCTTTTGTATTTTGGTATTCTTTTCTGTCTTATATATAAACATATAAAGGGTAATTATAAATTTAGTGTTCAATTTTTTATCTATTTTTTTTTTTTATTTTAGTCTCTCAATTTTATTTTTTAAAAATTATGATTTTATCCTTGTATTTTATGATTTTTGTATTTTGAGAAATACATAATTTTATCTCTATTTTTTCGAGTCATTATTCTGTTTGTATTATTATATCAATTTTCTATACTTTTTCCATCAAAAGTTGTTATTCTTGTCTTTGTATTTTGCCAAAATTAACTAATACGATGCTACATTTACTTATTATTTCATTCTTATATTTACAAAAATTAGTTAATTTTATCTATTAAAGACGCTCAATTAATAAAAAAAAAATAAATTACATACTAAATTAGAAAAACTGATAAATTTAAACAGCAATTACATAATTATACCAACCCACAAATACACTGTATCAACCAACAATCACACATATATCACTTGGTTTGTCTGGCTGGGCCTAGCCTATGATTCTACATAAAGATATAAATCCGGTTCATGGTTGGGTGAGTTGCTTGTCCCAACCCAATCGTCAGCAGAGATGCACTGAAAATTAATTATGATTTGTACTAAATCAATAAAATCATTTCATTCGTACAAATGCATCAAAATTCAATTAATGTCTACAAGACAATTATTTTTTGGGGGACAAAAATTCTGAGTAACATGGACCAGTGAGGGGGCTCCAAAATCAGATTTCAAGGCCCCGTTCCCACGTGGGATACAGTCTCTATTGTTCTCCACTGCCTTTTTTTTCTTGAAAAACATAATTAATGCCCTTCTCTTCAGAGAGGCTGCCTTTTGATTTTAGGATCCTCGTCCTACAGAAGAGAAATTTTATCTATAAAATAATGGTCCGAAATTTGAATTCACTGTTAATTTTGAATATTTATTTAAAAGGTTTGAATTGATAATTATAGAATAGGATTAATTACAGGGTGTAAGTATGTTAATGTTGCATTACAAGACAAATAAAATGTAGAATAAAAAAAAAAAAAAAATGGGGCATCTGAGGAAAAGAAGGCGCAACGAGCGGCTGTGTTCCTATGCAAGGTCATTTGTCCTGTTCGAAGTGGACATGGAAAGCGGCTGCAAAAGCTACCCCATTGTTTTTCTTCTTCTAACTTCTTGCTTCTTTTAGTTTTTTCTTACGACCTTTTCCTGTTTTTGTTTTTTAATTTTTACAGATATATTAATTAAGAGATATAATTGGTAATTAGTTACCTTTTAATCACCGATTAAACAATTAGTTACTTTATTTTAATAATAGTATGTGGTTATGGGTTTTGTTCTATTCCGCTAAGACATATCGGAGGTTTGAGTTTTTTCTTTCTACAGTTTTGGCATGTTATGTAGATGTCCAATTATGCCGTCTTTCACGAGAAAAACAATTTTTTAACTCCACTTTTTCCTATAACCAAGCTTTGAATTAATAATAATATAATACAATTAATTGTTTAAATAATTTTGAAATTATAAATTTTAATTGAAATTAAATCGGTAATATTTTTTATCAAATTAATAGTTTGTTGTAGTCTCTAATTAGTTTATTTTTGCGATTAAATTGATAAATTATTTCATCACTTTCATAAATATAAAAAATACTTATATAAATGTCATTTCGATACATTTATTTTCATTTCTTTTTTTTTTTTTTTTTTAATATTGGGAGGATATGAACTCAAATCTTTTGTCAGAACATATATGTATTTAGCACTAGACTATATCTTGATGTGCACATTAATGTTTATTTAGATATAATCTTATTGATATTTTTTTCATCAAACATAAATATTCTTATTAGAATTACTTTTTCTAATATTAAATTATTAAAGTTCTCTGTAAAATTAAAAATTGTATTAAAATTTTAGTCAAAGAATAATTACAACGGGGACTTTTATCTTAAAATTATTGATTTTAATTAGTCAAAAAATTTGATCTTAGATTAAAATTTTTTTTATCCCCAAAATTACATTAAATCATAATAAAACCTTGATAAAAATAAAAAATAAAAAAGCACCGTCTAGTTTGCTTAACTTGTAGTTTTGCTTTTAGACCAGAAATATATTATATATATATATATATATATATCTATATAGGTTTTGACTTATAACATCCAATTTGATTACTAAATAGCAAGATGTCATTACAAATAAGCAAATAATAATAAAAAAAAAAAAGGAAATCAATCACCGATGCTCTACTTAATCAAGGGGTTGAAATTAAAGGAAAATAAGTGACCTTTATGGGTGGCAAATAGGGCATGGCAGCTTGGCTTAGTAGGTGCTAATGCGTGTACAAAAATCGTGTCTTCCACTTGTATAAAGTCTTTATTTATAAAAAACTTTGTAGTGTCTAACCAAAAATTAAGTAGAGCGTGTGGGTTTACATATAGAAAGGAAGAAAAAGGAATCTCCAACAACCTAATCATTAGTGTAGAATAATTAATGCAATTTCTTTCTTAATTTAGGAGAAAGATATTGCAAATCAATTATTTTTTGGACCTTCCTTTTTTCCCTTCAAAAGAGTTGTTGACTTCTTGCTTCCTCATAATATCTAATGTACATTTGTCGATGTTTAATGGAGTTGCTTTTTATGTAGATTGAACTCAATTATGTGTTCTTGAATAACATAATTTGAGAAAGGAAAAAAATTTGCAATTATTTCTTAAATAGTTGTTCAATTATTTTGATTTAAACTATTGCATTACCAAAAAGATAATGTCTTAATTATAGTTATGGAGAAGTTTCAACATAATTATATTCAGAAAATAGAGGCCTCATCTTATTAATTCAAACTCCAAATTATATATACGTTATGCTAAAGTTAGAAAATTCATAGTCATTCTTTCTTTTAATTTGATTGATTGGAAAAAGAAAGAGGAATCAATCATCAACATTCTCTCTTTTTTTTTTTTTTTTTTTTTTTTTTTAAGAACTTTTGTATATAAATTTCATTTAGTTGTGTTTAGCAACACCGTTTTAAATACCTTTTAGCATTTTGATTAGTCAAAAATATTTTTTTTTTTTTTTTTTTTTTTTTTAGAAGAAGAACTTTTGTATATAAATTTCATTTAGGTTGTGTTTAGCAACACCGTTTTAAGTACCTTTTAGCATTTTGATTAGTCAAAATACTAAATACTATTTAAAAAGGTTATTTAGTAATATAATATTTAGACTAGCTTTTAAAAGTTAGAGTAGCGTTTTGTGAAAAGTTAATTGGTGTAGTATTTATTTTTTTATGAAAAGCTACTCAAACAGTTAACAGTTATCAAAATAGCTAATTTTACTGAAGAAAACACTTCATTAATTTATGTTTTGTTGGTTTGTTGGAACACAAGGTTAAAAAGATAAATGCAAAATATTTCTTGTTTAAATCTCCATAGTCTCCTCCTTTATGTCAAAAGAAAGGACTATATAGCCTTTTTTTCCCTCCCAATTTTGCTTCGAAACGAATAAAACCTGAATGTCTAACTCAAATTGTACTCTCGACAAGACACTTATTGAGTCTTTGATCTTAAACTTTTTATTCTTTACACTTACTAAAGGCATTTAAAGTAGATGTTTGCTACTTCATGCAAGTTTTGTTAATTTTAAAAACAGCCTACCCATTTGGTAAAGGGTGATGTCCTCCACCGTTAGATTGCAAATTCAATTTCACTTTTCCGTTTCTTTTATAATTGGTAACTTGTGATGAGGCCCTTTCTCGTGCGGTATTTGAAGTAGTGTTTAATATTTTGATTATATTAAAATATTATTTTAATTAATTATAGCATTCGGTAATATAATATTTATCCCAGCGTTTAAGGTTTGAGATAATATTTCATAAAATATTATCTTTATTAAGGTTTAGCATTTTATAATTTTTTTATGCCACTTATATCCATCGCTTGTATTTACCTTATTTTCGCTTTCATACCTTTTTTTTTTATTTTATATTAAACAACTAATCAAACAGTTATTTGTAGCGAACACTTTTATTCTAAACCGCTATATAATAGCTAACCACTGGTAAACCAACTGACAACTATTATTAAAATAGCTAACAGCTATTAAAACAATCAAAATTGCCGAACATAACCTAAAAAACAGTTTATATCGTCCTTCTTAGGTTGGATTGCCCTTTAATGGATTTATTATAATGTAATTTATGGTATAATATTTGTAAATCTTTGTTTAAATAGAAAGTGGTAAATTTCAAAATTGAATTCTCCATCTACCATTATGCTGGATTTCCATTAATTCAATAAAGGAATTGTCAAAAGGAGAAAGACTTACCTCTTATTACTATAGCTAATAATATTTTGACTTATTTGATATTTTCATAAAAAAATTAGCTTTTATGCTCTAGGTGTTTAGGAAACTTAGAGTCGAACTTCATCAGCTAAAAGAGAAAAAAAAAAAAGAAGAGAAGAAAAACCAGCAAGGATATTTTACTGACGATGAAATTTAAATGGATATTGTTTTGTTTCATAATTATTTCTTCAAATATCCATCATCTTACTAAAAAAAGAAAAAAGAAAGAAAATACAAGTTGGCTAAAATAATTTGTCATCATTTGCCAAACTTGCGTATTTGACCATCTCGCACACAATCTGAAAGCGAATATATTCTGAAAAAGGACAAACATTTGGTTGTCAAGCTTTATTGTAGTCGTAGAGCTAGAGCTGGTGATTGAAACTTAAAACTTCCATGGCTGTCCTTCTTGTTCCTCCTACCTAATAATAATCTCAATCTCAAATAACAACTCAAATGGCCCCATTCCTTTACAAACTGTACTTCACTTACAAAAAGCATCTCTTATCAAAATCATCATCCACCACAAACATTCAATTCCCCACATACCTGCATTGCTTAAAAAGTGGATGCTAGCAACAGAATCATCATCCTCCACAAACATTCAATCCCAACTGCATTTAAAAAAAAAAAAAAAGAAGCGAATGCCAGTAACAGCAGATTGGATCAGCAGAAACAAACTGAGTCTTCATGCGAGATTTACATGTAGTTTTAGGATTCGATTACTGATGAGAGAACTTTAATAAAATAAAAAAAAAAAAGTATAAAAATATGGAAAAAATACAAATAAATTAAAAGAGACAAATATAATAAACGCATTATACATTTAAAGAAAAATAAAATTCAAGTACAGATAGAAATGCAGGTATCCTCACCGAGCTCAAAGATTAGCTGGTGTGAAATATTTGTTAATTTTCACTCTTCAAAATAATTAAAATTCCATAAAATTTCTTTCGTTCTTTCTTTCTACACCGCTAATCACCATTATTAAATCAATTTACAACTTTCTGCTCTTTCTATTTATATATATATATAGATTATATACCAAATAACTCATATTAATGTAGAATAAAGATCGAGCTCGAAGTTATTCAATTTTTTTTATAAGGTGCTCATCAATTCATCATCAGCAAGCGTAGAACTCAACAAGCTCGTCTAGAGACTCTGGTTGTGGATCGGCATTCCCTAACATCCATAGCAAGTGCTCAAACAAAACCACTTCACATGCAATGCTAATAGTATCCGACTCGCTCGACCTCTCTGCGAGTTCGCGAAAGAGCGGATTGTCAATGACGTCGGAGCTGATGAGATACCGTCGGCGAGACTTACCTACATAGACAGGATGGAGGTTGCCGGAGTAGGAATCAGAAGCGGGGGAGGAGGAAGATGAGAAATCAGCAGCAGCGGCTATGGAGCTTCCACTGGGACGGCTTTGCTTGTTATTGAATGAGTTAAGCTTTTTCAGGACTGATCTGAGCTTTGTCAGCTTGCCGCCTTTCGCCATTTTGGTTTGTGTTTTAATGGAGGAAGCAAATTACGGGGGGAAGAGAAAAAATGATTTTTTTTTTTTTTTTCTCTCTCGTTTTTTTGCTGCCGCTGTTGTTTGTGGGCTGAGAAAGGGAAAGGAAGGTTCCTGTATAAAAGGAGAGGCATGAGGGTTGTATGGTAATTTTAGGTTGAGGTGCCGTTTCGTGACCACTGGGGCCCAATGTTGAAGGTGGGCCCAGGTTCAAGTTAAGATAATACTAATATGCATAGCGGCAAGGAATTTAGACGAAAATAGCAGCTGGGCTTTTATTATGCATTTGGTCATGCAATGGATGAAAACTTTTTTTTTTTTTTTTTGAAGTTGTGTTTTATAAAACTTAAAAAGCCATCTTTAAAATTTAAAGCTAAGGTTCGTATTTCCTTAAAAAAAAAAATGTTATAGTTTATAAAGTGAATCTCTCTAACTCTCGTGTACACGTCATTTATATTCTATTTAACTAATAAAAAAATAATTAAACTTTTGGCCTTTACAAATGGATTGTGTTGTAATTTGGTAATATGGTAGGAAACGAAAAGGTTATAATTATAATTTTATAAGTTTAAGATAAGATAGATAGGAAAGGCAAGACATGGTTACGTGTAAGAAAAATAAGCATTGTGTAAGTGTTGGTTTTTTTGTCCTTATTTGGTCTTAACATGCAAACGCATACCAACCAGGGAGGGTTGTTGCTCTCCAACAGTATTAAAAAACAAATTCAAACTCACTATTATCATTATATTCTATTACTTCGTTCACTTTTTTTTTATTCTTACCGAAAGCGACAGACATGTGCAACTAAATTTTACTGTAAAAAAATATTGTTCATACGTCACACCAAAAAATAAATAAACTATATCTATATGTGAGAGCAGAGCTTGCCTTCTTCCTTTCGACACTCTGGACCAACCGGTAGTAACTACCATGATTTATTAGTATTATAAATTAATTAGCAAACAAATAGATTCATGTATTTTTCAGTCAGTGTGTGTTGTGTTTGTGAAACACTATTCTCTTTTATGTTTCCTTTTCGTTCCTGAAGATTCCTCGTTCATATATACATTGTTTTACTCTCCGTTTTGTTCTCAAGTCTATTTTGCGCCGATTCCTGTCGTGATTATATATATAATTTTGCTGGAGAGTATGTCTTGATAGCATATATGGATGAGTGATGTCGAGAGATGAATCCCACGTTAAATAATAATAAAATGACTTAAGAACTTAGTATGAAATACGATGCAAAGTGAATTATATTATTTTTATTAATTTTAAAAATTAAATTGAGACAGCCTTCATTGCACATCTTTTTCTTTTGGTAATGAATTAACTAGCAAATATTTTGGGATTTGATGAAAATTGTTGACAAAGACACAAGTCGGCCGGTGACTACAAAGCCATGTGAGCAACACATGGAGTAAGATTGTCCTAAAATATGTGAGCCACGTCATTCGTATTTACTTACCCTCTCAATCGCACCCATACATTCCCATGTGGTCTCATTCAATAAGTACAATATTATCACTCCTTCAATGTGTGACAAATTGCCAAACTATAATATACTTAATTTATTTATTTATAACACTACATTGTCGAATGAAATTTTATTTCTAATTGGAGTTTATATGACTAGCTTATTCTTGCAATTTTTGCATGTTATCATAATAAATTAATTATGTTAGAATAATGAAATAAATTAATTATCTCTCTTTATCAAATCATCCAAGGATTAGAGATTAAGCAAAACCAAATTAAAATATGTGGGTGTGGTTGAGAGATAATGGGTTTAATAAGATTCTTTCATTCATGTCTTTATTAAAACAAAATCAACAAATACAAGAACCAAAAATCATAAAATAGTGTGTTTTCGACCTAAATGAATTAATGTTAGGTTTTGTCAAGATCAATGAACAGAAAATAATTTTGGATGGTAATGCAATTTGATTCTTCACTTGAAAACACAATCCTACCATTTGCAGGATATGTAAGCCTTAGCTGAATCAACAGAATCTATTTGTTCTTGTAAAATTAGGAAAAATAAAAATTAATGAATAGACTATAGATGTCTCTATGTAACAGACATAATAATATTAGACATGACCATAAGAAATTGTTGTCTTTTTTTCACTTTTTAAGTTCTTGTCTTCTTCATGGGTCCAAAATTAATCATGTGCTTAAGCAAATCAAGTTTAGATCTCTAATATTTATATTAAGCATTATCAAGGTTTTATGATCATGTGCTTAGTGTTAATTTTGTCAGGCCCGCCGCTCTCCAATTATTTGATACTTGTCAATCTTTGTTTATTTTCCTAAATAAAATTATAATCTTATAATTTCTTATTTCATTGTTATTTTGGATTACGTGCCAAATCCTTAGAAACATGCTCTATCATTAGAAACAAGAAGCATAAAAATACATTTTGTATCATTTTTTTAGTTCATGAGATAATATAGTATATGTCAAATTAATTAGATTTTTATTCAAAAAAAAAAATTTAATATAAACCACATTAAATTTAATTCCTTCGCTAATTTAGATAATAGTAACTAATGAGAATTAAGATAGATTGTGCGACAAATAGACCAATCACATTCTCTAGTTCTACTTTACCTCTTTGATTTTCCAACAAACAGATCTTGACCATTGACCATGGAAAACTAATGGGACTATGAGACAGTGACAAATGACAATGATTTATCATTTATGACCTGTGATTTATGCCTCAACTTCAAAATTACACTTGTGGCTGCTAAACTAATGCCGGCCCTAAATTTTATTTTTTGGGCCCTAATTGATTTGGGCTCTATCTTACAGTTGGGCCTTAGCGGATTTCCCGTTCAATGATTTCTCCTTTTCAGCCATCATTAGATTACGGATAACATGGACTACGGATCATGGGCTTGATAGACAAATTTACTCGGCCTCCTTTCATTTGAAACTTTTTTGTTGGTTCTGCTCACTGCTTAGGACTTGTAATGGGCTTTTTCAGTCTATTAGCCAAACGACTAGAATAATAAGTCGTTCATGTTCATTTTTCTTACAATTGATTATTGCATTACTCTAAAAGCTTCCTCTATCAAAATCTCTACAGAAACGTTATGTCCAACAGAAGTCCTGAAAGCTTTCTTCTTCATAAAAATCTGACAAAATGGTAAAAAAATTAATAATTTTTTTTTCAAAATTCGCTCACTCTGACTGGATCCATTCTCCAGACTAACCGAAACCAACCATTTGTTTATTCTTCGCGGGTAAACTGGAAAAGCCCCACCACGGTTACTACACCACCACCCTCACCTTTCATTTCTCTTTCAAGAATTTCGCTGTTACTGTACTTTTTCCGGTCTCTGTCTTATCTCTTCGCTCACTATCTATCCAATAACCCAAATAAGGAAAAACAAAAAGCAAAAAAAAAAAAAGCAAAATCAAATTCCACTGTCAACGTTCATCAATTCCTCAAATGAACGCCTACAGTCTCCACATTAAACCACCATATACCGATCCTGTTCTCATCCCCAAACACCCCATCCTAATAGTTCGCCATTTCCGCCCCTACAGACGCCGTCGTATCAAACGAATCGCCACCAGGAATCTCACGCTCAAAAGCAACTTATTAGACCCTTTCCAGAATTTCCTATCTCAATTTCCTTCCTCGAATTCAATCGATTTCATCCCGCCGGCCCTAGGTCTCGCTTCTGGTTTAACTCTATATCTTTCGCAATTCAAGTCAAGTAAATCTTCTACTACTTCAGATATTGGTGAGTGGATTCTGTTCTCTAGTCCTACCCCGTTTAACCGTTTTGTATTGCTGCGTTGTCCTTCGATATCTTTTGAAGGAGGTGAGTTATTAGAGGATTTGAATGAGAGGTTAGTTGAAGAGGAAAGGCACTTTGTAAAACTGAATAGTGGGAGGATTCAGGTGAAAGACGGGGCCAGTGGTGGTTGTTTGGAAGAGAAATTGGTGTATCAGAGAGTTTGCTTGAGTACTGAGGATGGTGGGGTTATTTCGCTTGATTGGCCAGCGAATTTAGACCTGAGAGAGGAGCATGGTTTGGATACTACCCTTTTGCTTGTGCCTGGAACAGCTCAAGGGAGCATGAGTGAGAATGTTAGGTCTTTTGTATGTGAATCGCTTAGCCGAGGGTTTTTTCCGGTTGTTATGAATCCTAGAGGATGTGCTGGTTCCCCACTCACCACTGCACGGTATGTGAAATTTTTGCACTTGTTATTTTCTGTTGTTTTAGTGTTTTATCGACCGTTTTACTTTTAGTATAATTGGAGATTGCAATAGAAGAAAAGAAAACGAAAAGAAAAAGAAGCTGATAGTAGAGCTTCTTAACAGATTCATTTATGTAGGTTATTTACAGCTGCTGACAGCGATGATATCTCCACAGCTGTACAGTTCATCAATAAGGCAAGGCCATGGACATCCCTGATGGGTGTTGGCTGGGGATATGGTGCAAACATGCTGACAAAGTATCTGGCAGAAGTTGGCGAGAGAACGCCCCTTACAGCTGCCACATGCATTAATAATCCATTTGATTTGGAGGAGGCTACAAGATGTTCTCCTTATCACATTGCCTTGGATCAGAAACTCACTGTTGGGCTGATAGATATCCTGAAAGCTAATAAGGTTGATGATTTAAACTTTTTATCATTTTAGGATCTGGATGCTTTGTATATTTTGGGAATACAATATTTTGTAGTTTCAGAGAGATGAAATGCTTGGTATTGTGTTCTTCAACTTGTGTCATCCGTTTGGTATGTGATTATCTATTTATGGTGATAAGTATACTATTACTTAATTATTTCTGTAGGAACTATTTCAAGGGAGAGCAAAAGGGTTTGATGTGGAAAGGGCTTTAATGGCAAAATCTGTTCGTGATTTCGAACAAGCAATATCTATGGTATCTTATGGTTTTGAGGAAATAGAAGATTTCTATTTAAAATCTAGCACAAGGGCTGTGGTTGGGAATGTTAAGATTCCTGTTCTTTTTATTCAGGTATGTATTTTGTGTTCCTATTATCTTATTGCTCTGAATTATGCATGCCATTTGTCATTTACTGCATGTTTAAACATCTAATCAATTTTAATTTGGTAAAAATTTCAGAATGATGATGGCACAGTGCCGTTATTTTCCATTCCACGCAGTTCGATTGCAGAAAATCCATTTACAAGTCTTCTTCTATGCTCTTGTGTGTCATCTAGTATTAATGCAAGTGGCAGAGCTGCTGTATCCTGGTGCCAGAATCTTACTGTTGAGGTGATGAATTGTCCTCTTCTTTTCCAATGGCAGAAGATTCATATATGGATCTGAAACTAACAAATTTTTTGGCCTGAGTTTTCTTCCCATGAAATCGAGGTTTCTTTAACACTAAAGATTTTTTTTTTTATGAGTTTAGATAAATGTCTATCATACAATAAATACTTTTAGTTCCTTTCAGCCGTCAATTACAATGTTCTTATTTATATTATAAACAGGAATGTAATTTATATTTCTTTTCATGAAAGTTTAGTGGTCCTGGTCAGGTCATGAACTAACCATATACTTCTGAATTCTGACCTCTGATGAATGTAGTCAATACAGGAACGTAGAAATGTAGAAACCATTTTCTTCCCCTTATTTTGCTTGAAGACTCTGGCAGAATTCAATTTTGCATATTGCGAGGGGTATGCTAACTAGTATGAATATTGTTCTTGTAGTGGCTCTCAGCGGTGGAGCTTGGGCTCTTGAAGGGTCGCCATCCTCTTCTGAAAGATGTAGATATTTCATTCAATCCTGCAAAAGGTTTAACTCTTGTTGAAGGCAGGGCATCTAGTAAAGGTATCAAACTTGATAAGTTCTTAGGTGCTGCTGCAACTGACGCTAATGGGATTCTTGAAGATAACAATACTTCCATCAAATCAATATCTGGACAACATTCACACCAAAATTTGGCATTTGAAGAGCATTTGCAAGTGGGAAATGGTACATTGAACCAGACTAGCTCCATTAATAAAGAATTGGTTGAAGAGGAGGTAGCTGATCCTGTAGATACTGAAAGGGGTGAGGTGCTGCAAACAGCAGAGGTGGTAATGAACATGCTTGATGTTACCATGCCTGGTGTTCTAGAAGAAGAAGAAAAGAAGAAGGTAATACTCTGAGAATTTCAATTAATGCTACAGATTTTAAGTATGCCAATTATCATGCTTGGGTTTTAGTATCTCAAGAATTTTTGCAATTTCTTATTTCCTTACTTTGTTTATTCTATGAAATGCCAATAAATCTTTCATAATTGTAGACAGTCGTTTCCTGGGGAGATATGGAAAATTTATTTGTGTTTCTCTTCTTTTTTTTTTTTTTTTATGCTATTTATTTTAGTTGGCTGTCTGTTAGACACCCCCAGTTTATGTTCTGTGATTATAAAGAAAGGAGCCCCTTATGCATCTTAAGAAGAAAGGGACCAAAACTTTAGAAGCCAGTGTAATTAAACATTTGACTGCAGTTGGTTAAACATTTTATGGGAGAAGTCATTGCCTTATATTAATATGCATTAGCTATTTGATTTTATATTTTGCTTTTTCCTAACGATCTGAAATATGTTTGCTTTTTGCTTCTTGGCAAATGTCATTTAGAGGAATTGTTTCGGTTAAATTGCTTCTAGGAGATATTTTGGGCTTCTGCTCATAAAGTTGCTTACCTGATTTTACCAATGTAGGAGACTTATGTGGCACTTGTGTTCAGGTCTTAACTGCTGTGGGTCAAGGAGAGACACTTATGAAAGCTTTGCAAGATGCTGTACCCGAAGATGTTCGTGAAAAGCTTACAATTGTTGCTTCAGGCATTCTGCATGCTCAACGCACAAACTTAAAACTTGATCGACTTCTAGGCATTGGTAAAATTCCTGCTGTGTCATCAGGGTTTAAGTCCAATATCCAGGAAAAGGGCAGAGGAGAATCAACTGTTGAATCTGTGCCTAAAGATTCTCATTCTTCTGAAGGGACAAAAAAGGATGATGATGTGGCAGATGTATCTGTTAACAATCAATCTGGGTCAGACAAGTCTGTTACTGGGCTGGAGCCAGAGCTTTCTTCTTCAGAAAATTTGCACAACTCAAGTGATTCAGGACAGCCTCAAACAATGAGCAGTCAACAAGGTGATACTCACAGTTCTCCTAAGAAGGGCATAAATGTGTCAGGAAATAATCATGAAAGTGATGAACTTGTCAAAGAAAAAGCTACTTCATCCTCTAGCAGCGGTGAAAAGGGATTGGAAGCCAGCAGTAAGCAAAATGTTTCCAGCCACACTGAAAAGGCTAGTGGCACTGAGGAAGCAATTGTTGATGAGCATAAGGTGGACCAGAATGGTGGAACCCCTCCACTAGATATAAAAAGCGAGAGTAACAACCAGAAAAATGAAGAGAAAACGCCAAATTCTTTGACCGACCAAAGTAAGATAGTTTCAAGCAATGCGACTGAAGAAGCAACTTCACCTGCAGGATCCTCTCCTGACTCCCAACCAATGGAAAGGGATGGCAACGATGATCAGAAAAGGGATAGCAAAACATTGCAAGCTGTTCCTGACAATAATAAACTGACTGAATCTGATTCTAATTCCCCTACATTCAGTGTCGCACAGGCATTAGATGCCTTAACGGGAATGGATGATTCCACCCAAGTGGCTGTTAACAGTGTTTTTGGTGTCATAGAAGAGATGATATCTCAGTTGGAAGAGGGGAAAGATGATGAAAATAAACTCGATGATGTTGAGGCTGAAGATGAATCACTTGACTCTACACCTAGGAAGGAGCATGGCACGGATGACCGCATATTCAGAATGAATGGTGACAATGACTTGACTATGCAGCCTGATATTTCACAGGATTCTCCTGTACATAAGCACATAGCGAAAGATGTCAATTCACAGAATGTTGTGAGTACTGGATGGGTAGAGGAATCCACCGGTAATCCTATTTTGCACGGTGAGACTGGTACTAATGTTGCCCAGAGAAATACTTCCAGTAACTATAATGAAGGAAATAAGAATGTATTAGTTGGTGGCAAGTATTTGGCCGATTATGCTGATAGACATGTAAATAGCATTCCACTGTATGTAACTGCAAATCCATATGGGGACTATCTACAGAATGAATATTTGCGCAGATATCTTCTCTCAAAAGTACCAAATGGAAAACCACTTGATGTAGACTCAACTACCGCTCTGTTGCTTGACTATTTCCCTGAAGAAGGTCAATGGAAGCTTTTGGAGCAACCAGGAAATATCGGTGAAACTTTTCAAGATGTTACCAATCATAATGGTGCCAACATAATGGATCAGGTCCATTCACGTCCAAGTGTGAATTATCCAGACAACTACATAGAACCGTCTTATGTAGTATTAGATACTGAAAAACAACAAGAACCTGTTGGAGGATATGACAGAGTGGATAAATTTAATGAAAATGTTGAAAATAGGAATCATAGATTGGAAGAAGTGATGCAGTTTGTGAAATTTATTATATTGGATGCTCTGAGGGTTGAAATTGATCGCAAGCTAAGTGCAGAAAGCATGAAAGAAATGGAATCTGACCTTGCTAGAGATCTCGAGGAAGTGGCAAATGCTGTGGCTTTGGCAATTAGACAGGACAAGGGTATGTTACGCTTGCAAGGTAAAAGCTCAAGCATTGAACGTACTTCTGAAAAGGTTGGTACTCTGCAAGGAGAGCATATAGTTAGGGCCATTTCTTCTGCTGTTCTGGACACTAGTTATCTGAGAAGAGTGTTGCCAGTTGGTGTTGTTATAGGCTCTAGCTTAGCTGCTCTGAGAAAATATTTTGATGTAGGTACCAGGCATGATAATGGCCTGACATTCGATGAACAATCTAAAATATCTGGGGAAAAGCATCTAGATAAGTCCGGCATAAAGAAAGGCGATCAGAAGCTTACGAACAAAACTGATCAAACTACTAACACAACAAGTAGAAGGAGCAGAGAAGGGGAAGAATCTGAATTGAAATATACAAATAAAGACAGTGTCATGGTTGGGGCTGTAACAGCGGCCCTTGGAGCATCTGCTTTATTGGTACAGCAGCAGGTACTAATAAATCTATTTACACGCTTTTTTCCTTTTCATGAAATTCTCTTTAAGCTTACCTCTTTGGGATCATATTGTGTGAAATAGAGGCTTATGCAAGTGTGATACTCAACATCTCTGTTCTTTAAATAAGTACATCTCTGTTGCTCAAGGTGGCTCACTCTTCTGTTTGAAATTTGCCTGGAGTTTAGGATCTCCTTGTCAGAATTTGGCTCTGTAAATGTTTTGGATCAGCAAATATATGTTCTCATGTGAAAAAAAAAAAAATAAAACTGCACAATTATTTTTTTTAAATTACCATTGCTTACCACACATCAAACCTAAAAATTTCTCTTGCTTCTTCTCGTTGCTCACTTTCATATTTTTCCTTTCCCATTTTTGGATGTTATTCTGTTGAACTGAGAAATCAAATGTCTGAAGTAGCCATCTTTCTAGCAAGTTAGCATGGATAAGGATAATAATAATCCGAAACAACAGTGACAAAATTTGGTGGGGATAAGCTAATTTAACAAATCACACCCATACATTTGTCTAATACAATATATACTTTCAAGTCTATTCTAATTAAGGTTTTGAATATTCTCTTTGTTTTTTCTTATGTTTTAATATTTAATCACATTCACCTCTCTGATTAAGTGATAGTGTGTCAGTTGAAAGACATGTGAGAATGGTTTGTAACTCCTTTTTGAAAAAGCACACACGTGAACATTCAATACATGTCTGATTCGTGACCAGAAGGGACCATTTAAGAAATTATTAATTCTTTTGAACTCTAACAATTTACTTCCACATTTGCATGTCAGTGTGTGTATACACTCACATGTGCATACGCTCACCACCCTGATTAAGTAACATGGTGCTTTGTAAAATCAACTGTATGATAGAGAGTCTTTCAGAGTGCAAACTATTAGAAATGACCCATCAATCGAGGAGAAAAAGGTGAGAAGAAGTATGGTATGCCTGTTAAGGAGCATCTGGAATCCTCTCCTATATGGATTTGACAAATACTCCTGAATGTTATTCTATGTTCACAAGTGGCTTGTTCACTGAATTTTAATCTGAACTTTTATATTCATGTTTATAAATTGTTTGTTTCTTATTTTCCCTTTTCTGATTTTCTTTGGGATATGTGTGCTTTTTAATGCTTAATTGGAATTTTTATAACTGAAGAGTCCAGACCAAGGGAAGGAAACTGCAGAAAGTCCATCGAAGTCCTTCAAGGAACAAGTAAATCATGTTAAGGCAGTTGACAAGGTAGATGAAGTAATGTCTGAGAAAACCCAGAATAACATAGTTGCTAGCTTTGCTGAGAAAGCTATGTCTGTTGCTGGTCCAGTGGTGCCCATGAAGGAAGATGGTGAAGTGGATCAAGAAAGGTCTTGAACTATAGCTATATTCATTTGTTGCATAACTTGGCATATTAAATATTTTAATAAAACTTGTATGAACTTTCCATATCAACAGGCTGGTTGCAATGTTAGCAGAATTGGGACAAAAGGGTGGCCTGCTGAGGCTGGTTGGTAAAGTCGCTTTGCTTTGGGCTGGCATTCGTGGTGCGATGAGTTTGACTGACAGGCTTATCTCATTTCTACGAATGGCTGAGTGCCCCTTGTACCAGAGGTAATCTAAGCTCCTGAATGTTCTTCCATGCCACCTTTTTTCCTTCTCTTCTCTCCTTTTGTTCTTTAGTTTTCCTTAAACCTTTCTTTTTCCGTGCATGTGGTTAGTTTGATGACCAAATGAAAGGGTTCAGGCAATAGTCAAGACTATGTCTGTCGAACATTGGCCAGAAAAAACAAAAGTGATAGAATATATCATTTGTCTGTATAAGAGGACCTATTGGCAGGAATTCTGTTGGTAATCATGGGAATGCCAAGATTCAAACGTATTTATCTAGCATCCCAGCATCTGCACTCCATTAATATCTTTCTCCACCTCTTAGCCACTCGTGACTTTGGAGAAATTTGTATTCCAATGTCTCCTTGATTAGTGTACTCTGACCCATAAATGTTCCCATCTTATTCTGTTCTAGTGGATGAAAAAGCAAATTCATTGGTTAGCATGTTCTTTTTGCTTTGCTAAATCTATTAGGACTGAAAATGTTAAGAGTTTCATGAATCTGTTTCAATGTTAAGAATTTACTGAATCTCTTTCAATTATTATTTCTTCTATCAGGATTATTGGGTTTTTGGGTATGGTGCTTGTTTTATGGTCTCCAGTCATTGTTCCATTGCTTCCAACACTTGTGCAGAGCTGGACGACAAGTAATCCCTCCAGATTTGCTGAGCTTGTTAGCATTATTGGTCTCTATACAGCCGTTATGATTCTTGTTATGCTATGGGGCAGAAGAATTCGAGGGTATAAGGATCCACTAGAGGAATATGGATTGGATTTGGCAAAACCGTCTAAGGTATATGGTTGTAACCTATTTTTCTGATTTTTATGCCTTTAGGTGAGCTTAAGATTGATAGTTCAGCCACTCTTGCTTCTTGTCTCACAACTTCTGGTCTTGTCTGGCAATGGCAATAAGAGTGGCAACTTCTATCTTCTGTGAATGAAGAAATGAATGTATTGTGTGCATTTCTCCATGGCAATTGAAGTTTTTTTACAATGGTAAATCCGATGGTCCTTTCCTGTTGTGTGGTCTTCGCTTGCTGCTGAAAAGGGGTCAAAATATTCTGTGTTCCCGTGTTTTGTAATACACTAGTCATCAAGAGTGGTTGAAGCTCTTTTTCCTTTTCACTTTTGTCTCATTTTTTATACTTTGTTATATTATTTGCCTATGAGTGCATTTTGATTTTGCAATTATCTTCTTCATATTTTCTTCTCAGTGAGTTCATGTCTTGAAAATAGATGAATATTTTGAGGTCCCATTTAGATTAGAGATGATTGTTTAATGTTTAGCCCACTTCTTGCAGATCCAAAATTTTTTGCTGGGATCCATTGGAGGAGTCATGCTTGTTTTGTCAATACAGTCTGTCAATGCTTTGGTGGGCTGTGTGAGTTTTTCGTTGCCTTCAAGTCATCCTGCATCTTCGTTAGATGCCATGGCATTTTTGAGAGTATGTGGCAAGGTAATTATGCTGGCTGGTCAAGCAATCGTAACAGCCACTGGTGTCGCACTTGTTGAAGAACTGCTTTTTAGATCATGGTTGCCTGAAGAAATTGCCATTGATCTCGGTTATCACAAAGGAATTATCATATCAGGGCTAGCATTCTCTCTTTTCCAGAGGTATCTTCTTCATTTACAATAACAAAAATAATAATGCCTTTTTCTCTTCGCAGTTAGCATTATATTACAAGGCACATTCTTCATTTCCTCTCATTTTATTTTCCTTTTACTCAACAAACGTTATTACTATTCATGGTAGATAAATTTTTATTTCCCACTCCACATATCATTGACATGTCATCACAGTCAACTTTTTTCTTCTGATTGGTTTTTAGGTCACTGTGGTCAATACCGGGGCTTTGGCTTTTATCTTTAGCTCTGGCAGGATTTCGGCAAAGAAGCCAAGGTAGCCTTTCCATTCCAATTGGATTGCGTGCAGGGATAATGGCTTCAAGTTTTATTTTGCAAACAAGCGGCCTATTGACCTATACATCCAACTATCCCCTGTGGGTAACGGGGACTCACCCATTTCAACCTTTCAGCGGGATAGTTGGTCTTGCATTCTCTTCATTGTTGGCAATAATCATGTACCCGAGGCGGCCGCTAGAGAAATGGGAAAAACCCGAATAGGTCCCTTCAATACTAAAGTAGATTTTTTCAAGTAATGGTTAAAGTTAGAATTGGTCAGTAGCTCTTCTGTGGACGTGTAATATCAGAATGACTCAGAGAGAGAAGTTTGAAAAAGAGGAGCTGCTGTTGTGTTGTTTGTAAACCCAAATATTTGAAAAACGGATGGATATGGGTTCTCATTATTTAGGAGGAAAGGGAAAATTACAAGGAAATAATAGAAAAGCAGGAGTCTCATGTATAGTTGATGTAGCGGATAAGTCTTGATGTATAGCTGGTATAGATCTCAAAGGCAGAGAGAGCAGAGCATTTTTGCAAATAGGAAAATGAATTGTACTTGTCAAGTTTTCAATTTTGCTTGTCAATACATAAAACGGCTTCAATTCTGATTATTGAACATCTGCGTAAGAATATCTGATTGATGGTTTTATTTTAAAGAGTTGAGCACTTTGGTTGAGGAATATATTTTATATACTTGATAAATATGGATGGACCTGGGCTGGGCTGGAAGCTCCATTGTACATGTTACCCAAAACCAAAATGTATTAATATATGGTTTTAAGTTGGTGTGTTTTTTTTTTTTTTTTTTTTTACTGTGAATATAAGTTAACATATTAAGGACATAATTTATTTGCATCGTTCTTCAATTCCTGTGCAGGCCTAGATAGACGGTTAATGGGAAACTTTGTCTCTATGTATATACATTGGATCTTTATTCAATTTCATAAGTACACATCTGTTTTTAACTTCCTGTAATTATATATAAAAGTGTTATTCGTGATTCAAAGGACAGCCACTAAATGCCACACAAACATTAAAATTCACTCATCAATTCAGACAAACAGAAGACATCAAGATTGCCACTAAGACAAAACTGAACCCTCTCAATTTTGAATCCTAACCAGATTGTCTCTCTCCCATTTTCTTTTTTCAATTTCCATACAATGGTTAATATATAACTCTCATGTTGCAACTTTCTCGAAAAACCCTACACACAAATAGAAAGAAATAGTGATGGCTTCATCTAAAATCAGGCCCTCTCTTTCATTAGCTAATTACTTATTCTTGATGAGTTATTTCATTTTCTTAGGTTATTCTTCAAGATTGCAATATTCCAAAGAAAACAATAGTAAAGACTTGATTTCTTCTACATGCAACCACACCCTTTACTATCAAGAATGCGTCTTTTCCTTAAGATCTGATCCTAACAGCAAAACAGCAGATCTACGAGGGCTAGCTAATATTGCACTTAATATTAGCATAGCATATGGGTCGGAAACATTAACCCACATTAGTGATCTAAAGACTAAAACCAGTAAGAATGACACCAACTCTAGTTGCTTAAGTGACTGCGTAGAGCAATATAATGATGCTGTTGAAGATCTTCAAGAGGCAATTGAAGCTCTAAGAATTAGATCCTTAGATACATTGAAGACATTAGTTAGCTCTGCAATGACCGATTCAGATACTTGTGAAGAAGGATTTGAGGAAAGTGGCTATGGATCTCCATTTGCTAATAGAAATTTGTATTTCAGTAAGTTGTGCAGTAACTTTCTGGCAATTTCCAATCTTTTAAGTTGATTATGTACTAGTGTATGTTCCATTTGATTTGTTGTTGGGAAAATGTGAATTGTGTTTAAAATTTTGGTTAGAGATTATTGAATTGAAATAATATAGTTGCTTGTGCACCCTGTTTTGTAAAACTTATCGTTTGACTCGAGTAAATTAATTAAGGGTATCATAAAATTAATTAATCAAAATCATGATTTTGAAAATTATAAAATGCGATTGGTCCTACTCTGTTTGAAAATTGATATGTGAGTTTTTAAGTAAGATTCTAAACAAACCAATAGAAATTTCCAGTAGTGGAAACACCATTTAGCCAAAGATTATAAAAAGTCCCAACACTTCTCTTTTTCTATCACCATTTACCTAATTTGACCTATTCCTCTTTTCTACTACTCTCCCACCGCCCAATAATATTGTATCCCTAATCTTGGTAGATGCTTTTTTTTTTTTTTTCTTTTTGTTTAATGGATATAAAGAAAGAAATGAATTTGAAGTTTAATTAAGATAAATTACTTCATTAAACAAGTATTTGATTGCTAAATTATTAATTTCATTGTAAGAAATTATCTCCCTAAAATATAAAATTAAATTACAATGAAAGGTAAAGAGTTTATGCTAACAAAAAAGAAAAAAAAAAAATACCACTTGATGCATAAATTCCCTTAATGAAATATCTTGACTAACATTTATATAAATTTAATATTTTGTTATAGTTTTTCGAGAATTAAGAATTACTGAATGCAGCAAAAACGACACATCATGTTTGCAAAAGATTGGTGTATAGAAGTAGTTCAGTTAATTTGCTATGAACTGGTTAATATTTGCTATGTGACATCCTAACCCGGTAAAGCAATCCTAAGAAGACGGGCGGAGCAAAACTTTTGGCTAGCTTCTAGAATGGCAGGCGAGCTATATAAAGCGAAATATGGGACACATGAATAAATCAAATCATATATCGAAAAAAGGGAAATTAAACATCAGATATGTGTTTTGGTGGAATGACTTAGAGAATTGGAAGAAATACAAAGTCAAACCTACTCATTTAATCGAAATCGTAGGACATGTAATTTTTTGAAAAGTTCCTCATTTCACTTACAAGACAAAACCGTGAGAATTTTATCAATGCATGACAAATTATACTTCATCTTTTTTTTTTTTTTCCACTTTTGGCATTAATCGCGTGTATTCTCAGTTCAATGGATTATAACTAATATTTGTTTCATTTACGAAGATGGATCCCTCCGTTTTATTTAAAGAAGAAAAATGTAAAATTCCTCGTTACCAATTTATGATCAGCCTAAAAGCATTTAAACAAACTTTGTTTGTTGTTTAAGGCACGTGCCATTGTCCGCAAGGAAAAAGCCATAGCTATTATTTTTTTCTTATGTCTCGTCATTAATTTGTCCAATCTGCTCGCCTCCACTAACGGTAATCACCAATGAGACCAACCCCATCCCATATACTCCATAATTCATTTATTTTATTATATTTATCTCCATTATATTTATAATAATATTATTCATCCGTGATTGATCGTAGCGTTCAGCAGTTGGATCTGTAATGATGACTTTACTGTTTTTTTTTAACAGTAATCTGTAAATTTTCGCTAATTTATTCTGCAAATTATTGATTTTATCCAATATGTTTAACTTTACGAATAAAGAAGTCACAACGTAATTATATTATATATATACGTTTTTTTTTAAAAAAAAAAGCCATATCTTTTTATTTATTTTCGCATAATTAGTCTTAATAGCCATTAGTTCTAAACATGCAGATTTCATACAGAATCTGCTAACAAACCCAGAAGAGAAAAAATGTTGTCAGCTTCAACAAAAACACACCAACTGTTAATTAATTCTTATTAACTAAGTACACTGCATATATATATAAGCCTGGATAAATTACCGGATGCTTCTAACAAATGTAAATTAACAAATTTGTAGTAAAAGTAGAAGGTGAAGTGAGATTTACAGAGATGTTTTCTAAACTAAAGAGAGAGTAACAAATTTTGTATTAGGTACAAGGTAACAGTTTGTATTATTTTTGTCTTGTCGGAGTTTTTCTTTCTCATAGGGCGCCCCATCGTGTCTGCTGCTTTTATTAATATTTGTTAAAGTTTATAGCATGTGATGTGAGATGTTCTATAAGTATAATCCCACTGGCCTTCATTTGGCTATCATTATGACTCTTATTGACACTTACCAGTATATTTTTAATCAGTTTGCTCGGCTTGAACATGTGTCTGAAAATTCGAATCATGTCGGCATAAAATTTGAATATTATATTAAAATTTATGGGTCCGTATAGACGTGAGTTTATAAGCGACTGATGATTGAAATTGATATAAATAAATCAAGATTTAACACTTCCTAATTTTTATTTATAAGCCAAGTGTGTTAAAGCATGATGAGTTTAACAGTATTAACACTGTTTAAAAGGGCCATAGCATTTGGATTTGCATTTGTTTATCATCGTTTACGTTGATTAGACTTTATACCTACGATGATGACAATTCCAATATGGAGAATTATGAAGAATTCACTGGAATCTGTATTCAAAATCCAAATCATTAACATGTTTTTTTTTTTTTTTTTTTTTGAGTTTTATTTCTAAGGTTGTGAAAATTGGTTAATACATTATTGTAAACACAAAAATAAACAAAAGAAAAATAAATTTATTATATATTGTATGATAAGAAACATCAATTTCAAGTTATGGATTATTAGTTCCATGCCCACTATCTCAAGGAATTTCGAAATGTTTTTTTTGTTGTACTTTTGTTCTAACCTCGCTTTCAACTCCCACTATGTCAAATCAATTAAGGAAAGGTGTATGATTAAATGAATTATAGCAAGAAATCTCATAATTTCTTCTTTGAAATTAAGGTGTGACGTACGATTAACAAATTTACGGTGAGTAATTAACGAAAGATTCATTTCTAGTTTCTTAAGTACAACTATTTTCATTTAAAAGAATAAAGTTTTAACGGTTTGAATCTCTTTTTTTCTTTTAGTAACCGAAAATAGTAGGAAAAGTAATGGTGTGATTTTAATCAAATTGGTACAATTGCAATAAATCTTTAAATATTAGGATAAAGTATATCTATTTTAAAAGGTTGGATAGCTGTCTTTTGATGGGATATGCATCGTGGGAGAAATAATATGCAACTTGCAAAAAGTAGAGGAATTTGGAGTTGGAAATGTCAAATATGAAATGTCTCGTTCTATCCACTTCCATCTATATATGTCAATCCACTTAATTCTTAGTTCATTGTCTTTCTTCTAATAATTAAATTCTAATTACGTGTATGATCTTATTTTGATCATTATACTTAAAAGATAAACTTATTTTAATACATAATTAACATCTTGCATCAATAATATATATATTATATATTATATATATATATATATTATATAACTAATTATATATAACTAATTAATATTCGAGGACGCAATGTATAAAAATAACAAGGTAAAAATAAAAATTTAAATTGGCAAATTCAATATATTTTTTTTAATTTTAAAATATAGCATGCCAAAATTTTAGTGTAGAATATTGAGAAAGGTCCCTGAATTTCTCAGGCAGCCTACTCGTTTTGGATTCTTGGCACTATATTATGCCAATAATGGCTTTTGGATTAAAAACTATATATTTTTTTTTGAGTAATAAATAAAATTACTGCAAAATAATTTTTGTAAATTAAGTATGGTTTTAGAAAAAAATCATATAGAAGAAATGATTTTTTTTTAATTTGAATTTCTAATCCTATTACTATTAGATAGATACTTTGTATTTGAATTATTAATAATGGATGTAATAAATGTTCATAAACCCAAAAGTTAGTCCAATTAGTAAGTAGGTTCACACGTAATCTTATTTATTAATTAGAATTCGATTATTCTAATGAATCACTAGTTCGTCTTTGACTATTAATCAGGTGGTGGTCTGGTAGGTCTTCTCACTTATATGAGAAGTAGGCAGTTTCGAGTTCGAGTTCTCTCAACCATAATTGTTTTTACCAATTTTGTGAATCAAGGGAAGAGCTACCCCTGTTATGTAGCCCACAATGTTATTTTGACCTATAAAAGTCTCCAATGAATTAAAAAAAAAAAAAAAGTTCGTGTTTGACTAAAGGAGAGAAACAAACTTAAATGAATTGCAAAAACTTTGGCTTAAAGCTAAATTAAAGAAAAGAAAACCATTTTCACAAAGAAAAAAAAAGTATTCCTATTTATTTGTTTACAAATAAAACTATATATAACATAAAAGAAAAAGACAATAGATGAAATATTATTGTAGAAGTAGGTATAGGAGGAACCGATTTCCAACTCCTGAGCATATATACTGACTATTGAGAGAGATACGTAAGTACAAAAATGTACAATAATATACTTGCTTATAGCTGGAAGACAAAGTTAATAAAGTGACTAATAAGACGAACAACAGAAAAAAAAAAAAAAAAAAAAAAAAAAAAAAAAAAAAGAGGATTATTACTATTAACATATGGTGGGCTAGAAGACATTGGACATTTTTTTTTTAATTAAAAAAAAAAAAAAAAAAAAAAAAGAGAGATTATATATACATATGGTGGGCTAGAAGACATGGACATTTTTTTTTTAATTTTAATAGTGATTGTTCAATCTCACTAACCAACTAATTCAGATTCTCACCGAACAAACCCATAAAGGAGCGGATATTTTTAGTTAAACTCTGAGGAACAAAACGTTTCTTTCTTAATGTTTAAGGACTTCATTTTAGGACTCGAACTTAAAATCTCTGATTAAGAGAAAGAGATTTATGTCACTCTGTATCAGCCCTTGATAGTGAGACAGTTACATTTTTAGCACCATTAGTACTTTGTCAAGACTCAAGATTCAACTGTGCTAAAAGAAAAAAGACTTAAGGCTCAACAAAATAGACCACCTAACTAACACTCTTCAAACTTATCAGAAACGTGTCCATAGAGAATTTTTCCTTCGCTATAAATATTAGTCCCCCATATGCTAAGTGATCATTGAAATTAACTAATCCCTCCTTTGGCTAAACTCTTTTTAGCTTATTGTTTAAGCTCATTTAATTTCTTTGATATGGTACAGCTACATTTGATTGTTTTTTGGCTTCTAGGGTTTCAATTTCTAGGTTCAAGAGGTGCTTCTGTGGATGCCAATTTCCAAAAAGAATGCAACTTTACTAGATTTCCTGCCCTTTGCCTCCAAACTTTGATGGAGTTAAAAGATCACCCTGTTCATATTGTGCCTGCTCTTGTTCAAAGAACTATTTCAGAGACTAAGCTGCCCACTTCCTTCTTCAAAACACAACTCAACTCTCAGTTGGAAGTCCAAGAAGCTCAACATCCCAAATCCGTCACAGGTGATAATAATACATATCAATTTTCGATATCTCATGTATACCTTTCTCTTTTTCTTTAATATTTTGCAACGATTTCTAGAATATAAAATAAAATTAAAAATAGTAATTTATATAGTCGATTCTAGTTAGTTCAAAATTCAATCAAAGTATTTTTGTTGACCTATCAGAACTTTTTTTTTGAAAAAAAAAATCAGAATTTCAATTCGTAATTTAAATTACTGCATCATGAAAACGATATTCATTAAATTATCAGCCGAAGAAGGAGACAAAGTTTATTTAATTAGTGATAATTAGATGGAAGTTGCCTGAAAATTGGGTTTTGTGTGTCTACATCAATGTTCTCAACTAACTAGCCCCACTTTTACTATGCATTTACAGATTATTGTGAAAAGTTAATCAGGATGTCTCTCAAACGACTAGACCAGTCACTTTTGGCACTAAAAGAATCACCAAAAAAGAACAAAAACGACGTCCAATCGTGGTTAAGTGCTGCCTTAACCTTCCAACAAGCCTGCAAAGATTCTGCCGACAGTTTTGGTTTCCCGGCCGGTGGCCTCACTTCTCGTATTTCTACCAAAATGGATTATTTGTCTGAATTGGCCAGCAATCCTTTAGCCCTTATCAACAGAGTTACAAACAAGGCTAAAAACAACATCAAAAAACGTCGTTTAGGAGGAGAAGTAAAAGAATTCCCTAAGTGGGTATCGGCGAAAGATAGAAAACTACTTCAAACTAGCACCGTGAAGGCGAATGCTGTGGTTGCAAAAGACGGAACAGGCAACTATAAAACGATTACGGATGCTATAAAGGCTGCTACGGGGAGTCGTTTTGTGATTTACGTGAAGTCAGGAGTTTATAACGAGAAAATTCGAACTAATAAAGATGGTATTACTTTGATTGGAGAAGGTAAATATTCCACTATCATTGCAAATGATGATAGTGTAGCTGGTGGGTCTTCCATGCCTGATACCGCCACTTTCAGTAAGTCCCCTCTGCTTAAATTTATTAAATTAAAGTCCATTTCTTCTAGTCTGCACACCCTAGTTCCAAGCTCCAAGACAATATTCAGGTAAAACTCTTCCAACAATATAGACTTCAGGTTTCGGAAGTTTGAAATTGGACTTCTTCATGCTTTTGTACATAACTTTATACATTGTCTAATGTCTATCCTATCAGAATATCAATCGGCTCTGTAAGAAAAAGAACAGAAAAACAAGAATTAAAATTTTCCTCTTCCTTGGTTTGTCGGGCAGCAATTACAGGCGATGGATTCATAGCTCGAGATATTGGATTCCAAAACACAGCAGGACCACAAGGAGAACAAGCCTTAGCTTTATACATCGCATCAGATAAGTCAGTTCTTTATAGATGCAGCATCGCAGGCTACCAAGACACGCTATATGCACTTGCTCTCCGTCAATTTTACAGAGAATGTGATATTTACGGCACGATAGACTTCATTTTTGGCAATGCCGCTGCTGTTTTTCAGAACTGCTATTTAGTCCTTCGACGTCCTAGCAGCCACGAAAGTTATAATGTAATTTTAGCAAACGGAAGATCAGATCCTGGACAAAATACAGGATTTTCAATACAAAATTGCAGGATTACAGCAAGTTCAGATTTTTCTCCTGTTAAACATAACTTTAAGTCCTATCTAGGCAGGCCCTGGAAGCAATATTCGAGGTCAGTGATAATGGAATCGAATATTGACGATGCTATTTCATCAAGAGGGTGGATCGAGTGGCCAGGAGCAGCATCGTATGGTAAGACGTTGTACTTTGCGGAGTATGCGAATACTGGCCCTGGAGCTCAAATTTCTAACAGAGTAAATTGGCCTGGATTTCATGTTATCGGAGCTGATGTGGCTGTGAAATTTACTGTCCGTAATTTTATTGCTGGAACCTCTTGGTTGCCGTCTACTGGAGTAACTTTCGTTTCTGACCTCAAGTGAAAATTATACTATACTTAATTAACTAATTAGTGTGCTACTTATGATAATGAAAGCTACAGTTGCTCACACTGGTAAAGTTGTTTTCAAGGTATTTTAATTGTGTATTATTAATTTGGTTGTACGTAAATAAAGCCAAGGCTTTATGTGACTGTAACTCTTAGGTTTTTATAATATTGTATATCCAATATCTAATTATTCATATAATCACATGTGTCAGTACGTTAAATTTGACAATTACTTTTGGATTTTAATTTAGAAATTGACTGATCTTTTAATTCTAATAAAAAAATTTTTGAGTTTTAATTTCGACCATTCATTTTTATTAATTTTTTTCTTTGTTCTTAATTAATAATTGGTCCGTTGGTTCATGATCATAATTAGAAGGTGATGGATACTTGCACTAAAACCCTAGAAAAAGAAACATACTTGATTAATTATTTAGAGACCTTTCTTTTGACATCGCCATCAAAGAAAGTTTTAAGCTTTTATATGTGAATATTTTTTTCAATTCTTTTCATAAACCATGACGTGGAAATTATGTTATTTCTAAACTTCTTTATAATGGATTTTATCACCCAAATGTTATATTTCAGTACACATAAGGAAATAAAAAATGAACAATACATATTTAATACACAACATGGATTATTAATTATGATTTCATTCCTTTATTTGATTATATTAATTAGAGAAAAATGGAATAACATCACATATATACTATATATATTATATATATATATATATTAATATATATATATAAATTGTGCTTCCTCATCGCTATAAAAACTAAGTATGCTTGTCCTTTTCTTTTCTTTTTTTTTTTTTAAATTTATCAAAAAAAAATTCCTCAAGGTCCTCGTATCACATAAGCTTAATCCCAATTTAATATGTTAGTTTCAAAAAAATAGGCAATCATTATATGTGTAAATTCACATTATTAGTTTCAATTCATATAAATGTGCTCCTCATCGTATAAAAACTAAGTATGCTTGTCCTTTTCTTTCTTTTTTTTTTTTAAATTATCAAAAAAATTCCTCAAGTCCTTCGTATCACATAAGTTAATCCTAATTTAATAAATGTTATTCAAAAAAATAGCTAATCATATTGTGTAATTCACATTATTATTTCAATTCAATGGACTTTCTATGTATAAAATTGGAGTTAAGAAAAATTGATAATCAAAGGTTAATAAAATATAAATATTTCATGTCTTTTTACATGATGTAAGATCAGTGTTTTCTTTCTTTTTTTTTTTTTTTATTTTTTATCTGAAACTTGCATATAATTAAGATGGATGTTACAACTAATAACCCTAAATAATGAGTATATAAATTAGAAATTAATGGTGTCGGTTAGGAGTAATGTAGAATTACAAGTTGATTAATGAGAATAGACATAAAGTTTAACCTTACGTGTCTCCATTAATGTATGTTTGATGACACTGTATTAAGACGTTGACTTCCATTTTGATTTTATAATCGGTTATTAAGGAAATGGACCCCAAAAAAGAAAAGCAAAACTAAACGATTGTCAAGTCTTCATCGAAGTCAATTATAATAAATAAATAAATAAATAAATAACAAAACGCCTATAATTTCAATAGAGGAGGTTACTATTTAGCTTTTTAGCTCCTATTTCTATAATTCCCCTTTCTCTTAGGATAATGTATTTGTGATTCAAAAAATTCAGTGAATTAGATTATAAATTTTATATTTATATTTTTTAAAATCCCAGCTTTCCTTAATTATTGAATATTAATAACCAAATGCAAGCTAGCTTCTGCGGTAAGGGTATTCATTAAAAGTGAGACCTTCTACATCAATCTCACTCGTCTCTTCGAAAAATATTAGTGATGGACAGAATTTAAATATTGTTATCAAGACATCCATTAAGCCGTAGCTGATTATAAAAGTGACAACCGCTTAATATATAAATTTATTATAAATTTTGCTCAGATTATCTTTGTAGTTTCCGAACTTTGCGACGGTTTAATTATAATCTGCATTTTATATTTCCGTAATAACTATACCTTTTGTCAAAATGAAATATTTTTATACAGATTTAATCATGATTCTATATTTTTATATTACATTTTAGCGACGGTATAAATGTTATTAAAATGTTAAAGCGTAAGAGTTATAATAATTTTCTAGCAAAATTCAAAAAATCACAAAGATTATCGCCGAAAATATAGAATTAAATTTATGCATTAAGCCAAAAAAACAACATAAGAGTTAATCTTGTTGAGATCGAAATTGAATCAATCATTGACGATTTTTAAGATGATTTTGAAATTATCGAATTCCATTTCGAATTAAAATCAAACAATTTCTTTTTAATTTTAAGAATAATTTAGGCTAATTTCCTGCATTATATTATATATAAAAAATTTCATGGGCTGGCCGCTAAAAGCCTATTCCTTCACTCACTCAGTTTTAGGAGACGAGAAAAAGTTTCCCTCCCTCCAAAATTCTTCGATAAAAATACACACAAACGGGAGACTTATGGGCCGAGATTTCTTGCATGAGCCCACTTTAGAACTAATACTAATGGGTATGAGATGGGCCTATAAATTGTAATTCTCAAACTAATAAAACTCGTTTTCTAACATTACGGTAAAAAAAAAATTTCACTTAGAATGTCATAATAAAATTTATTTGAGGAAAAATGCAATATTATTAAGGCGAACAATAGTTAATTGTTCAATTTTGAATGGTCTTTTTCTTTTTTTGGAATAATTTATTGATGGAAAATTCATTGATAGTAGTCCACATGGTGTTATCTTAATAATAAGGTTTGGTTTGGCAATAAAGGAGGTGGCTCGCCTGTCAAATACAAGACAGCCCCTATCCCATATTAGTTGTCCACGAAGCTGGTTTTTTATTACTATATATATGTTTTTTTATTTTTGTATATTTTTAAAACTAATATTTTTTACAAAATCATTAATTAAAATTTTATATCATATGTTATGAGTTTTTTTTATAATATTATAATTTAAAATTTTCAATACTCAAAACTCAAATTTTCAATTTTCAATTTCACAACACTATATTTTAATAATAATAATAATAACAATAATATAATTTTCTTCAGAAAAAAATAATATATTTCGACTCACAATAAATTTATATTTAAGTGTCACGCCATAATTTTAAAGTTTGAAAATTTATGATGTTGTGATCTTAAAATCTTCGCTAAAATTAAAAGGTGTTGAATGTAAATACAATTGGAGTAAATTAATAAATAAAAAAAAATCGAATTCTCAATTTCAATAATTGTATAAAATTATTTATGGTCATACGTGTTTTCCGGGATATCATATATAGCCTTATACATTGTTTGGTAGATGGAGGAAATGAGAGGGGAAAAAGGGAGAGAAGGGAAAAAATGAAGGAATATTCTATTTTCTCTTCTTTGAGAGGAAAGAATATGTAAAGGGAAAATGAGAAAAAAAAAAAATGATTCGCATTTTAACCTCCTCTCCAAAGTGAGATAAAAAATATGGTCAAAATAAAGGAAGGCAAAATAGAATTTCTTTCATAATAATAATAAAAAAAAAACTTACAAAAATATATCTTACGTACCTTTTCAATAACTAATATATTCTCCTCTCTTTTCAAACAATTGTGAGGTGAAAATCCTTGTCTACGGCAATAATCTTTCCAGTTTTCTTTCCCCTCCCTCCCTTTCTCCCCCTCTCAACCTTTTTTCCCAAACAAGGCTCAAGGTAGAGAAACAGAGAGGCCAAAAGGCATTGATTGCATGAAAACTAGACAATTCAAAAGTAAGTCAAACCTAATTTTGTTGGCTATAAAGTCAAAATCAAAAGCACATGGTGTGCATGGAAAGGGACCCACTTTCAGACATTAATCTTATTTTTAAGCCAATTGATCTGATCTCATTAATATCCCCAAAATCACTACGCGCTTACATGTGGAGGACCATCCACTTTATGATGCTGCCCCACGTCAGGTGAATATATCATCCTCTCCTCTGGTTGGGTTCTCTTATGGGCCCACTACAAAACACCAAACTATAGTAGGCCTGTGTTTCTTTCACTATAGGCCCAGAAAACCCGTGAAATTTGGGCCCACTTCACGTCTCCGTTGTCGGGCACACCCCTAACCCTCTCTCTCTCTCTCTCTCTCTCTCTATTTTCCTTTCTTGATTGTGGCTTTCCTTTCCCGTTGATTCTTCTTCAACGCAAAAGATAAAACTAACGAAAACAAAATTGAATCATCATTTTCGCAAAATTACAAAAGCTAAAAAAATATTCATGGTCTTTTTCGCTGAATAGCTCTACATAAGAATAAATAAATAATAAAGATTAATTAATTATAATTACAGGCATGCATGGTTCTTTTTGGTCACAGAATTTTTTTTTTTTTTTTTTTTTTTTAAAAGCTTAAAAAAAATATTCCAGGTCTTTTTTCGCTGGAATAGCTCTACCATAAGGAATAAAATAAATAATAAAGAATTTAAATTAATTTAATTAATTACAGGCATGCATGGTTCTTTTTTGGTCACAGAATTTTTTTTTTTCTTTTTTTTTTTGTTTTTTTTTTTTTTTTTTTTTTTTGTGGTGATAATTACGCATGATTTAGAGTTAAAAGTGTTGACCATCGTAAAATCTTTGATACTATGATCTAAATTAATATGTTAATTAAAGCGTGGAGTTTAACAATGAACATGATGATTGTTAAGCAATGTAATTGTCTTCCACTGTAAGTTTTATAATTTGTTTTCGTAATTATATAAATTAAAGATTACTCAAAAATTTTAATTTTTTGGTTGTTTAATAATGATAAGGAAATGAGTATGTTGTTAATAAAGTAAACAAACATCATATCATCATTGAAATAAATAATTAATAAGATAAATAAAACGGAATTTTGGCTTTAGATGTTGATGTTTCTGTCCATTTACTGCATATGCTATATATAAAATAATAATAATAATGGAAATTCAAGATTCTAAATTATTTTAGCTGGCATATATAATAGTCAAAATAGATACAAGTAAGACATTTAGCATTGGAAACAATGAACAATGGAGATGAAGTTGACCCAAGTGAGGAAATATTAAAGTGTGACGAATGTGACAGAATAACTCTTAACCCTAAGCCACATTCGACTTTGTCAACATGTTGCCACTTCTCTAGCTAGCTAAGCTATGCAAGACGGTGGCCTCCCTTATTTCAAATACTAATACTTTTCAGAATTTTAAATCAT